AATTTGTGCAAGGACGCCGCTGAGCCAGGAACTTTTGAAGTCCCTTGACGTCAGCTGGCACAGGACAGTCGCTAATCACCTTGATCTTTTACGGATCAGGGTGCACGCCGTTATTGCCCACGATGCAGCCAAGAAGTGGTATTTCGTTCGCAGCGAAGATACAATATTTGAGGTTCGCGAACAACTTATGCTCTCGCGTTAGTGTAAAAATCTTCCGGACGTGAATTCTATGAGCCTCTACGTCCGTCTTTCCATCCAAATCCCGTCAATGGACGAAGACATCATCAAGGTAACTCGGTGCGAAATCGCTCACCGATCGCAACAGGTTCGTAACACATCTGTTAAACGTTGCAGGGGAGGTACTTAGACCCTGTGGCATCACTAGCCACTCCTAGAGCATACCACTGGGGGTTCTCACTGCTGTGAAAGGGATATCCCGTTCACGCATAAGGATCTGATAGAATCCAACCATCAGATCATTGGACGAAAAGATGATTGTTTGTGCCATAACATATATTATTACTTCTTTCCTCGGTATCGGCGTCTGAATCCTTCCTCGGTATCGGCGTCTGAGCCAGTACCGTTGCAGCGTTCAATTTGTTGAACGCGTGCACTAACTTCCACCCCCCTGTGACTTTTTGAACACAGAAGGTCGGAGAGCTGTGTGGGGATGTTGATTCCTCACATTACCCGTATCTAGCCGATCGGCAAAGAATTTGTCGATCGCAAGTACTTGTTCACGAGGCAGTGGACACTGCTTCATGACACAGTATTTCGAACCGGGTTTCAGTTCAATCTCGTACCGAGTGCCTATATCCTTAGGCAACTCGCATAACACAGATTTAGGGGAAACATCACTGAATTCGATCAAATCCTCATACAAAGGATTTGTCTTGAAAGGCTCCCAAGATTAAGACGTGCATTGCTCAGCCCGGGTCTTCTCATCGAGGAAACTCTTGTCCATCGATGAGCTAATGAAAACCCGTTCGTTCTCATTAGACGCTTGTTCCGAACGAATATCGGCGACATACTCGTCCTCTGTGACGAGTACGCAGATCTGCTTGATCTTGTCGCTACGCAGATCTTGCAAGAATCTTTTAGATTATAGCGTGGGCAATTCGATTACCTCCGAAGTTGACTTTGGAGGTAAAACCAGATCAAGCGTATAAGCGCTTACACTTGACCCGTCATTCACCAAGACATTCACTGTCTCGGTGCTTTCCTGGGAAAGCACATCCACAGGTGGTTGGGGGTCCACACCCTCAACATAACTCTCTCGAAGATTGTCACTCTCAGGAGCGCTGGAACTGTCGTCCACTACATGTTCTGACTGTGTACGCACTATCACAGTCACGTCCTCTTCGATCGACTCTTTTAGTCGAATTCGCTGTAAAGTGTTGTTCATTTTAAACAGCATTAATTTGTCTTCTTAAATGCACCTGCTTAGTGTGCATCCGTGTTTCAATCCACTCGATCTTTTGAGTGGTGAACCGTCATGCGAGGCTTGAGTCTCTACAAAGGTGCCAGATGCTGGTTCCACAGTGTAGTGGCCTTCTACACTGTGATCTTGAGCAGTCATACTAACGACCGTACCACAAGTGAGGCCATCGCACTCACTAGTAGTACATCCACACGCTTGTGGAAGCTCTAAGACGTTCAACAGATGTCCATCTGATGAACAAAAAGCAGGCATGTTCATGGATCGATGCTGCCAGACTGGTCCATGACTGGTAATCTTTAAGCCATGGCAGACCGAGGATGACATCAAATTTGTCATCCAATTCTAGTACAATGAAGTCATCATCGTAATGCTTTCCTTCTAGCGTGTAGTGGATTCCCACTACACGTTTGTTCACTGTTACGGATGCGCCTGTAGCAAAGCAAACCGTCATCCTTGTTGGAAGGTTATCTCGCTCAACATAGTTGGGTCTACTGTCTTCTAGCGACTGGCGTCGAATAAAACTGTTCGACACCCAACAGTCAACTAATGGGCGGAAGTGACATTCCACTAGTCACTTCGATATTCAAAGTGATGAGGGACACCTCATCACTAGGGGCAGTAACACACAGTGACTGTGTGTTGAGAGCAATCTTCGTCAAGAGTCCTGCAAACTCTCTTGACGTTGCTGGATCAGCAGGGTGCTCCGCCCCAACTGACCCTGACTGTTTTTACCGGTCCAACTTTCTGTAGCGGTTTAGCGACATGGTCGGACGCGCGACTTAAACCTTTCTTCGTCCAACGGCGGTCATCACGTCCTGACTTCGGATGTGATACGGTGCTAGAGACAGTACACTCATTAGCGTAATGTCCGATCTTCTGACAGCGATGGCATCTTGCCGATCGCTTGTGGATCGAAGAGCGAGAGTTTCATTCTCTCGACATAACAGAGGTACATTGGTTAGGGGCATCCGGTTTCCTGTCGTCTCGTTGGACGATGGTTCGACGAGTTAGCCTGAGACTGTCTCAGGCTGAAGTCTTCTTGTTTCGCATACGCTACCGCAATTTTCAGCGTCAAAAAGTCCTCTCGGAACATGTAGGTCTTGACCGGTCCATCTACAAGGCCGTAGATGAACACGTTGATGAGCGTGTGCTCATCAACAGGGTTTTCCGTACGCTACTCGCAAAGTAGCGCAGGTGTTGTGCATAATCGTGCACATCACGCTTACGTTGCTTGATCCTCAGGAGTGCAGAGCGTGCTCTGAACTCGGCTCTCGGCGGCTCAAACGTTTCTTTGAGACGAGACTATAAGGTCTTTAACTAATCAAACACATTTGGGTCGTGAAGCTTGAGCCCTTAGGCCCACGTATTTGCTCGTACTGTCATCTTTGACAGGGCGAAGGTGACTTGCATCTCGTCACCCTCGATGTGACGGGCCGTGATGGCGTCGTCTAACTCGACTAGCCGTATCAAAAGGGAATCTTTATCGGTCCCCTTGTATCTTGAGATATCTATTTTTAAGGTTTCGGGTTGGCGCGTTTGCTTCGGCCCGCTCAATGACTGATAAGAGCCTTGATGTTGTAGCAAGGCTATCTTCTGTCTTTCGACAGCAAGTTACCCTTGTAGGAACTTGTTGATAGCGGCATGTTGGTGGTCTCTGTTCAGAGACTCCAACATGCCACTGATAGCGGGTTTGCCCATGAGCACACTCATCCGGCCGACTATCTCTCATTCTGAGTCACTCAGATGGGAGTGGCCTTTACGTGTGACGTGAAAGCTGTCGTATTTAACGTCCAACATGTTCATATTGGACGGACACTGAGTAGTCTTCGGACGGACTACAAAGTGCTACCAGGTGTAACGGTGCACCCTTTTTTTGGGTGCCACGAAACTTCACGTACACTAGTACGTGCAGAGGAAGCTAGTCTACTCAAAGTGCTAGTTTGACTAAAGGTAAGAAGAGAACTGTATCAAATATAGTTGAGCTATCAATATTACTTCAGTCTTTATCCAGCTACATTAATCTGTCGTATGACGACAACCTGCTCACCACCCATTACGCGCGTCTAGCAGCGGTTGGTGGTAATCTTGGAAGAAATGTCTTTTCCTACCAATCTTCGAGCAGCACATGGAAATAATCAGATTGAGTAATATCTCTTCAATAATACCTATTTCGGGTAATATTGGCAGGGAATTGTCACGCTGGACAATCTTGCTATTGATACTGTTTGGTGTCAAAATCATGTATTGGGCTACACCGTTACACTCTTTCATAATACAATGAAATATCTAAGAGCATACCGATGCCCCAGATGCGGTAAGAATGATACCAAGTGCTGTACTATCCGGTGTCTTGGCGCCGCTTTCTAAAAAGACTTCACGAGCATGTGCACGCGACGATACTAGTCGCACGTGCCTTTTTTGCTAACAGCATGACGTCTGATCCTACTATGATCCAGCGTCCATGTACACCTGAAAAAGACCATCTTCCTTACAAAAGCGACAACACATCACGAGTTGTCGTGCTCACCAAAGAAAAGCATGATTTTTGCTGACATACGAGCCTCGTGATGTAAGATCAGCCATCGCCATGAACGCAAATGATATGCAAGCCTCGACGGATCAATGAACATGTATTCCCGTTCGCTTTTGTACGAATTTCACGCTACACCTGCATAGGCAGGCTGACGCGTGAATTGACTCGTCTAAGTGAGCCGTACAGGATTATTACCGTCCATTCAAACGACATGATCATCTTCAAATTATCGCTAATAGCATCATATTAGGTGAGGTTGTCGACGAATGATCTCATATTGGTTTCGACGCCACCGAGCTTACCAGTAGACTGCAGTAAACGAAATAAGGCGCCACCAAATGGGCAGACACTGAATATGTCAACTGGTTTATAAGCTTCCGTACTTCGTACGTCTTGTTCCCTCAATCTTTTTGTCATCCATTAGCTGTGCTTCAGCTGGCTCTGCCCGGTTGTTCGCTACCGACCAAGAGCTCCCCCTCCGTGCATTCGTCATAAGGTCTTGCTGAGATCGAGAATAGACATGTTGCTGGAGATGCGCCTCCATTGGGCTCTGTTTTCACGCCAATCAATTCATGCACGCTCAAAATTCTTCTTCCAGTCCGAAGATCGAACAAGCAATCTGTTGACTCTGAACCTCGCAGTAAAAAACTTCGTAGCGATTACTCATGCGGCGAGGTAGTTATAACGTTGAACGTCGATGCGTTCCGGTAAATTTTTTGTCTCGAGGTAAAAGGTGTCTTAGAACGACAAGTAACAATGAACATGTTCCTTTGTTCTCTCTCGCTTTCGGGTTCCACTGCAAGCTCAGCCGTTTTGAGCTTAAAAAGTAGTACGTATTCTGATGATCGTATCCTTTCTCATCACAGTATCGACTCATAGTGTGCGATCATTTCAGTTCACTCTGATTTAAGTGCGCTACAATCGTGTTTAAGAGGGAGCCCCCAACCAGGGAGAGAACGCAGCTCGTGGACCGGAGCGAAGCTGGGCCTGTGCGGGAGCGTGAGCGAAAAAGCAACTATTGCGAGCATGTCGGACTACGAAGAGGAGGAAGAGAAGTGGGTGCAGTGGTTCTGCAGTCTATCAGGCAACGAGTCCTTCTGCGAGGTGGCGCAGAGTTACATCGAGGACTCGTTCAACCTCTACGGTCTGCGCGCTATGGTGCCCAATTACCAAGACGCACTGAACATCATTCTCGATCTCACGGGTTCGTTTTTGAGTGATAAAAATGGCCTAACCGCTTTGCGATACGACCTTGATCTTTTGTCTACATTACGGAACGAATGGATGCTGAACGCTTGACGGTTGGGTGGCTGTAGACATCCCCTATGACGATGACGTGCCGGCGTATGCAGCAGAGCTGTACGGGCTTATCCACGCTCGATATATTATAACGGCTCATGGGTTGGATGCTATGGTAGGATTCGGTGGCAGAGACGGGTTGAAATGAGTCGCGTCGATAAGTCATTGTGGTCGATACTTGGTCGCGCGTTGTGCTGATTACCCACTGTCTCGGTGCTTCTTTTTCCCTAGATGAAAAAGTACCGGGAAGGTGACTTTGGGCTGTGTCCAAGGGCACTGTGCGACGGTCAGCCAGTCGTACCGGTACGTGAGTGTTAGTAGACGACTATGTTGGGGTGACCAGTGAATTCACTTTTTGGGGTTGTATATGATTCAGGCGGGTCTTCATGACGAGTGGAAGAAATCAGAGGTGAAGGTGTATTGTCCCAAGTGTCAAGACGTGTACGCTCCAGCCAGTGAATACCAGACTCCAACTAGTACGTATCTTACTTTATGTAGCTTGGCTCGATGGAATGCTTCGTTGCAGTATGGCTAACACGTCGTTGGCTTGTTGCAGTCGACGGAGCGTATTTCGGTACGACGTTCCCGCACTTGTTTTTTCTGACTTACAAGGAGCTGGAGCCGGCGCCGTCGACATTGTTGTATGTACCGCGGGTGTTCGGATACAAGATTCACAACAAATCCGAAAACCGCCGACGCCTCGCTATCCTCGCAAAAGAGGGCGCGGATGAAGAGAAGACCCAACAGCAGGTGAGACACGACTGCCAGATGAAACTGCACCCTTTGTATTTTTGTATACGTATATGCATGTGAGGGTAAGGGAGAAAGTGTGCTTCGAATCGAAGGACATCTTTACTGCCTGTTATTTCCGGTAGTGATACAGCCGGTCGCTTGCATCTCCCTCGCTCCAGCTGTACAGTGCTGGTAGCGTGTAAAAAGGTTCAGAGTGCCTGGTCTGAGAGAGGAGTGGTTGTGTGTTTGTGTGTTTATTGCGTGTTGTTTCTTAGGGCATGTCGTTCAATGAGGTGGTTCGACTTATGTGTCTATCTATCTCTGTTCTGTTTTAACAGAAGCTGTAATTATGTGTGTTGCCTTCGGTAGCGACGGACTCTTACAGGAGCTAGACGGAAGGGTGAAGCCAGTTCGACAGCGGATGCGTCATCATCGCGAGTGAAGAAGCGAACAAAGCAGGAAGCTTGAAGCTCCACTTTCCCACACGGGTTGTGTTGGCTGCGTGCGTCGACATGTCGTGAGACGTGATAGATGCTGGTACAACGACGAAAGTGAAGTAGTGGAGGTCACCTGGCCGCTGAGAGATGTGTGGTGGAAGCGGCAATCCGAAAGGAACAAGTGAGGGTTAATGAGTGATGATGGTGCAACGATGAAGGCGGAGGAGGCGAGAAACGGGGAGCGCGCCGGGAAGACAGAGTGCTAGGAAGCCAGCCGGCTGGGCAGATGAAGCGGAGGCAAAGGTGTTCGACACTAGCAAAAATTAGTCACATGGTCGTTTAGGTTCGCGCTTATTGATTGAATTTTGCGTTTGTGGTACGTAGGTCGCTGAGTATCTCTTTGTCCAGTCCGCCTGCAGCTGTGTGAGCCATGTGTTGTCTAGCAATGGAGCGTATAGTTGTATACTAATAAAAAAGCGAGCGCTCTCTCATTGGTGGTAGTGATCCCCTCCTGTACTAAACTAGGACATTCGTGGCGCGAGTAAAAAACCTCGACTCTACAGCTCTCTTATTCTAGGATAGCCTTGGCTACAGGATAACCCCACCTTCCTCATCATTTCCTGCCACACCTCTCCTTTGTAACCGCGACGCTCGGCAGCTCTAGCGATCGCTCTCGCCTCCGCATCTTCTGCGAGCGCCTAAGCGGGTCCAATGAGGTAAGATTGCATGACGATGAGGGATGGGACGCCTGTCGTTCCGGAGATTATAACACAGCCGAGATCTAACCACGTTGCTCCTGTCTTCTTTGATGTTCTTCTACGACCTCTGGCAGCAGTGACGAGGGGGAGATCCGCGCAGAGATGGAGACAAAGTTGAAGCTGCAGAACTCGCTGTTTGATGCTGAATGGCTGGATGTAACGAAGGTACAAGTGCTCAATTGAGGGGGAGGCGATGACGTGAAAATGCCTAATGTTGAATCGAGATACTTGACAGTTGATGAGTACAGCAGCGAAGGAGCTGAAGGTTGGACAGCTGATACATGAAGACGACTTCAAGCTGTTTGACTGCATGTCGGCAATGGAGCTTATGGACCCAATGATGGACTCGGGGATGCTGGTGGATGGAGTTCCGATCCAGTCGATTTCTGCTCGACTAGAAAGCGGATCTGTGTTATTAGAATTTTCGTCTGCTCGTGATGTGCTGGCCACATTGGACGAGTTGTTCTGCTGCGAGACAGGGTGGCTACATGGGTTGCCATTAGCACAGTCGCTATTGACGAGTGTGTACTTGCACCGGGATCCTTTGAATGCTCTTTGGTCGCAGCTTATCAAGCCGTTGGAGAGTTTAGTGGCAGGTGACGCAGACGTGCGAGACATTCTGAAGAAAAACGTAGGCAACTCGGCAAAAGACACATTGCTGCTCGTCATGTGTACGGTGATATTAGCTACGTTGAAGACTGCGGACCTTATCCGTAATGTCGCTCTGCGCGCCGATATTTATGAAGAGGAAGATTTTTCGCCTGGAAGTGGTTTCAATGCTGGCGTTTTGATGCGGATATCTGTTGAAACGCTGGATACGATGCTGCAAATAACACAAGAACGGCTGGAGACACTCGTTGAGCAGCATAAAGCTGCTTCGTCACAGAAATCATCAAAAAGAAGCACAACAAAAAGACAAGTGGCGTATCGCTGAACAGTGGCAAACGACCTAGTCCCTCTGGGTATGAATTGCTGTGCCCCAATCCCCGAGTTGGCGCCTTGGCGTGCGAAGCGTTTATTCGACGTGTCCGATTGCGAAGGGAGCTACTTGCTACTTATGCGGATATAGGTATAGCCGAGGGAGGTCTGGATTTGCTGCATGCCAGAGATGGGTTTCATCGCGCCTTCGAATTGGTCGAGGAATTGTCTACCGAGAGACTCGAGCTCGATGTGGAGTGCTTTAGTGGAAAGCCGATTGGCTTTGATTCGAGTATCAGCCGCTTTCTTCTCTTTGGTACACCACTGCGCGATATCAAGGTGCCTTCGATCGACGAGGCCTTGAGTCAGATGAAAGAATTGCTGGGCGAATTGGTAGTTAGCTGCTCTCCTACTGGATGGAAGTGCATGGAAGACCTACGCATTTTTTTGATCGAGTTTTCCCGGCAGCAACCGTCAGTCATTGCCCGTTCTTATGTATTGGTAAGCGCTTTCGAATGACGTCTTTGTACTGCCAATTGTCTTACATTTGACTTGTTTTTAATTCTAATCTAGCTCTTCCTGTACGCTGACAGCAAAATTTATGGCGAATACAACTTCATGGATTGGCTGTCGGCAGCGATGGTGATGAACGGAGTTCCTTCCGTATTGCTCTCGACGCAAGAGGGCGTGCTGTATTCGTCGCGGTGTATTGAAACTGTGTACGAGTCGCTCAAAGTCTTTTTGCACAACCGTTCGCGACAGCGTGCGCGAATTGAATATTTATTGGGTGAGTGGAGCATACTTCAAGCCGACGCTGCTGCCGTAGACGAAAGATTTACGACCGAGATGAACATACCGGTACGCTTGTGCTCCGATTGACTCGCGTGTATTCAATAAACGTACTTACGCTGAATGCTGCGCAGAAAGCTGCACATCCGCGGTACTTTACAGCTTGGACTCTTGAGGAATCAGTGCATTTGATGACCCAATACGTGGTGTTGGGGCTAGAGCTGGGATTATATGCGCCTTCAGAGTTTGGAACAGCATACTGGTACGTGGTTGCATCGCACTGTTCGCGGCGAGTGTTCGTTTTCACCGATCTATGATTCCGTCGGGAACAGGTATCTGGATTACTTGGAAGGCTCACGTCTCCAAAATCTGAATGTTACATGGACCTTTGTGGAAAAGATGGGGAAGATTATGCCGCAACGCCCAGCAACCGAGCAGTGTAGACAGATTGTCGCACCTCCGACACCGCAAGCTGGCGCTGTGGCGAGCAAGTCTTTAAAGAAGTCGAAGACAAAGCACAAGAAGCACCACAACGGCGTCGGTGCAGTAGCCGTCACAGAATCCTCAGATTCTACAAGCCGATCCGTTGACTACACCAGAGCTCGATTTCTTCGCGAGATAAAGTATACGGAATTGCTGCGCAGTCTGATGCGAGCCTTCTTCCAGCTATTCAACGCACTCGAACGCGAAGGGCTTGTGGAGGTCAAGTTGCCCACGTACAGCACCTTCACAATTCGATTCCAGCACCGCTTTGCGCCTTTCCGGAAGCTGCATTACCCTGCTGCACTTACGTACGAGGACTTTAACGAGAACAACGACTTCTCTCTATACGAGCCGGATCTCATCTACAAGTCGGCGGAGGAATGCTTCAAGACAGCCCGAGCACATGCTGAGGAGCTGCTGAGGGATAAAGAAGAAATCAACACCATCGCCACTGCAAATGGCAAGAAACTTGTCCGCGGCTCGGAGCTTCAGACACTGCTCAAGGTGTCTGTATCGAACTGCGTTCGTCTTGCCCAACGCCGTCCGAATGCAAGCGGTGGCAAGTCGAAGAAGGCTTCGCAAGGTGTCACGACGCCGATAGAGTTTGACTTTTCCATTCACCCGCACTTTCCTGTGGTGGTGTTTCCTGCGTCGTAATCAGTACGGACGCTTCAAGATGCAGACGAACAAGGGACATATCTTTTCCGTTCGGCGTGCCCATGCATGTCGTAGCTAGAAAGTCAAGACTGCTGGTGTTGGCTGGTTGGTCGGCGAAGCTCGTAGAAGATTTAGAGTTGGTGCAGCTAATGAATGCAGCAGATGGCACTGGGCGACGATGTCGCTCATTTACTGCTCCTTCTTTTCCGTCTTGGGCTCCATCTTCTGCTCTTTTCGTGTCTCTCCAGCTCCTATGTCGTCCAGCAGCACCTTCGTAGCGAAGAGTGCCAGGACCACGAGCACGAAGAAAGCGCCGAGTCCCATCACCGTGTAGAAAACAGGGTCCTTCAGCACAGCCACGAGAGCAGTTTCGACCCAGTCCTTGGGCGGCTGCGCCATTCGCGCTCGAAAGTTTGCCAGCTCGTCGTGGCTCATTGTCAAAAGTGGTGGTACTTGTCAAAAAGTAGTGCTCACGTCAGGTATCAGATGCGTCCGATTCCAACAATGACAGCACATAACGCCTACCTCGTAATGACAATAGAGAAGACAAGTCGTTTTGGCGATATCGAAGGCTCTTGAGAACCAACTCGACGAGACTACTAGACCGTTACAAAGTCTTTCTGATACCCACGGAACCCACGGTATAATAACGTGAGCAGACACTTTTCTTCAACGACTGTAAAAGTTAATTATCGTAGATCTCTCCAGGCTTGGTAAACAACAGCGATCGCTCCACATGAATTAATCACCTCTTTAATTACATCGACATCACATAAAACACTTACTTCAAAACAAACGTACCCACACGTAGAGGAACGTCTACTCACAATCCCAAACCACAACTAGATTGAGCCGGCCACGACATCCATGCGTGCTGCCCGTCTCTTGGCGATCGGTACCCGCGCTCTGCCTCGCTTGTCCCCCAATGGCGTTCGTGCGCTTCACGTGAGAGCATCAAAAGCGTCAATCACCGTACGTCAATACACCGTAGAGATCTCTTTTGCTCGCACGTCATGACTGCTTGTTATCGATCGACTGGTACAGGACGCGATCGCCCGAGAGAAGGTACTCGTGTTCTCCAAGAGCCACTGTCCATTCTGTGCTCGTGTCAAGGCGACGCTGGACGTGCTCGACACGAAGTACGAAGCGGTGGAGCTGGACGCTATAGACGACGGCGGACATATCCAGGCGCTGCTGTTCGACATGACGGGCCAGCGCACGGTGCCCAATGTCTTTATCAATGGCAAGCACATTGGCGGCTGCGACGATGTCCTGGCTCTGCATACTAGAGGTGAGCTCGTGCCAAAACTGAGCGAAGAACGTTTGTAATGGGGTGGATTTGGCTATGCAGTTGGAGAGACTGACAACGACAATGAGAGAAAGAAGCTTCGAGTCAGGGACTGTGCAATAGGTTTGTGTATCTCGTTATCGTCTAGGGGGGTTCGCTGCTCTACTGTTTTGTTTCCACGTCAGGCACTTGCTTGATGACTTGCTCTCGCTCGCTCGAGCCGAGTTAGACCGATGTCGTGCCCGTGCAGTCGTCAAAGTCGCCAATAATCATTTCGTCCAGCGAACGACCCGCTCCAACCATGGGATAGCAGTGCTCGTTCTTCTCAATCATAAACTCGCCCAAGATAGGGCCCTCGGCAGCAAGGAATCGAGCCATGTCCGCTTCTAGCGTCGCTTCCTCGGAGCAGCGGAAACCTTCACAATTCATGGCCTCTGCGAACTTGACAAAGTCCGGGTTGTTCATCTTGGTGCCGGAGTACCGCTCCTCGTAAAACAGATCCTGCCACTGCTTGACCATGCCCTGGAAGTTGTTGTTAAGCAACAGCACCTTCACGCCGATGTTAAACTCGGCAGCAGTCGCCATCTCACACAGCGTCATGCAGAAACTAGCATCCCCGTCAATGTCGACAACGATCGCGTCAGGTCTAGCAGCCTTGGCGCCGATCGCAGAAGGCAAACCGAAACCCATCGTACCCAGACCACCGGACGTGATCATCGTGTTCGGATGAGACCACCGATAGAACTGAGCTGCCCACATCTGGTGCTGGCCTACGCCCGTTGTGATCAGCACGTCGTCACGACCCTTGGTCTGCTTGTAAAGCTCCTCGATGACACGCTGAGCTTTCATCGGTGCACCCGGAGCCGATGGGCGGTAACGGAACGGATACCTTGCCTTCCATCCCTGCAATTTCTTGTGCCATTCGGTACGTGGCTTGGTCTCGACCTTAGGTAAGATCTGCTGCAAGTTGTACTTCGCATCGCCAAGCACGGCCACGTCAGCAGGCACGATCTTGCTCACCTGCTTACCCGTGATCTCAAAGTGGATGATCCCGCCGCGACCCTCAGCAGAAGCGCGCCGTGCCTCACGCGCAAAGTCAGGCACACGACCCGTCACACGGTCATCGAAACGTGCACCGAGGGTAATGATACAGTCAGCGTCTTGCATGGCTTTGTTCGCGTACACGGATCCGTGCATGCCCAGCATGTGCAGACTGAGCGGGTCACGCTCGTCAAAGGCGCCCATTCCCTGCAAGGACGTGGTCACGGGAATATTCGCTTGGCACGCAAGAGCGCGGAGCTCCTGACTGGCATGAAGAGCGCCAGCACCAGCGAAAATCAAAGGCTTCCTAGCGTTGTTAATCATCTTGACAGCAGCCGCCAGATTCGCTTCCTGGTTGACACGATTACCTGCAATCTTCTTCTCGCCATAATAGCCCAGCAGTTGCGGCTCCGTGACAACGGGGCTTTTGCACAGTCCAGCTGTAATGTCCTTGGGCAGATCCACCAGCACAGGTCCAGGACGTCCGGTCGTTGCAATGTGAAAAGCTTCGCGAATATTGCGTGCCAAGTCACGAACGTCGCGCACCTGCACGTTCCACTTGGTGCAGGGACGGGTAATGCCCAAGATATCAGCTTCCTGGAAAGCGTCAGTACCCAGCACTTGGGTAGCCACTTGGCCACTGAAAACCACGATGGGAGTGCCGTCCATGAGCGCGTCTTGCAACGGCGTAACAGTATTCGTGGCACCCGGACCAGAGGTCACAAGCACCACTCCCGGCTTGCCAGTAGCGCGGGCGTAGCCTTGAGCCATATGACCGGCGCCCTGCTCGTGTCTCGTGAGAATGAATTTGAAAAACTTGCTCTCGTGAATGGCGTCAAACACGGGCAAAATAGCGCCACCCGGGTAGCCAAAGACGCAGTCAACGTCCATCTCTGCCAGCGTTTCATGGAAAATCTCCGCCCCTGTCTTGCCCACAAACCGGTCCGTCGTCTTCGGTGGCGAGCGCTTGTGTTCGTCATGCACAGGAGAAGTGGACAGCGCGCACGCCTTGTCGGTAGCAATGACGGCAGGCGTCTGCAGCCAATGGACAGCCGACGAGAGCGGCCGGTGTGTCTCTTGCTGCTTCAAGGCGGCGTGCAATGCACGGGAGAAGTGGCGCGCTCGGAGCATGGGGCTTCTCGTTACAGTCGCGTGATGCGAATCGAGGTCTGAGCTGCTGAGCTGCTGGTGCTCGTGCGTCGATTGGGTGCAAAGAACAGCCATCTGACTGCGCAAACGTTGTCCTTGTCTCGTCGTGGCTGGCTGTTGTACGATTGTGACAGGAATGGAGTGGTACTGGTGTGGTAGCAACGAACAGCTGTATGTTGTCAACCACAAGAAAATGCGCACTTGGTACAGAAACGACCGAGCAGAATACGCAGAGGGAGAGAGAGATCTGATCTGATCTGATCTGATCTTTCAGATGATGAATGGAGTGGAGCTCGGAAGCGATGTGAGATCTCTTGCGAATCGCCTCGCTGCTGGAACCATACGGTTAATCGTCGATAGCACGGGGATCTCGTGTGTGGACTAGAGTTGTTACAGATGCATTGACGCTCGCTTGAAAATGTGCGATAGCGCAAACAGCATTAAAGTAGAGGGAATTCGAGTGAGTAAGTCTGACGGCTGCGTGATAGGAGACGATCGAGATGTAGCAAGTCGCAATGTTGAGATAGAAGTGAGCCCTCGCAGCTCGATCTGTATGCAAACAGCTGTTCAAGGGAGAAGTGGCTGGCATATTGCCCGAAAGGCAAATTTGCCCGACTCACCGGTCTCGTGTGTGATGTTTAGCCTACACGGTGGTGTATGATCATTCAATTCGAGTATTGCTCTAACGCTTTTCTTATCGGGTACCAAGGCGTTCAAAGCACTTGTCAAAAGGGTATGCGAATGCATGAGTCTGCAATGTGAGACAAGAAAGAAAACATCGAGGAAAAACGACAGCCGATACAAATTCAATCTGATTCGCCTTTTAGTTCGGTGATAATGAATTGCAGCTGGAAGAGTTCCACACCGCTGCTTGCAACACCTTTGCACTTTTTCGGTCTTCGACTGAGTAGGCGCCGGGAAGGTGATAATGTGAACAGAGTCTAAGTGGTCGCTGCTTTTCCGGGGTTCTTCTGGACCAGATCACCTCGTACCACCTAGTTAATGCACTCAACACGCGCGAACTGTGAGACTTGAGCGGATGTGAGAGATGCGGTATTTTCGTCAACCGCGTACAATGTGGCAGCCCGTGACAATCTGGACGGTATTGAGCACATCGTGACGAGTCGTCTTCATAACGCAACTTGTCTTAACGATCGAATTCGATCCACGAATCGGGCAACTACACAACGGGCGCCCGACAATCGCGCTAACTGAACCAAATCGCTCACACGATTATCAACCAAAGTGTTGATAATTTCGCTCGAGTAACCTCCAATTGATGACTGTAATGCAAGTCCGGTATGACTCAAGAGCTCCGATTCGACGGCTGTCCTAACAAGTCACTTGCGTCCCATTGCATTTTGCCAGAGGTGAAAGACTAAACTTGCCGTTGCTGCCATCCGTTTCCACGTCGTCTTTACGTAGGTACGAAGCGCAATGACATGTTGAGACTTGGCTGCAGTGCCAGTCAAACTGCTTCACCAAGTTTGCAGCCAATGCGGCGTGCAGCAAATTACACAGTCAGCGTGATAGCGAACAGGAAAAAACCAGAAGCCATGTCCCAACGCCTTACCACGGACATACACAACATTAAACGACGACGTCGACAGTTTTGCATGTCACTTCGCTGGTGTCCGACTTTTGTGTTTATAACATAGAAGCAGCGGTGCAACAAGCACTCCAAAACAACATTGCTCCAGGTCGTGGATGCCACCGTTAAGCCTCCCGCCTTTGCAACCTTTCTTGTTTTTCAGGCAATTCTATCGCCGGCTCGCACATGGGAAAAACGGCTAGACGAGCTCTGTTCGTAGTGAATTCCAGTCTCAAATTTGACGCGGTAAAGATGGCAGACCCCGCAGCAGGCACACCACCATCAGACAAGGGCGCTGTCATCGTCTCGGCGCAGCTCACTGCTTTGTTATTGAAAGACGAAGACGACACAGATGTCATCACTGAATCTAGCACTCCGTCCACATCGCCTTCTGTCATGAGATCTTCCTCGCAGAAAGAAGAGAACAAAGTACCGCCGAATGATCGTCCTCTACTATTCAGCTCGATGCGCGAAGCGCTTGCAAGCTCGGGTCGATTAAAAGAAGAGCCGGGAGGATATGTGATCAAGCACCACAGTGGCCGAAGTCAGCAGCAGCAATCACGCAACTTAGAAAGGCCCAAGAACCGACACACAAAGCAGCGATCCCATAGCAAGAGCGACGCGGGTTTCAACAACAGTAGTACGGTGAACGCAGGCGAGGATGAGGCAGATGCTGCTGGATACACAGTCACGCGACGGCGGTCGTCCTGTGACCACAGCCAGAGTATCCCTGTCGCTCCAAAGCGGTCCAACCAGCGGCCTTCTTTCTCTGCTCGAGGCAGGAAGAAGGCTCCGCAACATCAGCAGCCAGCACGTCCACGACGCGGCAGCATGTCGACGCTGTCACAGAGCCATCTACTGGCTATTCCGACGACTCTCCCTTCCTCCAGCGTCCCTCCTGGCTTCCAGCCTCGTCCAGTGTCGCGCGTATTGCAAACTCCGCCCGGTCTAACACCTGCTGCGTCTGGGTGGGTGGTAAAAGCTGCAGCCCCGGCTGGAAACGCGAACAAGCTCGAGGAGCCACCGGTCGAGGCTTTGTGGCCTGAGATGAAGGCAACGGCCACGACGGACAGCGGCTGGGCGGTCACAACGACGCCGTCATCGTCGCTTGGGAGTAGTTTACGGTCGGAGACTTGGGCGAGTGCTACGGTGGACCACGATGATGACGACGACGACGGTGATGACGATGATTTGCTGACGCGACTTGGCGTCACGCTCTAAACGAATGCAAAAAAGACTTGCGACTCTAACCGACTTGTGTTGGTCCCTAATAGTCGACTTGGTGTTTGTATGCCCCGATAGAGTTAAGGCAGGTCTGCGATTACGGTAGTCTCTAGTGTCTACGTCATCACGACGATGTTAAGAGACGAGCCGGCAATTAATTACCCTGCGTTGTGATTGGTGTATAAGGGTGATTAGTAGATGATCGGTCGCTGATTCTACTTTATTACAGTCTAGCCACTCCGGGGAGTCATGTCACACTTAACGTATGTGCAGAGACAGGTGTGGACAGTGTGACTCGCCCCGTTTGTTTGACCCGACATCCTGTCGCCCTCTCGTCTTCTGCATCGAGTTCGAAGGTCCTTTTACTCGTCGAGAAGCTCTTGACGTACGCAGCTGCGCAACTCGCACTGGAGAACAGCTACTTCTACAGCTGCAGTAGTAACAGTAGCCATGGGATGGTACGACGGAGGTGAGAAGCTGCTAGAGGAGGAGTACAGCGTGCGTCTTGGCGAGAACATTTTGGTCGCGAGCATCGCGTTTGTTCTCTTTTGGGCCACTTTTGGGCTGTCGTGGTACATTTCCAGTCGGCGCGTACCCGAATTTGCCAGCTTTTCGACCGCTCATAAAGCAGACTGGTGTTCCCGGTGAGCTGATTGCGGGTTTTCCAGAGATGTCTAAGGACCAGCGTCTATCTCATTTCGTTTCTTTGATGCTGCTTGCTGCATCTGCAGAGTCAACTCGACCATCCACGCGATCGTCATCGTGGTCGGCGTTGCGTACGCGCTGGCCGATATCACGTGGGCCGATGAGTTCTTGCCCGTGTCATCGATCCGTGCAGCAAGCTTCATCTTCTCGATCGGTATGATACCTTAAGTAATGGATTTATTCTGGTGGTGCCGGCTGATGTGCTTTTGGTACTGCTCTGATTTGTTGCAGCTATCGGCTACTTCTTGTGCGATCTGATCATAATCGCCATGTGGCCTGTGCCGATGCAATGGGTCTTTATTGTCCACCACATTGTCGCAGTGTACGTCGCCCCCACGCTATTTGTCTTATCTTCGCTCACCCGCATACTACTCGAACCACTAATTTCTGCTTGTTTTTGTTGATGACTTTGCATCTGCTACCAGTGTCCCGTACTTCATCAACAATTTTATCTCGTGCTGTGCTGCCTGCCAGTTTGGCCTATTGCTGTTCTTGCTGGTCGAGCTCGCAACGCTGCCGCTTAATGCTCGCGGCTTCCTGGACGCCAGGGACCGCCAGGACTCTAGGCACTACATGCCTTCTATCTACGCCACGTACGTTATCTGGGGCATCTCACGAACGGCACTGCCAATCTATGTCATGTACTGCTTCTGGGCGTATGCGTACCCGTCGGACCGCAATCACGACACGTGCTTTTTCCCGAACCTCGTGAGTGCGCACATTATTGCGCTCTTTTGTGTCGGTGTCTTCTTTTGCGTGCACACCCCCGAGATGATTCGGATTCGACGTGAACATGGACAAGCTCGTGGTCATCCAGGAGACCCATCAGGTAGCGAAGTGGCTGTTAATACGGACGATGCCGATGCAGTTGGCTCTGGAGTGTCGGACGTTTCCAGCTCGAAAGCCGATCTGCCCAGCAGTCTCCGAAGCCTCACGTTGTCGCTTTCAAGACCGAAGGAGCCAGTGACGGACGATTCGTATGATGATGTTGAACTTGGTGTCATGCCTCGCAGTGCTCGGGCGAGTCCAAAGTCGTCGCATGGACCAGTGACGACTTCTGGCCGAATGTAGCCACTATCGACTGTGTTTTAGAACGTGCAAAGCTCGTATTGAAAGATGATGTATGACTACGAAAATAAGACGTAATTTAAAAAGCTGCTTTTCATATCTTTCGGCCAATCACTCGAGAGCAGCGACCCTCACCAACGACCCAGATCATCTCGACGGCGCCATGCGGCTCACGGCAGACGTGATTCTGCGCGCACAGGTGTCGATCAACCCGTTGCGCGAACGCGAGCTGAACCTTCGAGGTACTGCCTCGTGTCTTGTCCATTTATAGCGCCTACTTGTGCTAACAAGGCTACAGGTTTCAAGGCTCCCGCGATCGAGAACTTGGGCATTACTCAGGTCTGATTCATTCGTTCTATCGCGGGGTTATTGATGTTTTTTTTGATGGGTACATTCTTTCGGAACTCTTTTTTTACATGTGGCTCGATATCCAGGATGGGTTCGACTGCATCGATTTCTCGGATAATGAGATCAAGAAGCTCGAGAACTTCCCGCGTCTGCGTCGGCTCCGGATGCTGCTGCTGCACAACAACCACGTGTCCAAGATTCAGGAAAATTTGTCCGAAGCTATTGCAAACTTGGAGTTCCTCATGCTTACAGGAAACCGCATTGCGCAGTTTTCCGAGGTCGACCACCTTGCTTGCTTCACCAAGCTGGACACACTCTCGCTCAGCGGGAACCCCGTGACAAAGCGCAAGTACTACCGCGAGTACGTCATCTACAAGCTACCGCAACTGCATGTCCTCGACTTCCAGCGTATCCGCCCACGTGTACGTCTTCTTTGTTGTTATACTCGTTTGATGAAGCTGGAGGTGAAATAGATTCATGGAGTGAGTTGTCTGGCATCGGGACAGGATCGTGAGGCGGCTAGTGCGTTTTTCAACTCGGTGGTTGGACAGAGAGCCATAAAAGAGGCCCATGGAGAAAGTGTTGCAGCCCCTACGCAATCAATGGAGGACGTGACGATTACAGAGCAACAAGCGCCCGTTGTAGTGAACGTAGCACCTCCTTTAGAACCACGTGCTTCAGACGTGTCTAAGGCAGAGGAAGAAGCCAAGGTTGATTCGCCGAAAACGACTGCGGAGGCGGAGCCGATGGATGAAGCAGAGGCATCAGAACCAAAGCAAGCACCACCACCTGCAGATGTGGAAATGGAAGATGCAAGCGAGGAGATTGCCGTGTTATACACGCCATTCAAGCCCATATCACAGATGACTGTGTCTATCTTGCGCGAGGAGCTGAAGAAGCTGGGCTTGTCTATTAAGGGCTTGAAAGCAGAGTTGGTGAAGCGTTTGAAGGAGGCTGCCGGTGAAGCATAAACTTTGTTTTTTACCACCAGCAGCGAAAAGATAGAGAACAGAGCACACTGGGCTGTGCGCACTAATGCAACAGCTGACTGTTTGCCGATGGTGACTTGAGCTTTGTTTACGAAAGGCGTTTATAATGTACAATCGTTCGCTACTTGCTTCATTGCTACCTCTTGGCCATGATTGATCTCGTCTGCTCTACTAGCTCTAAACTAACGCGCGATCATCTAATACGGCGCACTACTCCGGCTCAGGCTCTCTGCACGGTCACGGCGCGTCTGCGGGATCTTGGCAAATTTGCCCTCGTCGTACTTGTACATGAGCGGAACACCTGTGCGGCAATTCGAGTCTCAGCGCTAGATATTCACACAAAATATTCCGGCGCGTAGCCTACATACCGGTCGGGGCGAGTAGCAAGCATTTATCGGGTGCTGTTTTCTCCAGCGTCATCTGCTCGTTGAATTCTGTTGCATCCATACCATCCAAGTACTTGATGAGCGTGCGAATGACAAAGCCGTGCGAGGAAACCAGCACATTGCGCCCCGCCGCAAGATGCGGCATAATAAACGAGTTGAAGAATGGAATGGTCCGATTGTGGATGTCTTCACAGCTTTCGCCGTTTGTTCCGGGGAACCGCGTGTAAAAGTCATTTCGAATCTTTTGCACGCGCTCTCGGTTAAACATGACAATGTGCTTTGTGCTCGGTACACCCTACACGCACCCGACCCAAGTTAGCACTATTGCAAACAACGACAAACACTGCAAGCGCATAGCAGACCTGCAAGTCACCAAAGTTCCTCTCATTGAGCGCCGGCGATACATAGACCGGAATGATCTGTACCATAACAAATCAGTCATTGTAGAAGAAAACACTGTATCGGTCCATTTACTGCCACGTACAAAGTCGTAAGGACTCTTGTCATTCACCCCCTCAAACGATGGTCTCTCCAGCGGCGAGCAATGCTCCACGACCGGAGTTTTCTTACTTGAATGCAAACTCAATGCAAGTGACATGGTCGTGCGCGCACGATCCATCTGCGAGCAGAACACCACGTCAATCGGCACAAACTCCAGCCTCTTTCCAGCTTCAAGAGCTTCCTGCATGCCCACTTCACTGTACCCAACACCACGACACTCGTGCGTCAGATCGTTGCCCCCATTTTTGCCTTGTAGCAACAGCAATATCACTCACCTCAAAGGGATGTCAATGGATCCAGCGTAGCGCCACAAATCCGAAGGACGGTCAGGTTTTCGGTTCCAGACGCTCTGGCCGTGACGCAACAGGATGAGGGTCCCACCACTGCCAAGCTCGTGCTCTTGTGCTTCTTCTACGACTCGTTTCGGTACCATTTCGGACCAACTCGGGTCGCACTCGCTCTTGCCCGTGTCCCAATGCACCACGTGTGTCCGTGGCAGCCGATAGCGTCGCTCTGATGCACGCACCGAGTTGCAGCACTCGCCGTCGCTACAGCCGCACGCTCTGACGTCGCGTTGGCGCTTCTGCTGTACCAAGATATTGGTGAGGGTGGCCACAACAGCAGCCAGGGCCAGCGAAGCGAGCCCAGTGAGCACCTTCATACGGGCGAAACAACAGTTGACCTTGCCCGGCAAATGGGACGGCGGTTCAGGACACAGGTTTGACAGCACGGTAAAAAAGGCGACGAGAGACTGTCGCGAGAATGTCGTTATTCCGACACCCTTTTTAGGGCTCATTTTTCGTTGTTATAAAAAAGGTAAAATTAACAAATGTCCCATTTTATCACGGACAAAAATTGTGCCCCAGATAAGTAAGAAATAAAAAAGGCCCAGATACTAGAAAAAAAAAAAGGTGCCCCGTGTTATTGTTTACTCAAGTTAACGTGGTACATATTTGCCGACACAATGCTTTGATGAAGGACTTGACCTAAGATAGGGGAGCAAGCTCTGGAGCTCGCCCCTATAAAAAGCAATTCAGTTCGGTGAACTGAATTAAGTTGCAAATATCTATTTAACGGCAGACCCTGAAGAAGGAGTATGATGCTTTTAATGTATGCTTTAACACAGTACAGTATACTTAAACAGCGCAATCGGCCTTTGCTATGGAGCCCCCAGCACTTACTCATGTGATCATATTCACCTTTGATCGATTTTAAGCCAATCAGATGCGTACATCACAATAGTGACCTAGCCATAGAGTGACACCTATCATACCAATCGACCTATGAGGGGGGACAGGCTAGATCGTATTTAGTAAGAGTGAGGTACACCGAACCGCGTTACACAGATCGGCATTCAGCCTTGCGCAAACTACCTTATAGCTTCACCCTTCGGGCTCGCAATAATCACCATTCACACGCAATGTGCTGATACGTCTTACTTTCTTTACCTCAAGAAATCTCCACGTCCAGCGTGCTGTCTGCTAAGTTTAAAAGCATTGACACCACCAAACACTATCTGCAAAAGCATTGAGTGTCGCCATCAGCACCGGTAAAGCCTTTAAATTAGTAAAAGGAGAATCAAACAGATAGAATGAATTCATGATAGTCTTTTTCATGGTTAAATATGCTCTGCGTTGCTACAGCATTCGAGCAGGAACCGAATCCAACCCCACAAATAAAACCAACTATAAGAGCAGCACTGTGGTTCGAAATTACCACAACACAATACTAACGCCATTAACACCAACAGCAGTAGTAAAGGAGCAGTAGCAGCAGCGAAATTAACAGCTACACCAGTTTTAACAACAGCAATAGCAGCAACGACAAGAACAGTTATAATAACTGTAACGGGGCACCCTTAGCTTGGGTTCCACGAAACTTTACGTACACTAGTACGTACAGAGGAAGCTAATCTACTCAAACGACTCGTTTAAGTAAGGGTAAAAAGAGAATTGTATCAAATATCGTTAAGCTATCAACATAACTTCAATCTTTATCGAACTACACTAATCTACAGTGCCGTATGACGACAATCTGCTCACCACTCATTACGCGCGTCTAGCAGTGATTGTGGTAACCTTGGTTGATATGTCTTTTATCCGCCAATCTTCGAGCAGCACGTGAATATAATCCTAAGGGAAAGATATTCCATTAGTACTACCTGTCTCAGGTAATTTTGGCCGAAGGTTGTCATGCTAGACAATCTTCCTATTGACACCGTTTGGTGTCAATATCATTTAACGGGCTGCCCCGTTACAATATCTTCCTAAACATCAATCAACCGTTGATTGAATAGACTTGATTGGGACAGGGTGACCACCGTTAGATCACTCTGGGAAAGGGAGCACTTGTTAATCAATTTCCATTCATTTGCTATTCTAACCCATTAGTTCGAAATTTAAGCGAGCTGCTACTGCAGCAGCAAGAAAGTTGGCTGCACGCATGCGTGCAGCCGGAGAGAGTACTTCTCACACCTCAGCAGCAAGTGTGATTCGTGCCTCTCCTGCTGCTGCAAACAGTCCACGTGGTTAGTCACCACGTTCGACAGGTACACCCGCTGCATAAGCAGCGGGTACCGCAAATCGTAATTCAGATGAGTCTGAAATAGAGCTCATCTATTCTGGCGAGTCGGATGATGTATCCGACTCGAAGGCGACACCTCACGCGTCCGGATCACCCGGGGCGGACACTGCAAGAGCCAGGTTGACTGGATCTGGCCAGCGTGGCGGCATCATTCTTGAGATCTTCGGATCGAGCATTTATTCCGTCGAATTCTCGCCTCACGCGAGTCCAGCCTACGATAGGACGCGTGGGGATGGTGGGGATGCACCTATACATCACCAAGTGCGAAGAATCTCGAGGAATCGAACTATTACTGGGGTCCGTGCTCATGCTGACACCAATCAAGAGGCCAGGGACCGAAATGTACTGCGCCACGCTCCTCAAGTGGAGTCTGCTTACCTGCCGTCATGCAAGGAGTTGGACCAGTTGAACGGCATGACTACCGATAGGGATTATATCCCGTTGTTCGATTGTAGGAAGATTTGACCACCTAATTCCAGCACGGAAACTATCCGTGCTAAGGAAGAATACTTCACCGATGCATTTTTCAAACATCGGTGGTATAATCTTAACCGTGGCCGAGACGGTAATGCTTTGATGCAAGGATGAAATGCCTTTACCCATAACATCAAGTGCATTGGCCGTGAGGCCTAGCTCGGTAAATTTAATGCAGCTTGCGTCAGGTTTGAAAAGCGCAACCCAGTTGGGGTGCGATACAAGTTGCACCAGATTTTAAAAGAGGCAGAATACCCTGTCTCTCGTGGGTCTATCGATATCCAGGGTGCCTGGACAACTCGAACTATGCATCTAGGGATGCTTACCTCCCTAATGATTCCTACAGGAGGGCGAACATCTCTTCTGAGGTGGCTGAAGGGATGGACACTTTGCAGTCCCTGTACTCGCGTTCGGGGAGGTCATTTTCCGACGGCCCTTCCTCGAACGCAGCTGGTAGGTCTCGTCATATTGCTCGACGAGATGCGTAGCATCAACAATCAGCTGGGATCGAGGCTCCCAGCTGTCCCAGGCCGGTGGATAGCCACGCCAGCGAACGAGGTAAGTCGTCCGGATGCCATTCAAGTCGCAATGGTTCAAAATACGCTCCACCAAAAAGCGTTGACCACCGCCTGAGTCCACCAAAGGATGTGGTGGCGGCGGGAATACTTGATCCAGCTCAAGGGTCGGATCAGCTTGATGTTCAGAAGCTGAACCGTGTAACGGAACAGTTGCAGGATGACCTGGATCATGAACGGACTCGGCGTCATGAGCTCCATGATCTCCTAAAGGATAATTACAATTCCTTAGCGCACGGATCGTTCGGACGATCGTGCCGCTTTTGCGTTTGCGCAACTTGAGAACGAACGTTCGAATCGTCTCTTCGTTATGAGCTGGCTGCAGCCCGTCGAGACATTGCTGAGCTGCGTGAACAGGTCGCTTCGCTAGTCTACCAGACTGGCTCGTTGAACCGGGACCACTCGAGAATGGTCTCGGCTCTCGACCGCGGAGGTGTTCTTCGCATCTCGAAACGAGCTCGTACTGATAGTACGGGCGGAGATGACCGACGTAAAACGTAGGATGCGTGCGCATCTTACAGGGCAGTACAATCGTGTATGCGTTGCCATGTCGGCGCAACATACGAAATGGACCAATGTACCTGGGCAGTAATTTACTACTGCCCACGTTTGTCACTGCGTACTTCGGTAAGTTTACTGTAGACAGTAAATCTAGGTCTTCTTCATCAAATGAAAGAAAATTTGCTCTTCCATTTTTGTCTACGTTTCGTTTCTGTCTGTCTAGTGCATCTGAAATGAAGTCTTGAACGAAGCGGACAACCGCTTCGCGAGTCAGCAGAAATTCCTCTGCTGTTTTATCCTTGTCAACAGCAGTGCGCTTCGTGTGCACTGCTGAAAGGGGGTTGTCTTCACCAGTGAGGGTATCATCGTCCTCACTTTGGCGGTCATTAGCGATGCTGGATATGCCAGAATCGTCATCATCGACATCGATCCCATCGACATCGGCATCCTTCACGTCGACACCATTGTCGACGTTTGATGAGCAAGAACCACATCGGTATTTGTTCGAGCGAGTCCGACCCCCCCAAACTAGAGTTACACCCTAAGAAGTCAGGTAAACGTGAGTGGCCTACCCCATCTACGAAATACGGTGTATGCGTTGTCGACGTCAAATTACGCCATCAGCAGAAATTCACTCCAACTCGTAAACGAGTGGACATACCCTCGAAGTATTTCTTCGACGACGCGGTTGACGCTTTCCGTCTCACCATCTGTTTCTGGGTGGTCAGAAGTTGACATCTTTGAACGTGTTCCAAGTAAACGGAACACGGATTGCCAGCACTCCGCTGTGACGCGGGGGTACCTATAAGACACGAGTTCACGGGGTAACCACTGAAGTCGGAAGATAGTATTGATGAAATAAAAAAACAGCCCTGGGCTGTGATTGACTCCGGTACATCAACAAGATTTACCATCTTGCTGAACTGACCAACAAACACAAGAATACCAGTATTCTTGAGCGTCTTTGGGAAACTCAAAGAAGAAGTCCATCGACACGGACTGCCAGCACTTTGCCGGAATTGGTAGAGGCTGCAAGGGTGCACGGGATGAAGGACTGGGATTCATCCGTTGGCAAACTTTGCAGGCGTAAATGTATTTGTGCACAAAATCATACTGTCGTGGCCAGTAGAAGTCACGACTTACCGTGAGGTAAGTCTTTCCCCCACCGCAATTTCCACTTGTTGGGTCAGCGTGACACTCATACGCGATGCGCAATCGCAAAAAATCATGAGCGGGAACGATGACACGAAGTGTGTCGCTGTTGACTGCTGTATAGTACAGCCGTCCATCACAAACCGAATACCGTTCGGATGAAGAGCGTTATTAAGACGTCAATCTTTTCACAGCTTGAATGCATGGATTGGATATATACTCCATCAACCGCAGAAGAGACTCATCTTCTGCGTATGCTTTCCGCACGTCTTTGAGCAGATTCGACGACGAAACACTCACTGTTAGTGTCGCGACAGTGGGATCACCCCTACTGTTGGGTTGAGCAGTCGGCTTAAAATCGGGCCGACGCGAAAGAGCATCAGCGACGACACTAAGTCGTTATAGTTTGTACTCGACGGAGAAGTTGTACTACGTGAATAAGATAGCCACCTCACCATTCTTTGTGATATGTGTGAACTGTTTAAGGCTGTGCGTAATAAAGCATGGTCGATTTAAACGATGGAGGGATTACTCCCCAAGACATAAACCCGAAACTTAGCCAGTGCACATTTTATGACAAGGAGTTCCTTGTCATGCACCGGGTAATTACGCTCATCTGCTTGCGGCTGACGCGATTGATAACAGACGACGCGCTCAACGCCGTCTGAGTCGTGTTACTGCATCTACGCGCAGCCGATTGCAGAATCTCTGGCGTCACAGACCACATGAAATGTTCCGTCCTGGTTTGCAAACGCTAGTACAGGCGATTATATCAAGCTTTCCTTGATACCTTCGAAGGGGTGCTGACACGCAGCACTCCATGACCCCCTCTCGGTTTTCTTTAACAGACGAGATAGACGTACGGTTACCTCGACGTACTTGTGCAAGTACTTGTGCAAGTACGCCGCTAAGCCAAGGAGCTTTTGAAGTCCCTTGACGTCGATTGGCACAGGACAATCGCTAATTGCCTCAATCTTTTCTGGATCAGGGCGTACGCCATGTTTACCCACGATGCAGCAAAAAAAAGCGGCATTTTTGCTACGAATATACACTTATTGTGGTTAGCGGACATCTTATGCTCTCGCAGAAGTGTACGAACCTTCCGGACGTGGATTATATGAGCCTACACGTCCGTCTTTCCACCCATAGCCTGGCTATGGACACAGACATCGTCATAGTAAATCGGTGCAAAGTCTCGAACCGATCGCAACTGATTCGTAGCACATCTGTTGAACGTTTCAGAGGCGTTACTTAGCCCCTGTGGCATCACTAGCCACTCCCAGAGCATACCACTGGGGGTGCTCACTGCTGTGTACGCGTTGTCTCGTTCACGCACGAGGATCTGATAGAATCCATCCATCAGATCCATAGACGAAAAGATAGTACTCTTTGCCATACCATCTATGATCGCTTCCTTCCGTGGTATCGGCTTCTGAGCGGGTAACGTTGCAGCGTTCAATATGTTAAAGTGTGCACTATCCGCCACCTTTATGTGACCTTTCGCAACAGAAGATCGGAGAACTGTGTGGGGATGTTGTTTCCCCTCACATGACCAACAGCTAAGCGATCGGCAAATAATTTGTCGATCGCTGTTACCTGTTCACGAGGCAGTGGACACTGCTTCATGAAACAGTGTTTCGAACCGTGTTTCGGTTCTATCTCATGCCGAATGCCTATATCCTTAGGCAACTCGCATGGCACGGATTTAGTGGAAACATCTCTGAATTCGATCAAATCCTCATACAAAGGATTTTTCTTTAAAGACTCCCAAGACTGAGACGTGTATCGCTCAATCCGAGTATTCTCATCGAGGAAACTCTTGTCCATCGATGAGCTAGTGAGAACCCGTTCGTTCTTAGAAAACACTCGTGCCGAACGAACATCGGCGACGTACTCATCCTCTGTGACGAGTAAGCAGATCTGCTTGATCTTGTCACTACGCAGATGTTGCAAGAATGTTTTAGATTCTAGCGTGGGCAACTTGATTGCAACCGAAGCTGAATTCGGAGGTGTAACCAGATCAAGTGTATAAGAGCCTAAACTTGATCCGTCATTCACCAAGACGTTCACTGTCTCGGTGCTTTCCTGGAAAAACACGTCCGCAGGTGGTTTGGAGTCCACACCCTCAACACAACTCCCTCGGGAGTTACAACTCTCACGAACGCTGAAATTTTCTTCCATTACATGTTCTGACTGTGTGCACACCATCACATTCACGTCCTCTTCGATCGACTCTCTTTTAGTCGGTCGGGCTTGCTCTACGATCGACTCTTTGATAGTCGATCTCGCTTTAACGTAATATTCATTCTGAGCAGCACAAATCTCTCTTTTTGGATGCACGTGCTCGGTGTGCATCCATAGTCCAATCTACTCGATATATTTGAGTGGTGAACCTTCCGCTAGGCCTGTGTCTCTACACAGGTGCCGAAAGCCGATTCCACAGTGTAGTGGCCTTCTATACTGTGATCTTGTGCAGTCGTACTGACGCCTGTATCACAAGTGAGGCCATCGTACTCACTCGTGGTACATCCACGCGTTTGTAGACGCTTCAAGACGTTCACCAGATGGCCATCTGATGAACGAACGGCAGGCATCTTCACGGATCGATGCTGCCAGCTGATCCATGACTGGTACTTTCTAAGCCATGACAGACCAAGGATGACATCAAATTTGTCATCCAAATCCAGTACGATGAAGTCTTCATCGTACTGCTTTCCTTCTAGCGTGTTGTGGATTCCCACTACACGTTTGTTCACTGTTACGGATGTGCTTGTAGCAAGACACACCGTCTCCTCGTTAGAGGGAACTCTCGCTCAACATAGTTTAGCCTACTGTCCCTTAGCGACTGGCGTCGAATAAAACTGTTCGACGCCCCACAGTCAAGTAGGGTGCGAAGTGACATTCCACTAGTCACTTCGATCTTCAAAGTGATGAGGGACTCCTCGTCACTAGGGGCAGTAACACACAGCGACTGTGTGTTGAGAGAAATCTTCGTCAAGAGTCCTGCAAACTCTCTTGACGTTGCTGGATCAGCAGGGTGCTTCGCCCCAACTGACCCTGAATGTTTTTACCGGTCCGACTTGCTGTCACGGTTCAGCAACATGGTCGGACGCGCGCCTTGTACCTTTTCTTGGCCAAGGGCGGTCATCACGTTTTGGACGTGATGCGGTGCTTGAGACACCACACTCATGTGTGTAATGTCCGATCTTCTGTCAGCGATGGCATCTTGCCGTTCGCTTGTGACTCAGAGAGCGAGAGGTTAAGACTTTAGCCTGAGACTGTCTCAGGCTAAAGTCTTCTTGTTCCGCATACGCTATCGCATTTTCCAGCGTATGGAAGTCCTATCGGAACATGTAGGTCTTCACCGGTCCATCTACCAGGCCGTAGATGAACACGTTGATGAGTGTGTGCTCGTCAACAGAATTTTCCGTGAAGCTACTAGCAAGGTAGCGTAGGTGTTGTGCATAAGCGTGCACATCACGCTTACCTTGCTTGAGCCTCAGGAGCGCAGCGAGTGCTCTGAACTCGGTTATTGGCGGCTCAAAAGTCTCTTTGAAACGACACTTCAAGGTCTCTTACGACTCGAACACATTAGGGTCGTGAAGCTTGAGTTTTAAGGCCCAAGTATTTGCTCGTTCTGTCATCTTTGACAGGGCGAAGGTGACTTGCATCTCGTCACCCTCGATGTGACGCGCCCTGATGGCGTCGTCTAACTCGACGAACCATCTTAAAATGGAATCTTTATCGGTTCCCTTGAACATTGAGATATCTATGTTCAAGGTTTCAGATCGACGCGTGTGCGTCAGCCTGCCCATCGACTGATGAGAGCCTTGCTGCTGTAGCAAGGCTATCTTCCGTCTTTCGACGGCAATTTTCCCTTGTAGGAACTTGTTGATAGCGGCACGTTGCTGGTTTCGGTATAGAGTCTCCAACATGCCACTGATGGCGGGTTCGCCCAAGAGCAACTCATGTGGCCAACTACCTCCCATTCTGAGTCACTCAGATGGGAGTAGCCTTCGCGTGTGACGTGAAAGCTGTCGTCTTCTACGTCCAACATGTTCATGTTGGACGGACACTAAGTATTCGTTGGACGGACTACAAAGTGCCACCAGGTGTAACGGGTCACTCTTTGTTTGGGGTGCCACGAAACTTCACGTACACTAGTACGTGCAGAGGAAGCTAATCTACTCAAACAGATCGTTTGAGTAAAGGTAAGAAGAGAACCGTATCAATTACAATTATGCTATCACTAATACTTCAATCTTATCTAACTATATTAAACTACGTCGTCGTATGACGACAACAAGCTCACCACTCATTGCTCGCTTCCATCATTGATTGGACCGCTTAAGCTTTCTAATATGATGGCTCATATCAGCCAATCGGTGAGTATTTCTGAATACTACCTCTTATGATAATATTTACGAGTATTATCAACCTTTATGATATAATTCTATTTAAAAGTTATTAAGTTAATTACACGTAACGGGCTTACCCCGTTACATTTTAGCTACTCCGCAGCCTATAGGATGACATTTGCAGTGCCAACGCCACGCAAAACACCCTCGATGCTTGGCTTGAATAGGTTACTTCCTTTCATTTGGCGCTAATTTTCCATCTAAATAATAACTCGCTACATGGCAATGAGTTATAAGTTACAAGTTAGCGCCCATGGAAAAACCATAGAACGAACCCGGTGGACATCCCGTCCTATAAAATAGCGAAGGTTATTTGTTATCGGGAGAAAAGTAATCAGAGGGCTTACCGAAGCGAAGTTTCGGTAGTAAATAACATGGGACGCACATTAGAAATAAACCAGGGTGATCGATCGGGTCGCCCTGGCGACGAGGCCGGGTCATGGGTCGAGGTTTGGCCCAAACCATCGGCCCGGGTCGGAGTATCAATGACGGACCTGGGCCGTTATACCGCGGTATGTGCAGCTCATGCTTCGTACTTAGCGAGACTAATATTCTCAAAGCATAGAATGCGCCTGGCTTGAAGTTGAGTTTCAGTGAAAAGCCGTTTCGTCGTACTTAGCCGAATGCCCCCACCACCGGAATGACCTCGGGGACCATACAGTAAGTAAATCATTGGAGAGCAGTCAGTTTCCAAGAATTCCCGCGAAGTACCGACCATTGATATGACAGTACCACAAGCATCAGCGGTAGGGACGCCTGCCGCCTGCACACCTCAAAACGAAGCGCCAAAAATGGCAGCTCCCATGGACTTGGCGGAGCTAGTCGAGACGCTGGAATGCGAGCTCGAGCGGGACCCAGAACTTGCCATTAAAGACAAGCCCAGGATTCGTCAACTGCTCGAGTATGCGAATTACTTTGGTACAGTTGAATGACCAAGGACGTTGTCATTTCTAACAACTTGGTGGGTGCAACTGTCGTGCGTGAACAGGGAGTTCCCGGTCAACATGCAAGAGCTGCAGCACTTTGCTCACTTTGACCCTTCACGCAACTACACACGCAACCTCATCTCGACTGATAACGAATCGTATGCACTAATGCTGCTGTGCTGGAACCCTGGAAAGTATAGTCCGGTTCATGACCATCCGACGGATGGCTGCTGGGTTAAAGTGATCCAAGGGTGTGTGAACGAAGTGCGCTATGAGAAGCAGGATGGCCGGCTCGTAGAGACTTTCAACGGACAGTTCACATCGGGTGTCACGTACATGGACGATTCGTTTGGCCTGCACAAAGTGGGCAATCCTCACGCAGAGATGCGTGCCATTTCGATGCACCTTTATGCGCCTCCGTACGAAAAGTGCCGCGTCTGGCTTGACACGGAAGACGCCAGCAAGTCATCGGTGTCTGTGCCTAACTACTACACCGAGTACGGTGAGAAGATCAAGTATGCGTAGTACCCTCGTTGGTCTTGCCTGTGCTCATGGATTGTACTCAATGGCTCCGCTACGGACAATGCACGTTCTGTATCAGTACATACACGCTACATTTCGAAGTTCATGACAACCTCGTTGCAATACACGCCGTCTTCTTTTCTTGTCTACACTCGATTCTGCGGCGGTATTGTTTCGTGCGCTGGATAAGCTCTTGACACTTCGAGTTATGATGCAGCTCGCACGCCACACTGTCATATTCGTCAATGGAAATACTTGTCTAACCGTTCAGAACACAACAGCGCTGAACCACATTGTAAGTTAGGCGAGCGGGATCACACACGTAGCTATGGTATCGGCAGATTGTCATCCTGTTTCGACGTCGACAGATAAGGATACGCTAGCCATGTTCGGTGGCAAGCAGAAATTTTGACACGTGGTCAAATTCGGCACCGTCTCCACGAGATACAAAAGCTTGAGGGCAAGCGTCTCTTCAAAACATTGCTAACCGCATACAGTTTGGGACCGAACTAATGATGGAAGTAGCAAGCTTAGTCCGTACCCAAACTCAAAAGCGTGGTCGTGTGTGTCAGCGCAACAGACGTGTGGAAAGACAAAGGTCTTGCAGGACATGATGTGGCGTACTCTCGGAAAGCCTGATCAAGTCAGAGCTGTGCTGTGAGGTTTCATCAGCACAAAGTGGTTTCGATGCAAAGTTTGAGTGAATCTCGAAGCACCGTGTACCCAGACCCGTACCTGGGACTTCGAGCCTTGCAAGGATATGCTATCGTCGACATCCATACTGACCGGACAAGCTGACATTTGCAATCCTCGCTGCATCGTAATTATAACTCACAGGCCACGAAGCAACGCATCGAGACAGAAGGCTGGACCTTAGGTGATGATAATCGACATCCTGTCGTAGGAACGCTCTTTTAAACCCCAGAAGCGAAACCAGCAGATCGATCTCGTTCAAGTCGAGCGCTGGATCGAGACGTTGATCTTGGCCGAACGAAAATCGTGCAAAACCTTTGATGTTCTAGGTATGAGATGTCAACTGAGTGATTAGCGAAAGCAAGCTGAATTAATAAAAAATTTAAATTAGATGAAAATTTAAAAAAAATGAATTCTGTAAGTGAAAATAAATTCATATTTTAATTATTTTTTTTAATTTATGATTGAAAAATATGTTAACAATATCAAATTAAAAGTTAATAAAAATTTAAGAGTTTGTAGGTGGTTTTTTAAGTTGAAAGAAACAAATTAAAGCTCAACTTTATGGTGAACCCATACAGTCACCACGCGATCGGATCGTTGTGCCACATCTAGCCATCATCCAGATTGCGGCTACTTACGTACTGAACGAGACCGACCGTCGTCAGTGACTCCAATGATGCAAGTGCTTGCGTTCATCTTCAATGCATTTGCACTTCCCAATCGGCAGCCAGCCGCAACAACGGACAGACACGAGACCGTCCGGGGAGCCAGGAAACTGGCCACCTTGCCTCGGGCGGCCCCTTGAGATCCAGTGCCGATTGTTTAAGTACAAAAGCACAGAGCTAGATACTTTTCGTGTAGTGGTGATTCTGGCGCACGTTAAGCACGTTGTGAGCCCGGGCCGGCCTGGAGAGCAAGAAGTCGACTACGAGGTGATGGTCAGATATTACATCAAGATGGCTCGCTGGAACTACCGCAGTGGTAACAGGACTCCTAGTCAAGCGTCCTCTATCCCCTAAATCAAATCGCTTCAAGCGCAAAAGCAGCCCCGCCAACCGGTAGAGTGCACACAAGACATTAACCCCAGACCTGGTCAACGGACGGTTTCTACGGGCCCTTTCGGGAGTGCTCCGTCGTGACGCCCGACGTCTAGAGCCCGCGGAATGAGAAAGTTAGAAGTAGTAGTAAGACTGTGTCATGGTAGATGCCACGACGTGGTTGCCACACAACCAGACATCTCATCAGTGAGAAGTAGCTATTAATAGTCAGTCTGAGCCTCTCTACGTTTACAGCTGTATTAAGGACAATTTCTCCCGTACGGGCTCTGTACAACTCTCGGATGGAATACACCAATCAACAGGAACTGCAAAAAGAAGCGATAGTCGCTTCTGCAGCCGATAAAAACGCGTTTCTCTTCTCTTTTTAGTGCACTGACGTGGAGCACATTGTTTGTAAGTGTCGCTCGAAGGTGACCTGACGTCTGCTGCCTTGACAACTACTTGGCGACCATGGCCGATGTCGACTACTATCGGGCCCTGGGCATCGAGAAGACGGCCACAGAGGACGAAATTAAGCGCGCGTATCGAAAGCTCGCCGTCCGCTTCCACCCAGGTGCGTCTACAATGCTCTTCTTCGTTGTCTCGGCTTCTTGTTACGTAAAGAAACATGTATGATTGTGTTTTGCTTTTTACAACTTGTAGACAAAAATTTAGACAATAAAGAGCAAGCAGAAGTCAAATTTAAAGAGATTGGAGAGGTTCTTGACACAGTGTTGCTTCGTACCCATTAGCTATCAAGTTGCAAGCACTGACGTATTGGAAATGGTGTGTCACTCTAGGCGTATTCAGTGCTCTCGGATGTTGACAAAAGGCGACAGTATGACCGTTTTGGCAAGGCTGGAGTCGGAGGAGGCACTGCAAGTAGCGGTGGCGGATCAAACCAACACCCGTTCCAGGGACAGGATGCTGAAGAGATCTTTCGCTCGTTTTTTGGGGGCCAGGATCCATTTTCCATGTTCTCACAGGAAGGTATGCGGGGCGGAGGAGGCATGCGCAACTTTGGAGGATCTCGCGTGCACGTGTCGCAGTTCGGGCCAGGAGGGTTCTCTTTTGCGTCTTTTGGTGGAGCTCCCGGTATGGGAATGGGTATGCCGGGCATGCGGGTACATAGAGGAGGCCAGCAACAGCGGTGAGTGTTGACGTCTGTGTAAAAACGTCAGCGGGTGTATCGAACATTTGCAACACTGCTGGATCCTGCTGGTTTCTATGGATTAACGATGTCGGTATGTTGCACAGTGTACCAGGTGGCCCAAACGTGTCCGGTAACAATGCTGGAGAGCAGGCAAACGGACGTCTCTCACAATACCGGATTGGCGGCGGCAATATGCTGCTGCTTTTCTTCCTCTTGTGGATCTTGGGCGTGCCATTCAGCTACTTGTGGATCGCGCTCATGTTGTTCAGCTACCTCGGACTCGTCTAAGCTAGAAAACAAAAGCAGCTACAGACAAGAAGCAGCGAGTGGTGTCAAGTCTAATCGGGTCGCTGGCTACAGCTAGTTGAGATCAAGCAACCTTCACATATCGATAATCGCTTTGTGTACAAAGCCGTTTTTGCTCGACTTACAAAGCTCTTTTTCTATTCCGCGACAGCAAATCGTCCATCAAAATAAGGTTCCAAGCGCAGTCTAACTGAGACTTTCGGACCTTTTATGGAAGTATGTGGTTTCAGCCGGGCAAGGCTATTCCGTACTTCAAATTTTGCTATTCCGTACTATAAACGCCGTTAAATGCTGTTACGAACAGCTATTTTAGCTTATTAGTTATGTTTTGTCTGTATGCTAAATATAGAAGGTCAGAGGTGCAAAGATTAAAGAGCTTCCATTGACTGGATTTAGTGCTAGGCCTAATGGACGGGTTCACTCCCCAATCTACAGAGCAGTGACTTGTAGTCTAGGCGGAGTACAAATCGGGCTTACACTGACAAAGGTGCGCGCAATGGCATCCCTTTGCTCTCCTCCGCCTGGAGGAGGGGAGAACACGGACGGCGGCACGCAGGGCGCGGAGGGCCGGTCTGGCGACGTCGCCGGTCCAGCCGATGGACGGTCGGACGCGATCACACCATCGGAAGGCCTGCCCGCGGAAACTGCACCCCCCGCTGGGGGGCGAATTAGGCGGCACGACTGGTGGGGGTTACCCAGGCGCGGCTTCATTGGATGGGCAGGCTCCGGTTGACCCCAATCAACTAATGGGCTCGCCTCCGCTCGAGCAGCCAGCGCCCACAGACACAGGCTCCAGCACCCACACGGGTTTGACTGGTCGGATCTGTGGCGAAGGGGGCCACCCACTTAACGCCTCCGGCGCATCGCCGATGATGAGGCTTACGTCGGAAACTTCTGTGCGGACGCCTGCCCAGCCCTCTTTAACATCATCCGAGATGTTCACCGCACTGGTGGAGAAAATGGCTGAATCTCCTCAAGTAAGACCAGTGCAGGCGTGGTGCGATAGGATTCGGCACCTCTTCGCGGAGGTTTATCACGCAGTACCAGTGCGATTGGAGGATCTGCTTGCTGAGCGGAAGCGCTTTCCTCCTCTTAATGCAGCTGAAGCGGGTCTCCTGCTAAATTTGTTCGAGCAAGCTCACGTTACGCGTCGAGGAAGCTATTTGGAATGGAAGAAAATGTCTTCGGCGATAACCCGCGAACATTTAAGGATACCATCCGGCGTTTAGCCAGCCAGCATAGATGGTCCCATTCCCCAGTTTTGAGTCAGTGGGCACAGGTGGTGCGCACAGGGGCGACATCAACGGGTCCCGACCCACCCCGCGACAGTACAGACATGTCTCGATATGAGGGTTTCATGTTCGATCCATCGGCTTCTCGGCGGATGCGACCGCCCGTCTACAAGCACTCTGCGGAGCCTCTGGGGCCCGAACTGGGCTGCACCATGTTCGGGAAGGCACGGACGATGAGTGGTCGTTTATCGCCGGATTAGTGGAAGGCACCGTGGCTTGCAGACGTCTGCCAAATTTTGTCAAACGAGTCCTGCGAAGCGAAGAACGGCTACGCCTGTATAGTACCATCCAGGCCCAGGTTGAAGGAGAGATGATTTTGCAATTGGACCACGTTCGTCGAGTCAAGGTGAGCCGACAAACGACGAAAACCTTAACTGCGACCATATTGGAATCAACGGAATTGGCGCGGGTAAGCCTTACCACGCTCCACCTTATGCTCAGTCAAACCAAGACGATCAGCTATGACCACGTCAACAAGACGACCCACTTTTACTTCTTTACTCAGACTACAGCAGCCTGCCACAAAGCGGTCCGGGTGCCGTTCTTTGGAAGACTGTATCGGCTCCGAAATGCTCACCGTCTAGAGAGCGGGTCGGTCTGGCAACGGAAGCAAGGGCTTAATGGGTTACCTTATGGACGGCGAGTGGGGTACACTGTGGACCTTCATAGCTTCACACGTTTTAGTGATGTGGGCAAACTCGCGGCATTTCTGAAGGAGAAAAGTTCAACGGACTTTGACATGGACACGCACACACCGGATTCGAGGACGTCTACTATCTGAAGGGTAGCTTTTGAGCTTGCGGGGTGTCCTACTTTCCTAGGTGACGTTGTCCGTCTTATCTGGTTTGCACGACCATCATCGTTAAACACCCTTATGTGGGAAACAGGTTGCACTGCCTACAATGTGGTAATCCCGGGCACACCTTATCTCGATGCAGTTTTACGGATGCGCAGCTGAAGGGCCCCGGTGGAATTGTTGTGACGGGAGGGGACGTACAAGAGCTCTAAGACCTCGAAAAACCTTTCTCTAGCCTCGAGGATCTTAGAGCTATGGCGGCGCAGCGACTTCAGCTCAAAGGGAGGCTGAATAGGTGGTTCAGCACGCCGTAACGCCTTCTGGGCAAATGACGGGGTCGGAACAGCATCCGGTTGGCACCACGCCTCTACCGAAAGAGGCCAGCAGAGCTTCGCAGGAAGAGCAAGGCAAAAAATTTAACATCTCCAGCCTTCACCTAGACCGGTGAGGCAGCAACCTTTACTCTCTATACCTTCTAAGGGGAGCTTTAAATGCCCGAGCGGTCGTGCGTCTTCAAGTAAAACACACTTGAAGTCAGGCACATACCCTGTCCTGGGGGAGGAAGACGACGAGAAGAACGGGGCTTCTAGCGGCCAGATGACTCCCGAAGGCTTTGAATCAAGTTCCTTAACTGTGGACTTAACTACGGCGGTGGAAGCCGATGGTACGGGCCCTTCCAGGTATTCTTCTCTCACAACAGAGGACCTAATCCGGAAAACGGTCAGTCAACAGAGGGGTACGTCTCTAGTCTCGACTGTACCTGTTCTACTAACCCTGAAGCGTCACGAACGAACAGCTCTGCGCAAGCAGTTCTCAACGGCCCTACCGATGGGCGCTCGATCAACGACAATCTCGGCTGATATGGCTGATATAGAACGCCAACTCGGCGTGAGGTCTGTGGTCACATTGGCGACAGGGAACTGCCCTGCTATGGCGATAACTCAGGCGGTTGCGGATGCTAAGCTGGAAGCACCGGACCGGGCACTGATGATGGTAACAGCCAGTATTGAACGTGGTATTAAGTATACAGGACTGTAAACGCTCTAAGGACAGCTAGCTCACGATTGACGGGTTCATCTGTTAAATAACGTAGGCCGAGGGGTGGCCAGGGATGTCCCGCACTGAGTCGTCCTCTCAAATACGGTGGTATTTAGAAGATTATGCGTCCAGTCCTTGGAGTGGACGGATATAGTACCCTCGGACACATGGGAATAAGTGAATCGGTGGGTATGGCGGCCAATTTTTGCAACAACCCATATACGTCATCCGGCGCGTCGAAGGCCAGTCACAGAGCTGGAGGTGCTTGAAGTATGTTCCAGTTACTGTTTCCAGGCACAGTCGCGTGACGGAGACCGCGGGAGAACATATGCTCACACCTTTAGCGCTTCTTGACGAGGTGGTTGCTGCCAAGATTGAGTCACCGTATCGCCCCCCGCTCAACCTACAATACCAGGACCGCCATTATTCAGCGTTTATTCACTCGGGTCGTACCAGTCGGCTCCCTGAATTTGAGGCGGAGATGGACCTGGTCGAGTCTACAGCGCTGGGCCAAACAGAGCACTCTACACGCCCACCGATCGCCCCGACGGGGATGACGGACGCCACGCAGCAGGCTGCACCTATGTCCGTTTCCGCCATACTCTGTCCCGCTCCACTAGAATCGGACCACTTTGCAGCCACCGACGGTGACACTTGCACATACCATTTCCAGGTGCTCGTGGTCGTTGAGCACAGGCTTGTGCTTCCTGAACTCCCACTCACGCACCCGCTTGGACCACGGCTAACCCCACCGCCAGATCACAAACGAGGGATAAGCACATCACCAGAAGAAGACCAGTCAACGGGGGAGATTGTGCCGTACCAGCCCGAAACGACGGTCCACAAAAAAGGCCGCGTCGGGGTCGCACCTCCGACGATAATCACAGATGACGTGGACTACTACCGTATCGATCGAGGGGATTGGGCCTCGGCGTGGAAGCGGTTGATATCGCACTAGCTAAATCCCTTGCAAATCCCGTTTCCACGGCCGGTAGCTCCACGAAGGAGTGGCAACACGCTGCTTTAAATGCTCCAGACCATTTACTATGGCTTCTAAATCGATTCATGCTACCGGGGGAACTTCTCCAAATTCTAGACGTGTCCGTCATTGTCCTATGGATGGCAGAGAGTCGGCAGGGCGTGTGTCGAGGTCTCGTTGCAGCGCTATCGTGCGACACCACTAGATCAATTAACGCAAGCCTGGGTGGATGGCTGGCTAGAAAAGGCGCAGCATCCGGGTAATTCCTTCTTAGCGCCGCTACTGGACCATTCGAGGGATCGGAACAAACTGAAAGCTAACAATTTTTCTGGAGAAGACCTGCTTAGAATTTGTGATCCTCGCCGTCGAACCCGGAAAATTCACCGCTTGCTATGTGCACTCCTCTACGACCATGAAGTTGCAGCTCTAGTCAATGGGGTGCCATCCAGTCCAGGGGTGCAGGACAAAATACGAGCTCATATGCGGCTTATCTTAACCAACATCAAGTACAAGGAAGCCTACTACACATCCACACAATTAGCGGATTGGGCGGCGAGTGAGAGGGATTCTACACCGGGCTTGCACGTCGACAGGATGACGAACAATTTTAATACTAAGGGCGCTTTACGGGATTAGTTCACGTCACGGTACTACGGGGCGGATTTACGGAGTGCGGATGCTTATGGGCGTCACACTTTGTTACGTTGCCTCGAATCGGATTCCGAACCATGCAATCGCTCAACAAAGCGACAGACGGATCGGAGGCTACTTACTTTAATGTGCGTGGTTTGTGAAGGAGACACGGAAGCAGTGGATGACCGCCTGGCGCCAAACACCGGTGAGTAGACGTCCGCTGGCATGGTGCATACAGGAAACACACGTGGCCACCGAGGATGATGCAGCTATTCTACGTCTGAAATAGCGACGGGTGTGGGGGAAACAGCTCGACATGGAGCAAGCGCCAATGTCCTTTTGGAGTGTTGGCTCATCAAAGGTTCGAGGGGTCGTTTTTTGTGCTATCTCCCACCGCGGCGTCTGCTGCAGAGGTGTGGAATGAGGATAAATGGACTTCACGGGCAGTGGGGGTGCGATTTCACGACATTTTCATACTTAGCATCTACGCGCCAAACATACGGGCGGAGCACAAAGAATTCTTCAAAGGCTCTACGGCTGGAACCTGCCGACTAGGAGTACTATCCTGCTAAGAGATTTTGACCGCGTTCAAAGTCCGCAGCTGGATAGATTGGGCCCACGGTCCGCTAGCCGTCCGGAGAGTCCGGCGCTTCGTTCACTGTTGAACGGGACAGCCTTGAGTGAAGCACAACTTCTCCGGGACCATGTCGACTCAGATGAGCTCGATACAAGCCATCATTTTACGTACTGGACCACCGGGACGGTTAGCAGGATTGATCGATTCAATGTTCCTCAAGACTGGGCTCCTGATGTTCTCTGGGTCCCAACGGCTCCTCCACCTACTTACTCAGATCACGATAAAGCTGCTACTTCATTTCCGAGGTAAGGAATTGGATGGGAGGCTACAGTAGAGGCACCGCGTAATCTATCCTATCTGGTCGAAAGCCGGACCGAGTCGTGACAGCCGGTATCAGAGAAATGACAAATCTGGGAGTGGACCGCTCGTCCCCACGACCCCAGTCCTGGGATACCTATATTGCAGGGAGCTGTCACTGCATTACGGTAGTGCGGAAAAGGGAAGAGCAGCGGAGAAAACGCTACGTGGCTACACAACGGAAGCGCAACCGACGGCCTTTCATCACCAGACGGCACTGGATATTGACCAATATCGAAGAGATGCAAGAGGACCACCTTGCTTATCTGGGCCAGACATTGGCGCAATCTACGGAGCGTCTAAGGTGGTCCTACCAGCGAGTTGCAAACTGGGAACGAGGTCAACACGTCACTTCCCTGCAGGCACGTCACGGACCGGCATTTCCGCGCTCACTGTCTATCGCTGATAAGTTTGCGTCTTAATGGGCGCCGGTACTCAGCTGGAGTCATCGAACCGCTCCACTGCCTCTATTAGCATCGGAGCTGCGGGCATTTGCGTCCGTTCCGCTGGAGCAGCGCCTCATGGCGAACGATAATGAGCGGCTGTTAAGTCCCCTTACGGAGGCCGAGGTGCTTTCAGCTATCGTCCGGCTCAATCGCCGTAAATCGGCTGGCCTCGATGAGTTGAACAATGATTTCTACAAGGATACGGCGGCTCTTATGGTCCCGGCTCTCGTCATCATCAGCAATCAAATACTTGCGGGGTCCGAGCTGCCTGCTTCTTTCCTGGAATCCCATATTATCGCTTTAATGAAAAAAAGATGACTCTGACGACGCCATGGATTATATAGATCGCCTTGCTACAATTGGGTAGCAAGGCAATCGATTTATAATCCATGGCGAAGGTGCTTGCGACTAGAAGGTGGTCAGCACCTTCGCAAAGACTAGCTACGAAGATCTTTGCGAAGGTGCTGGCCGCCCGATTACAACTCTCGTTACCCCGGGCGATTGGCGATTCGCAGCAGGGACTTGTCCATGGGCGCCAAATGTCAAACTCCGTCATGATGATGATGGCTCAGCTTTCGACAGCAAAACGGCAGGTTGACACGCCAGCCGAACAGGGCCGAATTATCATGCTCTTAGACTTTCGAAAGGCGTACGATACAGTGGATGGCGATTTCCTATACGAATCTTTACGCCTATTCGGATTTGACGAACAGTTCGTTGACCTCATGCGGCGCATCCATTCGGGCACATCCGCACGCTTTGTAATGAACGGATGCCAGTCCCAGGCACTCCCGGTACGCCCCGGAATAAGGTAGGGATGTCTTCTCGCGCCACTCTTTCTTTTGTTGGTGGTGGGGGTGCTAAGTATCGCTTTACAGCAGGACACGATACTGAAGGGGTTGAAAGCGCCAATTTTTTCTGGCCACACGCACCTTTTCTCAGCGTTCTTAGACGACTCCACGCTTTTTCTCGCAACTGCTAGGCAAACCCCGCACGCGTTAAGCATTGTCAATGCATTTGGCGCACTGGCAGGCTTGCAGGCACAACCGTCTAAAAGCAGGCTCATTTTTCTTAACACGGCGATCAATGTCGAGCGCTACGAGGGGGTCTAGTCATGCTACATGGATGCACTGCCAGGTACCAGGGCTACGAAATTGGTACCGGAGAATTGGAGAACGAGAATTGGGCCCTTCGGATTCGGAAGATTCAACGACGTCTCTTAAAGGCAACTCGGGTCGCGGCCAGTGTGGAGAACAGAGTTATCATTTTAAACTCCATCGTCCAACCTGCTAAGCTCTTTACATCGAGCGTTTTCGAAATACCGCTGAGGGCTGAAAAGGAGCTGCACAATCTGTACAAGCAATTTTTGTGGGCCCACGCTACTTCGACGGACGCACGGCGCCATAAGGTTAACCCGGGGTAATTGGTAAGACCTCGAAAAGCGGGGAATATTGGGCTTGCCGAGGTGTCGGTCGCGATAAAAACACAACGGACAAAGCATGCCATTCTTTGGCTTACCCAACGATCGGACAAGCACTTCGAAGCCTGGCGCATCTGGGATTTTTATGCGTTTCAGCAGGCTACTGTCGGGCAGTTGACTCCAGTTGCGGCGCTGCACCGGTCGGCTCCTAGGCGTCTCTCTATTCCAGGGATGGACTTACGGAGATATCCGTAAGAGTGGTTGGCCCTAACCCCAATCAGCAACTTCGACTGAGTGAGTGGGTTGCAACACAGTCCGCAAATTTGCTGAATGGGGCAGCTAGCTGGTGGGGCGGAGACGAGCTCGTCTTATCCTATCCCACCCCGGTTTCCACTCGACCGATGGGCGCCGATGATATGCCGGAAGAGATCATGAGTTTCTGGTCCACCTTTAATTGGTCGGACAATCCTTGGATCCAAAATTACAGCGGCAATATGTTTATCGAATCCGTGTATACTCGGGTAGCGGCCTGCACGCTGGAACAACTCGGCCTCGCCCGCACGGGGCCCACAGAATATGTTCTGACGACTCCGAGGCCTGCTTATCAATCCGGCCCCCCTTTAAACGCCAATTTACAGCGGTGTGCAACGTTTCTTCTGCTCTCATCGCCGTACACTGCAGTCGTATCGAGTATCTGCCGGATTTGGGCCCCACGGCTACTTTACTCTCCACCAGTTATAGCGTCCTATGTTTGGTCGCTGGTTAGCGACGGTGTCATCGCGGGGCGACCTTTGGGTATTGCGCGGGATGTATTGCAGACTACAACGCTGTATCACGGGACCGATGGCTTGAACTGATGGTGCAGAGGACTCATTATCAGAGCTAGTCGATGGGTCTTCTGTCTAAGGGCGGGCGTTTAGCCAACAACTGCAGGAACAAAGCCTCGTTTTTGAGGCGCACCCACAGCTCCACATATTCCCGTAGGCAGTCCCGGATAATACGCCGAATCGGTTCGTTTAAGCGGCGCTTAAACGGCAAGCTTTCCGGGATCACACAAAGTGTTGGCCCGTCCCCTGGGTATTTTTCTGGATCGTCTTGAAGAAATATCGGGGCATGATGAATGGCAACGCGCGGCACTCGGTCAAACGCCGACGCACGTTTGGGACCATAGTCAGGGCCTAACGGCTATTTAAGTCTGGACCGGATATCGGGTCGTCACCAGGCAACTTAATTTGCACCATGCAGGGCGACTCAAGAGCAATACCTGTATAAAGCAACCCGGCTGTACGGGGAAGTGGGTACCTTGGCGCACTTGTTCCGGGACTGCTCCTATGCTGTCGCGGGATGGACCAAACTGGTCGGAAATTGGACGGGGGGGGGCGCTTCTCCCCAGGTGCTTAAATACTACTTTGGCGCGTGTGCTAGCCAACAACTCTCCAGCATACCCGCGCAGGAAGGCGCTCCTTGCGGACCGATTACCGGAGAATGTGGAAGCGGCTGAACGGATGTGGAAGCGAATATGGCACATTCTCGCGACGATCTGTCAAACCACTCTATGGGGCTGACCGGAACGACGCGGTCTATCAGTCATTATGGAAAGACATTACCAGCACCACGACCTGTTTTCAAGCAAAATGCATCCCCCAACTTCGCGCAATCGCGACGAGAGAGCATAGATACGTGTCTACGACTATTAGGGGTGCCCTGCTATATGCTTGCATCGACTTACTCGAGCACGAACCGAAAGGTTCACCAGGCTTACTGGGCCCAGCCACGGTCAGCCCCCGGATCCTCCGGCGCTAACATCTTGGCTAAGGCAGCACCAGAGATCATGCACATAGTTAATTCCGTGTAAATAGACCATCTGTCACCTAAAAACAATAATGGACGGGTTGAAATTCTCCAACTAGAAAGAACCAATTTCAAATTTATTTCTGGAGCACCAAGTGTTGCTGAATCGTCTAGCTGAACCTGGTGCGACGACACCTGCACCCGATAGTGTACCAAAGCTAGTGTTTTAGCACACAAGCGAGCTGCTACTTCCTGGATGCAACTCTGATTGATCATGCAGCTATTTCAGTCAATGTACGAGTTGTACGATAGTGGAAACCATCGTACAACTTGACTCGGTGTTGGCTTGCTCTTATCCTTGCCATTTTTTTCGGTTTCGTGACTGTTGGCAACTACACAATGTACCAAGGGCTGAGCTCAGCCGTGGGTGCTATTTCATGACAACATTACATCAAGGATACGTGACGTACGTTGCTTGTCTGCCCTTCATCCTGCGGGATCGAGCCTTCTACTGCCGCGAGTGCGACACGCAGACATACAAAACTCTGTGGTACTTCCTTGGCATCTCGTTCGTCGAGGTACTCTGCATCTTCGGCAGCAGTCTCCTCTACACCATTGTCTATTACCCTCTCCTCGGTATCTAGTCCTTCAGCACGGCTGTGCTCTACTAGCTCAACATCCTTTACTCCAGGCTCATGCAGACGCTCCTGGACCAGCTGTCCAGTGGCAAAGTCGTTGCCGTTGTGGGTGACCTCATCATGGTCATGTTCCTGTTCTTTGCTGGGTTCAACCTGCCTGCTGCTGCCATCCCGGACCGTTATCGATGGCTCTATGACGCCACTTCACAGCGCTGTTCCCTTTCGATCCTCGTCTCGCTCGTGTCCGGAAACTTTCTTGAAGATCCGGTGCATGATGAGATTATGAGGGGAACACTAACTTGCGATCGGAACGTGCGTTTTATCCCCTACGGATTTCACCGCCGTCAGTGTATTACACGACAGTCAAGCACTACCTGGACGACACCTCCAACATCATCACAGCGATGTGTGAATAGACTTTTGCTACGTCTTAGTCTTCTCGAGGGTGGTCGTTACTAAGGTCAAGATGATCCCCTTTATCATAAATATTCTCACAGTCTTTGTCATGAATTTATCGTCGTTAGTGTCTCCAGTTTTGCGGGTGACTATTTGGATGGAGTCGCCAGCAGACACTTGTATCTGCTGGTCGGTAGTTCCAGTGTAAACGGGAATGTCGCCTTATATAGTATGCTCCAGGTCAGCGCGCACTGCCTGTACCGTTTGTCGGCAATTTGAGCCAAAGGACAACTACAAATGAATGTGGTGTGGTCAGCTATACTATACGAGTCATATAAAGCTCGTGCAAATAATGCAGGGAACTAAATCCAGTCAATGGAAGCTCCTTAATTTAATCTCCGCACCCCTGACCTTCTACATGTAGCAATATACAGATATAACTTAACTATTAAGCTAATCAGCTGTTCGTAAAAACGTTTGACGGCTTTTGCAGTACGGAATAGCAATATTTAAAGTGCGGAATAGCCTCGCCCGTCTCAGCCGCGGATGAAACGTCAAGACAGCAGCCAGTCGTCGGTTCAGCCTCAGTAGACTCAGACGGCACTGGCCCCGTCGATGTGCCCAATCACTGACGAGACGTCTCGGTCTATTGGTCCAGAATTTGCTTCCCGCTCGGACTCTTCGCAGTCGTTTAGGCTCTTGGCATTTTCATGCTGTCTTCGGCAAGAAAAGTGCGTCGAAAAGTGCTAAGCATGTACAGCAAAAGGAGTATGCGGATTTGCACCGATTGGCTCGATTCGAGATCGATCGGACTGAGCAGGAAAATTCAGATACCGTGCAAGTGTTGACGAGCACTAGTCGTTAAAGTACCCGCTATTCGATAAAGACCAAGTGGCAGTGTACCGCATGAGTGCTGTTGATGAGCTCGCGAATCGTACATCAGCAGTGTGGGGGCCGACGAACTCCGTGTTTGCCAAAAGTTAGGGAGTTGTCCAAGATGAGTCATTGATCAATATGAGATGTTCGTGGCTGCTGAGGTTTGTGACATAAGATGGCTCTGTGCTGGCCGGGTCTGAGCTGTTGAGGTTCAAGGAAGGACCGATGCAGCCGTTGCAAGTGCACTTAGTACCGACGCAAAAGAGCGACGAGATTCGAGTCAAGTGGGTGAGGGACATGGTCACGAAGCCTGTGGTGCAGCGTGGAAATGAAAAAGAAAAATTGGTGCAACTTGCTCGAGCGACACGGAGTAGCTACAGAGCAGAAGATATGTGCCTCTCAATCAGCAACAGCGGTGTCTCCCACGCACTTTCGACACCACCTTCATCATGACTGCGTCTAAACCGATTTTTGACGCAGTCATGATGAAGTTGGAAGCTGGGAAGAGGTACTTTTACTGAGTTGGAGACGAAATGGGCAACCTAAGTGATGTTCGGGAGTTTCGGATGCCACCTGCCGTTGGAAATAATAGTGTGTCGGTGGACGTGCAAGGCCTAAGTATGAGCTTTTCCGTGTACGGAGATCTGAACAGACCAGTGTGCGTGACAGCTGACTTTGCCGAGGTTAAAGTTATGTGTGGCACTACCATAGCACTTGTTCGTGAGGATAGAGCAAGCAGATAGTGCTTTAAGTGAACACTGGTATGTTGCCGTCAGGCATGTTGGAGATTTGGCTTACGCAATGGGAACTACTTACGTATGAGGTCAATTTGGCCATTTTATCAAGCCGCTCGTCCATCGTACATGGTCAGCGTAGCAACCACGGTAAGTCATTTAGAACTCCAACTCACAAAATGGGACTACTACCAAGGCCCCAGATCCTCAGAACATTCCTTGAGTTATTCATGACTCATCAACTAGCGTCATGATCGAATGCATGCAGATTAACAGACGCATACACAATACTTGACTCATGCTGGGATAATCCCTCACGGGAATAATACACGTTTTTCCTTTACCAGAGTCCTCTGCCAACTGGTTCTGAGCCAAAACCTTTTCCCAGGGCCAAAAGGAGAAGGAGAAACTGGACCGGCCGCTCCGTGACGATGACGCACTCATGACTGAGAGCCATCTCACACGATCCAGCCCTTCTTCATCAGAGACTTTCCTCATGAGTATCACATCAACGAGCTCCAAAGACAATCCACTCGCTCTCGCAACCCCGACAGCATTGATTAAAGCAGCATCCCTGATGATGGTCCAAGCGCGTCTACTACATGAGGTCGAGCTCGCATCCGTCCCTCAAATACGACAGCTGCTGATGGACGCTACAAATTCTTTCATCGAGGCAAGCGCCATGGTTTACCTTTCCACTCGAAGTGCAAGCCTCGTTAGCCGATACTAGCGCATCCTCTGGAGAAGATGCCGCGTCCACGATCGTCACTGTAACCCCATCACAGGTCGGCTTACTCACACATCACAATCAGAAGCTACACCATCTTTTGCAAACTGTTCACAACGAAGTCTCAACAGTCCGCAATCAGCAAAATACACTACAAGAGACAGCGATAAAACCTGTCGAACAACGTTCCAAGCTGATGGAAGACCTTGTCAACCAGCGTACCCACTTAACAACAAAAATTAATAGAAGAGCCACCGAAGGGACTGCGATGAACGCAGCATTATCAGAACGCGCACGAGCACTTCAAGAGCAAGTTGAGCAAATCGACAAACAGTGTGAGATGGCTATTGGCAATTGCCCCACAGAGCACCAAGTCACTATAGAACGTATGCACCAAGACATTGCTCGGCTCACACAGCGCAATGACCGCCTTCAGGCCCAACATATCCGCACAGTTGTGGCTTCGAAAGAACAACAATGTGTTAATCAAGCTGCTCAAGACCCGTTGGCCCAAGCGATTCAAGCCGAGCGAGAAGCTCGAGATCAGCTACGATTATCGATTGAGCACCATCGTGTAGCTTAAGACTTGGCGCTGCGTCGCATATCCAGTAACAAAAGCAACAAAACGACGCAGAGAAATGTAATAACGCGAAACCGCTCGTGCCACTGCGCCAAAGATCGGCTGGCTATCGACGCCGAAATTCGGACTTCTCTCGAGGAACAATTACGGTCGCTGCGTTTCAGTCACGACATGATGTCGCAAGAGTCATCGCTACCAACGTCACGACACACACCACGCGTAGACCGCAACGAACAATTACCCACTGATTTACCCACTACTTTTGACGACACAAGTTCCCATCCAGCTAAAGCCAGCTTTCAAGTACCATTGTTGAATTTTCTTTGGCCAAGCGCCCCCAATGCTTTCACCGCCGCAAGTGCTACCATCTCACAGTGGTTCGTATCAAGGAAGTCAAGTGTGAGATGTTAACTGGCAAGGATAAATACCCTGGTCTCGGTGCTGTTTTTGACCTATTCCTGCGCAAGTTTGAACTAGCAATTCAAAGTGAAAGCAGACGTAACATATCAACTTACACCGACGAATCACGTGATGCATTTCTCGTTACATTTCTTAAAGGTGTTGCATCAGACTTTTACTTGTAATTTCTTGATGAGTTTCTCGACGCACATGGCCGTATATTGACGTATCAGAAAGTGAAAGAAACCTTGATAGCAGAGTTTCGGTGCAAGTTATGACACAAGCACGCATCAGCGACTACCTCAACAAACCCAAGAAGTCAGAAAAACTTGGCATGGATTCTATACCTATTTACGCCACGTTGGTAAAGATATGGGCGGCGACCGAAACGCCCTTATCCTTGAGGTATTTTGCAACAATGCATCCACAGACCCAAGCACAAAGCTATAACTCGCCAGTAATATCGACCACAACACTGATAATATGAACAAAGAGATTTCATGACAGTCTATTAACATTTACCTATGTACAAGATGTCTGAAAACTCTGGAGCCAGGACAAGAGCTCCGGATCCGGTAGCTTGTCGTAGCTGCTTCCTGCGAAGACCACCTCATCCCGCGGTTCGAGAGTGAAGAGGTCAAGACAGGCATGTAAGAGAGCCCCGGCGACGACTGTGTCGGGACCACGATGTTCGCGTTTCGCTAACGCGCTGAGATGCCGAATCCCCACCTTCCAAAAACGGGTGACGCTGTGAATAACCGTCGTTTGCACACCTTGAAATACTGCGTCGTTTCGTTCACTCCATAAGTGAGTTAAACAGACGCTACACATAATAAACCATATGCGATTCCAAACCATGACCCCTGCTTCCAAGTCGTCTTGAAAATGTTCATGTAGGCGTTGTCGCTGCCTTGCCGGTAATGCAGGAGCCTGACGATTCACACTGCCAAAATACCAGGTCTCATCAACAGACCTCACATCTCGGAGACCCGTCCAGTGACAGATAAGTCGCCTCCAGCAGGCGCGCGCCTTTGGACATTCCCAAAAGATGTGAGCTGACGTTTCTTTACGCCCCCAACACTCCATCAGCGCTCGACAGCTGTTGTCAGCGCGACGACCTTCATGGTAGAGGTTAAGTTGATTAGTGGCGATTCTGTAGCAAGTCCAGACTTGAAAATCCGAAAGGCCATTAGTATGGTTCCAAACTTGAGACGGGCGTTGATGAGCTGCTGCACGCAACCAGCCATCCTTGCTGATGACTTGTTTCAACCGTTGGATCAGCCATTTCAAAGGGACAGCAAGCAGTCGTTTGTGAAGTCTGAACGCTAGCCGGGCAATTGTCGCCCTTATCGAAACGTTCGCCACCGTGTTGGCCACAGCCCAGGGAAATCGATGATGATCAGGATGTGAATAAAACACGACACCATGTAACCGCAGTCGGCTCATCCAAATGTCCCTCTCAGCGACAGTTTCAGTAACCAACTCAGGTAATGATGTGGTAAAAAACCATCTAAATCCGTCGGCACTTTGCCGCAATTTGACGTGCTCACACCAGTTATCCGCAGACTCCCGTCTATTCCCGACGACGTAACCATGTCGCACCGTCGAAAAGTCAAGATGATACCGAAACGGAGGCACATGACGAAGTGCTAACTTCGGTTCCAGCGCTAGTTCCGACCCAATTCGAATAGAAGGCGAAGCGAGCAAGATAGATGTAGCCCAGCGCCTTAACTTCGGCTGATAGTGATGCTTAGAGGCAGGTCCAGCCAGTGAGATACTGAAGATGAACTCTTTCGGTCCGGTTCTGCGAATGTGCAAGTCCGAGATGGAGCAGTCAGCTATCCGGTCGTATTTGGAGCGTACAAGCTGCCGACCCTGCCCGTCGCGAATCCACGAATTGTTACTCCATCCGATCGTTCCCCAAAAGCGGTGCAGTGCCAGTACTTGGACGTCGTTGGATGCTAATGCTTCCGGAAAAGGGTGATGGTAAGATAATACCCATTCATCTTCTTCCCACCAGCTACTGGCTCCTTCGAGCAAAGTCGAATAGTGCATGCGGACGCGATCTCGAATAAAATTCAATTGCTCCGTCGTGGGTTGCAAAAGCTTGTCCATGTCTTGTATCCATGCCGGTTTCGACGGCTTCGAAGTGCAAGAAGATGTTATCCCTGGTATACCCCTTCCATACAGGACCAGGGATGAGGAAGTTGGTCTACCTTGATAAGCCCAGTGACACCAAGAGGCAAAATACTTGTCCTGGGCTTGCGTTAGCCACCGCAGTGCATGTTTCGTGTGCTGAGTTTTGATTGCGACCTCGAATGAAGCCAGCCCTACTCCGCCTGCGTGTTTCGGAGTGAATAGCAGTCCTGGGTTGATCTTGTACCTGCTAGCTTCTGTCGAAGTGGCATAAGCCCACAGAAATTGTTTGTACAAATTTTGGATTGCCTGCCTCGCCCATTCTGGGATGTCGAATACCGCTGCCGTGAATAAAATGGATGGAAGAATGATGGAGTTTAGAATCAACACTCGATTCTCCACACTAGTCGCGACCCTGGAAGCTGTGATTAGCCGCCGTTGAAGCCTTCGAATCCTTAAGGCCCAATTGCGGTTATGTAAGGCACCAAGACCAACCTCATAGCCCAGGTACCTTACTGTTTCTGTCTGGTGTAGCACCGAAATGCCAACCATTTCTCGCATCTGCACCCCTGTGTTTAAGAGTATGATTTTGCTCTTTGACGGCTGGGCTTCCAGTCCAGATAAGGCTCCAAAGCGTGATACGAGGGCAAGAGCCGGTGCCAGCTGATTCGCTTGCTCGAGAAAAATCGTGGAGTCGTCGACAAACGCTGAGAAGCGGTGCGTTTGAGTACGGCTACCTAAGACCGGGAGTCCTTTCAAGGTGGGAGACTGCTGAACTGCAATTCCCAACAACTCGACCACCACGAGGAATAGCAAAGGGGCCAGAGGGCAGCCTTGCCGAATTCCTGACACGACGGATATTGGAATGGACCGTTCCCCATTTACGAGGAATGTAGCCGTAGTCCCTTCATGCAGCCGAGTAATTAGCTGAATATATCGTTGCTCAAATCCAAATTGTTGAAGCGCCTCGTAAAGAAAGCTTCTGTTTACAGTATCATATGCCTTTCGAAAATCAAGTAGAAGGATGGCCCTGCTATTAATCGCGTCGAGAGTTGCATCAGAAGAAGCCGTTGCCAGTTGGGAGAGCATCATCAGGACAGACTTCAACATCTGCCTGCCATGGACGAAACCTTGTTGTGAGTCACCAATGACTTTAGGTAATACAACTTGTAACCTAGTCGCCAGCACCTTCGCGAAGATTTTGTAACTGGTCTGAAGTAGCGAAATAGGCCTGTAATCCATAGCATCAGCTGAGTCACCTTTCTTCCGCAAAGGTATGATCAGCGCTTCCAGAAAAGAAGGTGGAGGATCTGAGCCCGCCAATATTTGATTACTGATTCGCACCAGGGCTGGAACCAAAAGCGCCGGCGTATCCTTGTAAAAGTCGTTGTTTAAACCATCAGATCCAGCCGATTTATGTCGACATAGGCCCGTGATGGCTGTAATAACCTCATCTTCAGTGAAATCGGCCATTAAAGACCGATTCTCGCTCGAAGAAAGTACCCGTTGGGTGGGAACTTGAACAAAATGACGAATGGTGGCTGGTAAGGCTTCCAAAGGGGTACTGCGATGTACCACGCCTAAAACAGTGAACCACTCTGAGGCAAATTTATCTGCCGTCGACATGGTGCGACTAAAAACCGGTCTATGAAGCTGCTTAATACCGGTGACGGTTTGCTCGCGCTCCCAGTCGGCTACTTTGCGATAAAAAAAACGTAACCGATCTGTTGTTCTGACCAGCTGTTGACCGAGTCGCACAATATGTTCCTGACGCAATTCTTCCATCTTACAGGATATCCATTGTGGCCTGGTAAGCAAGTGCTGCTGTGCCCGTCTCTGAATGTTATGGCGAAATCGAGCCCTGCGCTGCTTCACCCTCTTACTGACACGCCGAATACAGCGTACACACTTAGCAACGTCTAGATCCCAAGTCCTGGTAGATAAAGCTTGACCAACAGCCACGCCATCCATTTCCTCGACAAGTTCTGCTATAATGTTATCGGGGTTCAATGCTGTGATGGGATACACCACCCTATCACGTCGAATATGAGGGCGACGCCAGGTTGGTTTTCGCAGGTGAAGAACTACCTCCTGATGGTCCGACAAATTTGAAGGTAAGCGCGTCTCAACCCACAGGACGCGGTCCACCCAGCCTTCCGGTACATAGGATCTGTCAATACGACTAGCCCTATCCCCTTCCCAGTATGTGAAATGGTCCACAAAAGTATCCATTCAGTCGTCGTCTGCGTGTTTGCGAAGCCATCTTGCATCAGCCAATCCTATCGTAGACACAACGTGGTTCAGGGCCGGGCTTTCTGACCGATTGGAGCGATGCTTCCCAAATCGATCCGGAAGGGGACTCTGGACGCAATTAAAGTCGTCGACGATCATCGTATTTGAGGGGTCTAGATTTAAGGTCAGCAGGGAGGTAAAAAAAGCCTCGCGCTCGGACCGCAAAGTAGGAGCGTACACATTCACAAGGACTTCCCCCCATAGATACAGCGATCGCGCGTGTGGTCCAGAAATCCGGTAACCAGGCCGTCGTATGTGTTGCAATTTGTGGAGTGAGTAGAATAGCAACTCCTGCCTGTTTTGACGAGCCAATACTCCAGTACGATAGGACAGGGGAAGTCGGGTTAAGATGCTGACCCCATAGTCGAGCCCACTGATATCGCAGCCGAGTTGCCTCTGCTTCTGTGTGCACATGTGTGTCCTGGATGCACCAAGCCCCTGTTCTGTGTCGATTTGTCTTAGCCCGCCAACCCGACATCCAACTGTCGCGCACGCTGTCCTTGAATCCTCGTACATTTTGAGATATGTAAAGCATGTCACCCATCCAGCCTTGGAGCCGAGATGTAACTGGCTCAAAAGAATTGATCCATTCCTTAAGCAAGAGATGGCGGCCATAGGCGTCCGATGCGTCGAGTGATGCACCACCGGGCCTGAAGGCCTCGTTGCTCCGTAAGCTGCCCTTAGTACTCAAGTAGAAACTGCTGCTCTGCAGGAGCCAACGCAGTATTAAAGAAGCAAACCAGCTTGCGCCAATCCACCTTGGATCCCCCGTCAGCGTAATACACCTCCTTGTAGTGACTGTTGTTCCGAAGTAAGCGTAGGTGCCCTCGAAGTTGCTTGGGAGGCTCAAGTGGTTTTTCCCCATCCCCGGTCAGCGCAAAAATCTCAGCGTCGAACAATACCGCACATAGTAGGTGATAACTCAGGCGTATACGTCGGTGAGGGTCACAAAGACGCAAAATATCATCGGTAGCGTAGTCTACCTCCCTCGGCTTGACCCAATCGTCGGTATTGTCGATTAATGGGGCCAGCCGGGAGGAAGGCAATCGCTGCTGTGTTCGCACGATCCATTGATCTAGCCACAGTGATTGTATAGAATCGTGCACTCGACGCCTGTACTCAAGTAGACCAGACAGCAAGCACGCCTGTCGCCACTGAGCCGTCCACATCCCGAGAACGTGATCCCCTAGGCTAGCCAGCAGTTCACTTGGGAAAACAAAGCGTCGCACGTGATGGAGCAGCAGCTCTGGCTCGACCTGGGCAGTTTTCAGCCACGCCTCAGGGTTACTATACACTAGTGGATATGGCGTAGAAGCCGTTACTGGCCATTCAACGCCCAGAGCCTGCCAGAGATCCGGCCAGTCGTCGGTATCCATTCGTTCCTCCATCCGAGTGATATAGGGTTGAGGAGAAGCAACGCTGATCCTGCCTTTTTTCTGTTTGGAGCTCTCAAGTCCACTCCAGTTCTCCCCTTCGCTGACCTCGATGGACTCCGACGTGCTGACGTGCCCACGTTTTCGAGCCGATAGCGAACTGCCCTGATTGGCCCCCCTGATCTGCGATGGAACAATAGCTAATTGCTGCGATGACGCTTTGGCAAGACCACAGTTCCTTGAAGAGTGGATGATTATCGAAGTGTTGTCATCCACAACCGACAGATGATCCCTGATAGGGGATAAAATATGGGAGCGCTTCTCTTCTAGCTGCACAGCATACGTATCCACAATTTGCGAGTCCTGACCTTGCTGCAGCGCTGAGCCTGTTCCGTCCGAGACGTCAGTTAGGCTGAGCCGATCTGCCGCCCTGGCAGTGTGCAGAAAAGCCGAATAATGCCGGCCCCAGAATCTAAGCACCAGTGGTGGAGCGCGAGGCGCCTCTATTTTTGCCGCTTGCAGCTCGTCTATGCACGCCAAGAGAGTGAGTGGAAATTCTTTGGCAGTTTCCACCACTCGACCGTGTCTGTTGATCGTAGCAGGACAATACTTGCGACCACTCCAGTTACCCGTTCCGCGGCCACAGTTCAACACATAGATAGTGCGATGCAAAAAATTGGCTGCCATTCCAAGAGTGTCACTTCCACCCCAGCTATGCTCCTCAACCATGGCTTCTCTGTTGGAAGGGGAGGCTGCATAGTCATGCAAAAACCACCGTAGTTGGGACGCAGACTCCCCCCTGGTCATCGTCATCCAACCTCTGCCAACGTTCTTTAAAGCATGAACCCGTACGTCATGAGCCATTTGATCCTCCAAATTTAGTAGTCCGGCGTTGGAGATTCCCCGTTTAATACTAGCCGTTAAAATCTCAAGGTCCTTGGTAGGGTTGTCCAAAGCAGATTCTGCGAGAGCTTGAGCTATGGCTATCGCCAAACAATTGCCCGTGGCCGGTGTGGCGACTTCACGGAGCCCCAAAATCTGTACCAATTCTGTCACATGCATGGGTTCAGCATGAGGCATTGGTTCCATGGGGATCGCGTGACTTGTCCCTGGTGACAACTGTTTAATTAGCCGCTCACATGTTGAACGCTCCCGGCGTTTATTGGCCAAAAGCGTTGGTCCCGCAACAACAGACACCTGTCCTCTCCTGGCAGCTGCTGTTTGTCGTGCTAGATCCTCAGGTGTCAACATGGGTGGTCCCTTCTTGGAAGACGCATCCCGATCCGTCATCTTACTTGATGCTTGCCTTGGCAGATCATGGGTATCGCTATTAACAGAATTCGAGGACGTTTCGGTCTCATCCAGCTCGTCCTCTTGTAGCACGTGATAACTACCGCTGCTAACCTTGAGATCGCCTTCGAGGCCTGCAGGGGTGACCATATCCTCCTCCCTCCCCGTACAGGCCGGGTCAGCCATGGTTGCGCAGGTCGGCATTTTGGGGCCGGTGGTGGTGGCCCCTCGTGCGTGCCTGGTGGAGTATATACCGGTTGGAGAGGTATGCCAGTTCTAGGGGGTTCTGCCACTGGCGACGGACTGGGGGCAACTGTCAATGCCACCGGCGTCACTGCAGCCTGCGCTGCCGCATCCTCCGATTGTTGGACTTGTAGACGTCTCATTGCCATCTGCCTCATTTCGTCTGGACTGCTAAAAGGCTTGGCGAGGTCTTCAACAGATTGAAGATCTGCTTCGATAACTTCTACGCCACCCGGCCCGCGTAATTGCGCATCGGTGAATTGACATCTGCCCGCCGGGTGTCCCAAAGTTCCACACTGCAGACATTGGAGGCGACGGCCCACATCTGGATGCCTGATGATAATTGGTGTTCCAAACCAAAGTAATCGTACTATACCCTGAAGGAATTTCGGGCAGCCCGCTAGATGAAAGTTAACCTTCCACGCTGTTGATGTTCTTGAATTTGGTGTGCATGTGTCCATGTCCTCCAGCTCAAATTCTGTTTGAATCTTCGAGCGCAAGTAAGCTGCTATGCGTCCAATGTCGTCGAATCTGGTAAGATTATAGAGGATAATCGTATAAGCGGATCTTGGGTACCCCGACCGACCATCTGGACCCCGCTGGTTCAGCCATACCGATCCCCTTACCGGCTGATGGGCGTTCTCCAGCGTATAAACTCGACCTTGAAAAGGCACTTGAACGTCCTGGAGCTTCTTTGCCTTGTCCCGCGAAAAAAAGAAAAAGTGAATCGACCGGGTTGATCGATTGTAACTGATCGTTTTCGTTGATCCCAGCAGGCGATGGAGATAGGGCAAACTGACCCTCAACAGCTCGGCTGATTCCAGAATCTTCTCCGTGATGGCCTTCGTTGTCTGACGACTTAGAGGAATGTCACGCCCACCGCTGATATGGAGAACTAATTGACCCTCCACCTGCGCCTGAACGGTACTGTACAGCCTAAGACGTTCCTTGCTGTCCAGAACCGATCGTAGAAAGTCTGGCATCCGGCGACAGACTATATGCCCTTCGGCAATACCCACAATAATGCGCCATTCGTCATCAGACCCCTCACGTAGCCGTTGGAAGCCCGTGTTACCTAGCCGGGCCACACATATGGCCTTTAGTGTAATCGGGTCTTCCAACGAGAATTTGGCCGGGTCAAACATAAAATAATCATAGGTTATGCTTCCTTTGTTCTCCCCGTCCATTTGGCGAGCCGTATTACCCGCCCGCACGACTTCTGCCCATTGATTGGGGACAGGAGCAGTGGCCCACTTTTGCTGACTGACCAATTTTCTTATGATCTCCTTGAATGCCCACTTCGTCAGGAGGAGTTCTTTGCTGATCTGATGCGCCAGTCGTTTCCAGTCGGCGAAACTTCCAGAAGCTGACACATAACAGCGTCGAAAAAGATCTAGCAAGCTTTCCGCCTCAGGTCCCTCAAGCTTGGGAAACCTTGTGCGTCCGGCCGGTAACGCGTCGACGCTTACCGGTATCCGAGCATATTCCGCTGTAAATAGGTCCTGGATGGACAGACGCCAGACATCAACGTTGGTTGGGCCTGGTGAGGCTTTCATCGACTCAATTAGAGCCTCAAAAAGCTCCTTAGGAGGTACGTGCTCCACGGCCGGCGTGGATGAAGTCGTCTTTACCCCCTCAGGTAATCGGGGTTGTGATACCGCTGTCTGACGCGTCGACGCTCCGTCGCCGCCGCCAGGCGTTGACGAGTTTAAACCGTGATCGACCGAGGCTCCGACCGTGTCTGGCCCGTGGCTCGATACGGGAACCGCCTGCTGGTCGTCTGCCATGATGGTGTCAACTACGATATCTCCACCTGCCGTCTGGGTAACGAGTGGTCTTGTGACGCCAGGAGAGGCAGGGGAATCGTCCTGCCCGCCATGAACCGCTACCATCCCGCGAGCCATTCCTGTGTGGCTCTGCCTATCTGGTAGCGCGTCGAATTGGGTGCTGTTCCCCTCCTCCCCATCGGGGGGGGGGGGAGGCGCGGAGGTGGCTTGATGGCCGTCGTTCGAGTATCTGGCTGATGCCAGTACTGGTCCTGTTTATACTCCTCCTCCAAATAACGCTGATTGGAAAGAAATAGGTAAAGCATTTGCACTGCCAATGAAGCTGTTGGGTGATGGTTGCAAGTCGATGAACAACAGCCAACGACCTGTCAGTCTAAAGGTGGATGTGGTGAAGTCATCTGCAGCCACAAAAACAGCTACTAAGCAGCCTTCACCCAAACTTACGCTGACACTAAACAACTCTACGACTCGCTTAAAACCAAGGGATGGGATAAACCCTGTTGTGTTTGCAAGAGTACGGACCATAAAACACTTGACTGCCCCGTTATAAAAGACGCTCAACACCGAGCTGGGCAAGCCAACGCTGCCACAGCAATGGACTATACCGTTTCTACCAATGCCAACGCTTATGTAGCTTATAGATCCACTGACAACACATCAGAAACAGCGGGGGAGTGTTTTTTTTCTCGGATCGGCCGAAGCGCGTGATGACCTGACACCTCTAATAAACATGCCTTCCGCCAATGCCTTTATTGGTGGTGATGCATGCGTTGTAATTCAAGAACCTGCAAGAAAATTTCCTGCCCCGACGTCGCGGCTGATTGACAGCGATGCTACCCATCACTTTACGAATAATTCCGCTATCATTCTTAATCCGTCACCCAGATCTTTACGCGTTCGCGTCGCAAACAGATCTGTGCTCCAAGCCACCGGCAAAGGCAGTGTCTTTTTCAAGACAATTACTAATGAGAAGGTCACCAAATTTGTACTCACAGATGTTCACTACGTCCCTCTCATGTCACGAAATTTACTTTCCGTTTCCAAGCTACATGATCATGACTTTGTGTTATCTTTCTCTGGTAGCTGTACCATCTCCACCAATAATCGTATTGTTGCACGTGCCCTACGCGAATCAAGGCTTTGGTCCCTTTACGCTGTAACGGATACAGTTGATGAGGCTACTGCATTTCTTGCCCGTATTGAGAACTCCACTCTACAGATGTGGCATGAACGGCTCGGTCGTCTTAATTAACAGGATGTCGTTCGTATTGCTGACAGGAGACTAGCAGATGGTATCGAACTTACGAATCAAACCATGCCTTTTTGCATGCAGTGTGCCGAAGCGAAGCAGACCCGGAACCGCCAAGGAAAGGAAGACACGTCTAAATCAGCACCTACATATGGAACAAGTGCCGTTATAGGCCTAGATCTCAAGAGTTAATATCACTCTGGTTGATCGCAAAGGACATAGGCACGTCTTCTCCATTGTCGACTACGCATCTGGCTACAACTGTGTTTTTCTATAAATGAAAAAGAGTGAAGCTTTTGACAATTTCGTTACGTTTCATGCAAAATTTTAACAGAAATTTGGTGTACGCGTAAAATGCGTTCGATCGGATCCCGATGGTGAATTTGTAAATGACAAGACCGCGCAATATTTGCAGAGCCATGGAATTATCCACCAGACAACTGAAAAGGATACTTCCGTACAGAACGGCAAAGTTGAGCGCTTCCTTTGCACACTGTTCTATACTACTCGCGCGATGCTTTGGTCATCTGGCATGCCGACAATATTTTGGGGTTATGCTTTAATTTATGCTAGTACTATGGGAAATCACCTACTCACCCTCGGTAATGCAGAGCGCTGCTCACCTCTCGAAGTACTGACAGAAAAAGTACCAAACGTCAGCTATTTGCTCAAGTTTGGTGTCCGCTGCATTGTGAGGCTACAACATTTTGCCGCAAAGTCACTTCGAAAACGATCCGAAAAGGCGTATTTTCTTGGCATCGACACCGTCATCAATGGCTACAATCTATATCTTCCCCGCAACAAAACGAACTTGACCAGTTCGAACATCAAGAATGTTGACCGCATTGACATATCGGCCGCTGGTGAGATCGTCGATACACTCGACACGTTGGATACTCTGACAAGCTCTACTCAGCCCCACACCCAAAGTGATTTTGATCGTGCCATCGGCACCCGTACCACAATAGGTCCAGTGCCCAAGAGAGAGGAGTCATCAGACCAAGCATCCAGTACAACGGAGCCTATCACAGACAAGTCCGGTATTGATCATGAGTCGCGAAATTTGCTTCCTATCACACAAACACCAACAATGATGAATCAAATGAGCGACGAAATGGGCAGCGACAGCGAGTGTGACTACCAGATAGGTGACTCAAGTGACGACATTACGCTGAACAAGAGACAAATTGACAGTATATTTGGTGTCCGCAACCGCGGTGAGAGATTTGTTACTGAAGATTTTGTTCTGCCTGCGTCTAATCTCCTTGATGTCACTAGTCTCCCTGAAACAGCAATGCCTAATTTTCATATATCTGATGGTGTTCCAGATCCTCAAAATATTCGCGAGGCAACGGCTACTCCTTTCTGGCCACAGCTAAAGGAAGATATGATTAAAGAACTCGATTAATTACGTACAAATAGTACACCAAAGGAAGCTATTTCCCCACCAGGAGCTAAGGTGGACTCAACAAGATGGGTCTTTAAAATTAAATACAACTCGCTAGGCGAGCTTGATCAGTTTAAGGCTCGGCTCGTGGCAAGAGGATTTACTCAGCGATATGGTATCAAATTCAGCGAGACATATTCTCCGGTACTGAAAATGGCAAGCGCGCGATTTCTGATCACGCTTGGCGCCCAGTGAGGCTGCAAAGTTCGTCACGGTGACGTCCCAAATGCATATCTCCGTGCACCAATCGATAGTTCTATCTACTATAAGCCACCGCATGAATCCACAGATGAAGGAGTTGTGCATCAAATGCTGAAGAGCCTGTATGGTCTGAAGCAAAGCGGACGACCATGGAACGAACTAATTCACACATTTCTCCTGGTGTGCGAGTTCAGACAAAGTCGCCAAGATCCGTGCGTTTACTTTAAACGTGAACCCATTGCCAATTCAATTGTTAGTCTTAATGTAGATGAGGTGATCGTCATTGTACAAGATGACTTTCTGTCCGACACTGTCATGCAACAACTTCACACAAAATTTGATATCGACAATTTGGGTTTGATTAGCAAGTGCCTCGGTATTAATGTGGAAACAACCGAATCTGTTGCTTTCTACAACTACAACACAACATCGATGCTCTCCTTTCCAAGGTCGAAATGGAAATTGCACAACCGCTCGACACCAATGGAAGAGATACAGAAGTTGTACGATCAAAATTCGAGCTTGTTTGAAAAGAAGCGACTGTATCAAGAGGTTATGGGATCTCTGTTGTGGATCTCCAACTGCACCCGCCCTGATATCACTACGACCGTAATCCTTTTGTGTCGAGAGATGCGCGCACCTATCATCGAACATTGGAATTGTGGCAAATGCCTCATGCGTTACCTTGAGGGTACCTTGACTCACGAATTTTCCATAAAAAAACTTAATTCAGATAAATTACGACCACGTCTCAAGGCTTATAGCGACGCCTCATGGGTCATTTTAAACCTGACGCGAAGTTGATAACCGGTGTCCTTCTGACACTGAACGGCATACCTATCCCGTGGTACTCAAAGAAACAGTCCGTCGTTGCGTTACCTACAATGGAAGATGAGTATATAGCTGGCGCAACAGGCGTAAGTGAATGCCTTTAGGATAAAGACCTGTTATCGGAGCTGAAATTTTCCGCTGACAAGAACCGCTGTCACTCATTGTTTACAACCAAGCTGCAATCAAAAAATTTGGGTAACAGCGTCAGCTCACCTTGCAGTAAGCACATCAATATCTAGTTTCACTTTGGTTTGTGACAATGAGCAAGCCAAGCGTGTCACAGTACACTACTGTTCCACATCCAAAATTCTAGCCGACATACTGAACAAACCGCTCGGCCGCATCAAGCATACTCGCTTTACAAGAGCACTGCATGTCATTAGTCGAGAAGAGTTCAAGTTCATCGATTGAGGCCTGCTTGACTTGAGGGGGGGGAGTTGGATCTTCAACTCACAACATGGGACTACCACCAAGGCCCCAGACCCTCAGAACATTCCTTGAGTTAATCATGACACCTTAACGAGCTTCATGATCCACTGCATGCAGATCGACAGACGCATACACAATACTTGACTCATTCTAGGATAATCCCTCACGGGAATAATACACGTTTTTTCCTTACCAGAGTCCTCTGCCAACTAAGTCAGGCAAGCGTAATACTTGTGCTAAACCTCAATTTAATTGTGTCGATGGCTATTGGAGTAGACTATGGCTACCTCGAAGAACTGCAGAAGAGTAGCTGGTGGCCTCTTCACCTGACGTTTGAAAAGAACGGCGCGCGCAGCTATGTTTTTAAAGGCGAGTATGGCGTCTTTTTCAGAAAGCGTTTCTACATGCTAGATACCGGCAATGGAATCGACTAATACGGCTTTGACTTGGGGCTAGCATATCACGTTGTAGTGAGAAGCGAGCATGGGTTTGGGCGGGGTTCGCCCCTATGCACGTGGCTCGTGAATGATCTGAAGTGTGTGGATCGTGCAAAGACGCTATGGATCTCCCTGTACATCCATCGACACACGTAATGAGCTCGAGCAGGAGCTGGCCGATTATCATGTCGATATCGTACATTCGGGTCATTACCACTCGTACGAGTGTACTTGCGCCGTGTTTGACGATCGATGTATCTGGTCATCGAGCGAAAAAGCGATGGCACCAGTGCATTTAATGCTAGGCTCTAGAGAGTTTTACCTGGACGACGCCGGTTTTTACAGCGTCGATTGGCGGGATCAAGGCTTGTTGGAACATGGCTATGGGTACGTACATATCTACAACTGGACACACTTGCACTTCGAGTTTGTCGCAAATACTGAGCGCAGAGTCAAGGATGACGTTTGGATGTATCTACACATGACTGGCCCAGCATGCGGAAGAAGCATTTTGTTCCGAATTGAATTCCGCCTTAGTCTTTGCAGACGTTGGGGCTTCTGCGATATGGCTACACTTGCATATGGCGCCACATGTTGTGTTGACTGACACCTGCAAAAATGCAAGCGTCGAGCAACAAGCAGAACGCTATCACCCACACAATTTTGCAACAGGTGGCAAAAACTTTGCGCTTGCAGTTGTCCTGATGCGAGAACTTGCGTGTTAGCTACGAGCTGTTCCAGGACGATGTCACACGAAGTTAAGAGCGATACGTGCTTGCATGAATGTTTCAGCGTTAGATGAATACATTGTGCAATTTGACGGAATCGGTGGAAGCGTGATTGCGTGTCCCAATATATCCGCAACTCTTTTTTTTCACAGCGTTCAATGTTTCATCATGTGTCTGATTTTCCAGCTGAAAATGAGGTGGCATGGCCACTAAACAGGCGAAGGAGACTGTACTTGAGGTGCATTGAGCTCTCACGTAGATATCTAAATAGTTTTGTGATCCCGCACTGGATAAAATAACGGTGTGGCATAATTTACTGCTACAAGTTAGCTGTGGCTGACATAGTAATGATTTTCTCACAACAGTACGTGCCCTGGAGCCTTGTAGAATACGTAGGCCATATAATTATACTGATTCACAAATTGCAGCTCCGTAAAAACGCTGGTTCTTATCACGGTGATTGGCTATAAATGCTGTTCAAATGAGCGTTTACTTTGATCTTGACGACCCTTTATATTAGGATAAGGGAGCCGCCAATGAGCCTTCACTTTCCACTATGGAGCTTTACCTCATTTGTAAACTAAGTAGCTGAATTTAAAAAAACCCTAATTTATCAAATTGCTGGCTTTCCTTTATTCTTCTGATTTCTAAATTTTCACAGTCGAGACTGAGCCAGTCATATCCGCAGCTCCACATTGAGCAGCCCCTCCGGCGGGTGAGAGCACTCAAATATAGGCTCGCACTGGCTTATTTGTAGTGAATACCATCATCCATTCCTACACAACGTTTCTCGATTCATTGAGAAGACCACTCCGAAAAGATCCGACGACGGCACTTCGTTTTTGGTGCAAACGTATTCAGACCATCCCCCACATTAACATGTAGATAGACGAGCGAGTAAACACAATACACATGATGTATGCTGCTCATCCTCCATGTATGCTTGAGCGATAGTATGTGTCTTCATCATGAATCGCCTGTTGTGGACAGCGTATCACGAGCATTGCAGATTCACTGCTTTAACCTCACTTTCCTTGATATTTTTCACCCTTTCTTGCCGTTTGATTGTTGTATGATAGCCTTCCGGCAGTGTCAGCTCTTCAAGCGCGTGACAAGCTTCGTCAACTGAACAAAAGCTCTTCTGTGATCCAGCTTATGTATTTTCATTTTTCTGATAAGAAGGGAGGTGTAACGGGGTGAATCGTTACATAACAATTTATAAGAAATTGTTAATAGAATATAACTATAAGAGTTATATTCTCAGAATATTGTCATAAGGACAATATTCTGTAGCACTTCCAAGTAGTTCCTAATTGGTTGATATAGGCCATTATATCAACCAACGAAGACGCGCCACGACAGACGCACGCAATGAGTGGTGAGCAGATAACTGATTTACACATTTGTATTTAGACATAGTTAGATGAGGATAAATAGTGATTTATTGCAGACATTAACTATTATAAATACAGTTCTACTTTTACTCTAACCGAGTACTCGCTTCTTCTTACCGTCTTCCTCTGCACGTACGAGTGTACGTGAAGTTACGAGGCACCGCCTTATTCTGTTATCAGAATAAGTAGCTTGTACTGTCACCAGTACAAGCTTCAGGGTGCCCCGTTACACCTGGTAGCACTTCGTAGTCCGTCCAAGGACCGCGTTCACATCCAACATGAATATGTTGGATGATGAAGATGACCAAAGCTTTCACGCTACGCGTGACGGCTACTCCCATTTGAGCGATGTCGAATGGGATGCGGTTGAACGAATGGGTTCGACCATGGGCATCCATGCTGTTAGCGTCATGCTAGAGGCTCTCAATAGAGACGCCCAACATGCTACTATCGCCAAGTTCATTCAAAATGAACTTGACGCAGAACGCGAGAAAGTAGCCTTGCTTCACCAACAAGGTTCTCAACAAGCAGAGTTGTTGAGAGAACAAGGTGCTCAACAGTTTGAACTGTTGAGACAGCAGCAAGCTGCTGCTGGCGGGTCGATGCACTCGCGTCGGCCCGAGACTTTGAAGATTGACATCTCAAAGTATAGGGGGGTCGAAGAAGACTCCCTCTTGAGATGGTTCGTCGAATTGGACGACGCTATAAGGGCGCGTCGCATCGACGACGGGGATATGCAAGTTGCATTTGCCCAGTCAAATCTGGCAGGACGTGCCAAGACTTGGGCACTGGGGCTCAAGCTGCACGACCCATATGCGTTTGGGTCGTTGGAAGTCTTCAAGTCGCGGCTCAGACAAACGTTTGAACCGCCTAGAGCTGAGTTCAGAGCTCGAACCGAACTCTTGAAGCTCAAGCAGGGTAAGCGTGATGTGCACGCTTACGCTCAACATATACGACATCTCACGAGTTGTATAAGTTCCAATCCGGTGGATGAACACACGTTGGTTTCGGTGTTCATGCAGGGTCTTGCGGATGGTCCCGTCAAGACTCACCTGTTCCGGCTTGAACTAGATTCACTAGAACAAGCCATTTCAATTGCGGAGCAGGAAGACTTCAGTCTGAGACAGGCTCGCGCCAGCTCGACATCATATCGTCAACCGAGACGATATGACAACGGAGGTCCAGAGCCGATGGAACTCTGTTATGTAGAGAGCGAGAAGGCTCGCTCTACAGGCTACAAGAAGTTGCAGAGATGCAACAGATGTCAAAAGACAGGACACTACGCTTACGAGTGTAGTGCCCCTCGTCCAGTGTCTCGCGACACTGGGCGTAGTGACCGTCCACCCATGAGAAAGGGGCAGGGACGAGGGTCCGCAGTTGGTGCAAAGACGCAACAACGGGATGGACCGTCAAAAAACGGACAGGATCAGTAGGTGCGGAGCACCTACTGATCCAGCAACGTCAAGAGAATTTGTAGGCCTCTTGATGAAGGTTGCTCCCAACACACAGACATTGTGCGTTGCTGCTCTAGGTAATGAGATCTCACTCATTACCTTGAAACTCGAAGTGACGAATAAGTTGTCCCTTCGAGCTCTAGTCGATTGTGGGGCGTCCAACAATTTTGTGCGACGCCAATCGCTAGAAGATGGTCACTTTAAATTCAGTGAATGTGACACACCTCCTACGAGGATGACGGTACGTCTTGCGACAGGCGCATCCGTAACCGTCATGAAGCGCATAGTGAAGATTCACTATACGCTAGAAGATACCCAATACGACGATGACTTTATCGTATTGGATTTGGATGACAAATTTGATGTCATCCTTGGAATACCGTGGCTCAGAAGGTACGAACCACGGGTAAACTGGCAACATCGGACAGTAACGATGCCTGCCGCTTGTTCATCAGATGGCCATCTGATGAACGTTTTGGAGCGTCCACAAGCGTGTGGATGTACTACGAGTGAGTGCGATGGCCTCACTTGTGGTACGGTCGTTAGTACGACTGCACAAAACCTTAGTGTACCAAACGGTTACACTTCGGAGCCAAGTTCCGGCGGCTGTGAGGAAACACAGGCTGCGCCGAAGGTCCACCACTCGAATAAGTCGGGTGGACTGGGACAAAGATGTATCCCTAGAGGGGAACATCTAGAAGAGAAACAATCGATCGCTCAGGTTAAGCGAAACGATAATCCTAGATCGACTGGAGAGTCTTTCGTAGAGGATCTCGCTGTGGTTGCGCAACCCCAGCTAGAGGAAGTAAAGGGAATAAGTCCCAAGATTACAAATACGGCGGAAATAAGTTCCCCGAAACCCGCGGGAATAAGTCCCCGGGAAGACGAAGGAATAAGTCCTTCGAAGCCTGAGGGAATAAGTCCCCAGGAAATGACAGAGACATTGAATGTCATAGTCAATAACGGATCATGTGTAGGCGCTTATACACTTGATCTGATTGCGCCTCCGAAGTTAACTTCGGAGATCACTCAGTTGCCAACGCTCGAACATAAAAGGTTCTTGCGTGATCTGCGTAGTGGCAAAGTCAAGCAGATCTGCATACTCGTCGCTGACGACGAGTATGTAACCGACATAAGGTCAGCAACAGTGTTTACTGAGAACGAGAGAGTTCTCAGTAGTTCATCTATGGACGAGAGTGTCCTAGATGAAAAGACACGAATTGAGCGATATGAGTCCCAATCATGGGAATCGCTCAAGGAAAATCCTCTCTATGAAGATTTGGTTGAATTCAAGGATGTATTCCCTGAAACTGTTCCGTGCGAATTACCGAAGGATAAAGGTATTCGACACGAAGTCGAGCTTAAACCAGGCTCGAAGTACTGTGTCATGAAGCAGTGGCCACTGCCTCGTGAACAAGTACTTGCGATCGACAAGTTCTTTGCCGATCGTTTAGCAGCGGGCCATGTGAGGGAATCAACTTCCCCACATAGCTCTCCGACCTTCTGTGTGCGAAAAGCAACAGGAGGGTGGCGGATAGTGCACGCGTTTAACAAATTGAACGCTGCAACGGTACCGGCTCAGACGCCGATACCGAGGAAGGACGTAATCATTGATGGTATGTCAAAGAGTACCATCTTTTCGTCCATGGATTTGATGGATGGCTTCTATCAAATCCTAATGCGGAACGGGATATACCCTATACCGCAGTTAGCACGCCTAGCGGCATGCTCTGGGAATGGCTAGTAATGCCACAAGGGCTCAGTAATGCCCCTGCCACGTTCAACAGGTGTATCACATCTGTTGAGGCCAGTACGAGAATTCGCGCCGAGTTATTTCGATGACGTATTCATCCATAGTCGAGCTATGGATGGAAAGTCGGACGTTGAGGTTCACAAGTACCACGTCCGACAAGTTCTTACAATCATGCGAAAGCATCAATTGTATGCAAACCTCAAGAAGTGTATATTTGCAGCAAGCGAAATACCACTTCTTGGGTGCATCGTTGGTAAGAACGGTGTACGTCCTGATCCCGAAAAGATCAAGGCGATCACCGACTGGCCCGTGCCGGTCGATGTCAAAGGTCTTCGAAAATTCCTTGGGCTAGCGGCGTATTTGCATAAGTATTCACGCAATTACGCCGAGATGACTGTACACCTCTCTCGTTTGTTGAAAAAGAACGAGAGGTGGTTATGGAACGCTGAATGTCAACGCTCCTTTGAGGGTATCAAGCAGAGCTTGATACAATCCCCAGTCCTAGCAATAGCCGATCAGGACAGGCCATTTCATGTGGTCTGTGATGCCAGCGATTTCGCAATCGGCTGTGCATTAATGCAGTACGACCTTGAAGGCGTTGAACGCGTCGTCTGCTATCAGTCGCGTCAGCTGCAACCAGCTGAGCGGAACTATCCAGTGCATGACAAGGAACTCCTTGCCATGAAGTATGCACTCGCGAAGTTCAGAGTCTATCTATTAGGAGATAGACCCTTCGTTGTTTACACTGACCATGCGTCCTTACGCACGGCAGTGAACAGCCCGCACCTTTCACAACGAATGGCGCGGTGGTTGTCATTCTTTGCAGAATACAACTTTACGGTCGAGTACAAACCAGGACGACTTAATGTCGTCGCTGATGCACTCTCACGTCGTCCCGACTTTGAAACAGTCGCGAAACCCAACAGTGAGACAGTCACTGTTGCGGTTATGACGTCCTCAGTTCCATCTACAACGTTGTATGATGATGTGAGGCGGGCATACGCCCAAGATGGTGAGATAGTGAAGTTGTTGTCACATCTCTCCCAACCATCTCGAGAATCGTTGAAACGATTGTCGTCTGCGTATCGATCTGCATCAGATCGATACACTACTCGTAACGGTTTACTGTACTATACAGCCGTTTCTGGTGACACACCACGTGTTGTCATTCCAGATGATACTGATCTGCGTTTGCGGATCATGTTCGAGTATCACGATGCTCCTATAGGAGGACATCGTGGCCGAGAGAAAACATATCTCACGGTAAGTCGAGACTTTTACTGGCCCCGCCAGTATCAGTTTGTGCGAAAGTATGTTCGCGCATGCGAAGTCTGCCAACGAGTGAAGTCAAGTCCTTCACTGCGTGCACCTTTACAGCCTCTACCGGTTCCGGCTGAGTGCTGGGAATCCATCTCAATGGATTTCGTCTTCGGGTTACCCAAAGACGCACGCGGGAATACGGGTATTCTCGTATTTGTTGACAGATTCAGCAAAATGGTACACCTTGTGGCTGTACCAGAGACAATCACGGCAAGTGGCTGTGCTTGTGTCTTTATTGACACCATCTTCCGACTTCATGGGTTGCCCCGTGAACTCGTATCAGACAGAGATCCACGATTCACTGCTGATTTTCTGGCGTTCCGTGTTTAAATCACTCGGAACGCGCTTGAAGATGTCAACATCTGATCATCCAGAGTCAGATGGTCAGACGGAACGTGCCAACCGTGTCCTCGAAGAGATACTTCGAGGATACGTACACTCCTTTAAAAGTTGGAGTGAGTTTTTGCCAATGGTAGAGTTTGCCATCAACAACTCGGTGCATGCGTCCACGACACATACACCGTTTTACGTGAATGGCTTGCGCCATCCGCGTGTACCCACCTTACTAGAGTGTAACTCTGGCTTAAGGGGGGAGGGACTCGCGCGAGCAAAAACCGATTTGGTTCACGCTCATCACGCTCTGACGAAGAAGTCATTGCGTTTGATGCCGATATCGATAACATCGATATCGAAGAAGATGATGCCAGTGAGAGTGCGGAAGCCCTCACTGAAGACAATGATCCCAGTGAGAGTGCGGAAGCCCTCACTGAAGAAAAGGTTGTTGTTGCTGCAGTGCGCTCACAGCACACTGAAGCTAACGAGTCATCAGATGAGTTCATACTGGCTCGTGAAACGGTAGTCCGTTTTGTGCAAGACTCCATCGCCGAAGCGGTGGATAAGCAAAAGCAAAACGCTGACAAGAATGGAAGGGCAAACACTCTTTTATTTAATAAAGGTGACTTAGTCCTACTGTCTACGGTTAATCTACCAAAGCATGTAGTGACTAACTTGGGTAGCAGTAAACTACTACCCAAGTACATTGGCCATTTCGTGTATTGCACCGCCTAGGCAATGCATACACGATCGAGTTACCACGTAAGATGCGAACGCATCCCACGTTTTACGTTGGTCGGCTTAAGCCGTACCATCAGTACGCTGCTTCTTCCGATGAAGAACGCCCTTGCGCTCAAGCATCTCGCAGAGAGCCTTGTGCTCCCGATGGTGGGCATCAACAAGGGTCTGAAGAGCAGTTATCTCAGCCCGAGACCGATCAACAATCCCACGAGCTACCCTTAGCTCGTCACGAAGAGATGTCAGAGATCTCTCGTTCTCAAGCTGAGCAAAGGCAAACTCAGCTCGATGCTTCGAGGCAGTGTCCACCATCTGGAGACGCCTATTCCGCTCATGCTCGAGATCGTCGCGTAGCCCTTGCGTTACGCGATCAAAGAAGCTCTCGGGAACACACCGATCCACATGATCGTGTGGAGAGCGTCTTTCCTCCTCCTCCACCTCCATTAGAGGACTCTCGCGGTGGCCAGCGCTATCTAGTAGAGCAGCTGTTGAACCACCGCGACGTGAACGGACGTCGGACGAGTTACCTCGTCCGGTGGCGCGGCTATCCCCCGTCCTGGGATTCTTGGGAGCCCCGCTCCCAATTGATGGTTGACGTACTGGGTCTGGTCGAGCAGTACGACGCGACACATCCTGTGCCGCAGAAGGACCGCCGGAGAAAGTCTTCCCGGCACGGTCGTAAAGGGATTTCAGGTTGTCAATCCCTTCGTACATCTCAGTAGAGACACGTACGCGCCACCACGGGCTGGTAAGGAGGTAAGCCTCCTTAGGTGCTCGTGCAGAGTTGTTCACACAACATGGGCACGAGTCTACCATGAGAGGCAGGGTAATCCTTTCTCCCTTGACAGACGATGCAGCTTATAGCGTGCACCTGTCGGGGTTCGCTTTTCAAACTTATCACGAGCTTTGATAAGTTTGTCGTTCCAAGCGTCACGACCTACATCCTCGAGATTATGGATGTAGGCGTTCCACGCCTGAAGTAGTGAGGGACCATCACGTTTGTGATTCCCACTGTACCATCGATGTCTGAAGAAAGCATCGATGAAGAACTCATGTTCAGCGCGATAGTCTTTCGCGCTGGGGTCAAGGTGATGGATCCTTGACGAATCGAACAATCGTGTTCGATAACGATCACTCGTCGTCGCCGACAAGTGATCCATGACAGATTTAGGAGGCATCCATGCCTTCTTTTTCTGGAGCGAGACGCAACACATTGCGGTCCCGCTCTTCCTGCGACGTGCCGACAGAAGTACTGGCACCTCGCTGTGAAGTGGTGTCCATTGGAGAAACGACACCACTATTAGCGCCCGAGTCTCGCGACCTCGAGCGCCTTCGCTTCGGCGATGGTTCATCTGACTCATCAGATGAACCAAAGATGCTGCGACGCAAAGCATCGTCCATGCCACGCTTGGCAGGCGGCTTGGATTCAATTGCCGTCGATACGGATCCGTCATCCGTATCAGGAGAGTACGAGACACCGAGCTCGTACTCTGTGAAGACACGAGTGTCTTCATGACCAGCGCCTGCATCACCAGGTGATACAGGCTGAGTCGATTCAGCAACCGATGGGATATCAGTTGCTGTAGTTTCTGCTTCGGCGTCCGCACAGAGACGTGCAGACGCGCTCTCGGCGGCCTTGCTCGCGCATCGCATGGGCTTGTTTACCATGCGATGAGATGTTGGAAAGTGGACGCGGACCAACAAGTGCAAACCCCGTCCCAAATGATTTGGGACGAGTATCCATTTAGTCAATCAGTCACTAAAGTGACTGATGGTTAAGGGGGTGATGTAACGGGGTGAATCGTTACATAACAATTTATAAGAAATTGTTAATAGAATATAACTATAAGAGTTATATTCTCAGAATATTGTCATAAGGACAATATTCTGTAGCACTTCAAGTAGTTCCTAATTGGTTGATATAGGCCATTATATCAACCAACGAAGACGCGCCACGACAGACGCACGCAATGAGTGGTGAGCAGATAACTGATTTACACATTTGTATTTAGACATAGTTAGATGAGGATAAATAGTGATTTATTGCAGACATTAACTATTATAAATACAGTTCTACTTTTTACTCTAACCGAGTACTCGCTTCTTCTTACCGTCTTCCTCTGCACGTACGAGTGTACGTGAAGTTACGAGGCACCGCCTTATTCTGTTATCAGAATAAGTAGCTTGTACTGTCACCAGTACAAGCTTCAGGGTGCCCCGTTACAGGAGGTCAGAAGTTCGATAGCGTAGGTGATATGAGATGGAATGGACAATATTTCTGAATTTACACAACAAAACGAATTGACAATTTTGGCAGGTTCAAACACAATGACTTGTTTAATGTATGGGGTGATGGCTCATTCGCGAAAAGTGAGGCTCACTCGCGGCTCCCTACGATGAACATTATTAATCTGAAGGTTTCTAGCTAGTGTCTTTGTCAAAATGCATATAAATTTAGTGGGTCATAGCTCCTGGCTCTTCAGTCAGAGAGACTGCGTGCTTACCCATGATAGTTAGTCTATTTTGTCAGTAAAAAATAACTTTACCTTAACATCGAATAGGTCCAATCAAAACTACAAGCGACTAGGTCAATATTGTGCTGCGTCACTGACTAATAAGTGGTCAGTGATTGCTTTGCACACGTGAGGACGAAAGTGCGATCCAATCCTTCTTACACATGTAGACTTAACGTGATAGATGACATGGACCAGACGTATTCGCCAGTTGTGAGACGGATGGACAAAGCAAAGCAGGTCGTGGCAGTGACAAAAAATAAGTCTGTTGGTAGCGCGTTCCGGGTGCCACAAACGGCACAATATTGATGGGACACATACTTTGCATAGAGGTCTACAAAAGTCCACCGATTGTAGATCCATCTTAGCAGTCCGAGATTAATACGATCACGGCGGGGATCATGATGCAGGAACAATGATCGTAGCGACATTGCAAGTGTGATAGCAGCCACCCGGTTTTCTTTAAGAAAATACGAGGAGGCTGCTACGGCGTGATAACCACAAGGGCAACCAGCGACTTCCTGGAGGTACGGCGGTGTCATTGGAGGCAGAGAGGCAGTTTCCCGATCTGACCTTCCAGGGAGAAAGCAGCTGAAAATAACTCAAAATCCGATTTTGATCGGCCTAAAAGAGATGCATCGTGGTTGTTCACCTCTAAAGATGAGTCAAGACTGCGAAGTCGTCAACGTGCTGTCATCGACTGTCGCACCTATTTCACCCGGCTGCATAATAAGCGCCGGGATGTCGATTTGCCACATCCTACCTCAGTCGTCACTGCTATGTGAAGATAGTGCAATCCAGATTCGGATACTGTTCCCTTCGGTCTGGCAGGCAAAAGTTCCATGACTGCTACAAAGCCACTACATATCCATTCATATACCTCGGTGACACAAGCGTCTTATGTTAGACAGTCGTTCAACTGGCCTGTACAAGCGCAAAGGCAGCTCGATGAAAAGACTTCATTTTACATCTTTATGGTCTGAGTTTGGCGGGAGCAACGTTCACATGCTACATCTTCTACTGGCTTCACACGTTTTTACAAAGATAGCAGTTAGTGGGTGTCGTAGAATTTAGGCCGTAACAGATGGTGCTGCATTTGTTTTCGAATCGCCTTCAGATTAGAAAAGTGCTAGCCTTCACGGTGCGGCGGAGAAATGATTGCAAAACGCTGGGTCACCATTATTGCCTGGCTCAGTAGAGGCGTTTTCAGCTATCCAGGTTCTGTAGAGAAAGTCTAGTTTTTGACATTGTTCTGCAAAGGCATCGCAATTGTGTGCACCTGCGTCACAAAATGCGTTGACTGTTTGGCCATCAACACTTTGTGCGTCTGTAAAAACACTGAACTTGTGGTGCGTTCGTTATCAAACTCTCGGTAACATTGCCGCTAAATCGATCTAAATTACTGACAGCGTGGCTGGCAAGTTCACAATGCCGCACGATGTGACTTTGCATCGATGGGTTCAATCCAGTGGCTCAGGAAGACGCTGTTGCAGTATGAAACGACCCTCCAACTATAACATAAATGGTGCGATTTGGTCCTGCTGACCACCGGCATCTTTAGCAGGACGTTTCATTCCGCATGGTTCGAACTTGAGCTCGATAGCAACCTGCTGTTGACCCTTGTATGACATCCTGCTACCCGAGAAGCCGAATCGGACAAACAGGTGGCAAAAAGCGCTACTAGTTGCAGTTTGCAGCCGTAGCTGTTTCATTGACTCACGGCAGAATGGAGTTCCAGGACTTCTTGTGAGTACAAAATTACAGATCGACAAGGTCAAAGCATATCATGATGCCATGATGGCCGCGCTTCAAGTTGGGCTGGACATCCTGTGAAATACCAAAGAGCGACAGACACCTCTGTCATGCACACGGCATGACACTTGATATCACCCGTAGAGAGACAATGTGCTGGAAGTTTGTGCGCTGCAGCACGATTGTTTTGAGCGACTAGCAACGATGCGAAACGATGTAGGACTTGTGCGTAGTGACGATCTGAAGGCAATACACATATGCTATCGCATCATAAGAGTTGAAGGCACGGCCGAGTACAGGAACTGTTTGATATCGGAGCTGGGTGCTAGTTTTATAATCGTCCCTTCTACGGGTCCACGACTCTGGCTAGTGAGTGCATCGTGTGGAATTGCTGGTAGAGGCAAACCGTCGACAGTGATGCCGAAGCACGACATCAAAAAGTGTAGTCTAGGGACGACCATGGCTTCAATTTGTACTTGATGCATGCACAAATCAGTGACAAACACGATCAGCAACATCATCAAGTCCAAGATATCTGCCCAAACGTGAACGCTATACAGCTGAAGCGTCCACTGTAAGGAGGCTTAGCGCAAATTATAGCTTGTACTCCTTTTGTCTCACGTGTAACTAGCCACTTGCTCAAATATTAAGCCAATGCTGATACGTGGGTAGCACGTCGAACGGCCACGACAGAAAAAAAGGGCGTCGTGGTATGCCATAGCAAGGAGAATGCTGCATGACCGAGGGTGAGTACGAGATGTACATTTACAACTGCATTCCATAACTTAGAGCACGTTGATCATAGATGAGTCGAATAAAACCCTCGCTTTGATTGCTGGCAATCGTGGAATTGACGTATTACGTGCGGGTTTGCACTTCAGTAAAGCTGAGAGCCGGAACGGTCAGAACTTCTTAAGGTGCATGTTGCGGTATGGCAATGAACGTCTCAGTTTGGTGAAGATACCCGTGATGTCGCGACATGTAGATACACGAATACGAACACCAAAGACGGTGTTCTGTAATTTCAATGAGCTCGTTGGAAGAGTGAAAGGTGAGCGAGCTGAAAGGAATGTCAAAGGATATACTGGTGACGTTGACGGCGTCTAACTGAATATAAGGCGGCATGCACATTAATTGAAAACGCCGGATGGTCAAAGCGTTTAGGATACGAGCAGCCGAGGAGGTTTCGGTCTTGAGCACTGGAGTCTTCTTGCTGTTTCCTCTACTTCTATTGCACACAGCATGCCGTACTAAAATGTACAATGCAGTTTGAAGCAGAAGGCGATTTTGTCGTTGGAGGTGGTATTGATGATGATCAGATTGGCAAAGTGCGTGTAGATGGATGGGATGAGGCGACGGCACTGAATAGGTTGTTGCTTCACGCAGTTCACTGTTCACTGAAATGATGTAAAGAGATACAGAAGTAACTTGAGGCCTTGTCGCCGGTAGGTACAGGAGTTGCTGACGCATGACGTAGTCTGCTTTGTACAAGTTGCTTGGTCGTTCTTTTAGCACGCTACTGCAGGATGAGCGCTCTATACATGGATACATTGCACGAAAAGGTGGCGCCTATTAGGCAGGTCACGCCTCACCATTCATAACCAGTGCTGCGCATCACATTATAGCAGGTGTTATCCAGTGTCAGGCAGACACCCAATGTCAGGCAGAACGAGCTGCATCTACTGGATCAAAAAGTACTGAGGCTGATGGTTAGCTCTAATCCAAACGGTAGATCATGTTGAGGCAGCTTTGCGGAACCCCAATGCTTGAGTCAAGCTCGCAGCATAGCTGCAGTGACAACTCAAGGCACAAGACACTGAAACGTGGCACGATGAAGACGTTGACTCCGTAAATTTGCTTCCAAAGCTTTACGCCAAAGCAAAGATAGACTCAGGAGCTCAATGGCCGGTTCATCACGTTTAGTCCTTGCTGTGCCGAGGCTCTGACCTCATCCACCAGCGCTTCGAGTACAAAGTCGCGCTTCTCGCCGTCTGTGTATTGAACCACCCACTTAGTAGGTGCATTCTCGCTCGTTTTCCATTTGGTCACCTGACCAGTTGTCCACTCGGTCACGATCTCCTCACTCTTGTCATCAACATACCTGGTTCTCTTAAGTATGTTCCAAAATACTGGTCGTCCAGGGAACGCAGTAATGTCCCTCAGAAGCTTCTCCTTATCAAAATCACATAGCCTTCCCCTATCGTCTAGCTCGTGTTTACTGCCCGTTGTGTGATCTAAGTCCACATGGTCATCTTCATCAACCCACTCTGACCCAGAATCTTCAAGTAGAGTGAGCGGCTGTTCGACAACTACTAGCGGAGGGGATGATCCTGTCGACGACGTAAAGTCGGTCGCAACCGCTCCATCGAATCCCTGCTGCTTAGTTTTCTTCAGCGTCATCAACCGATTTCTCACCTGCCCTTCATTCGGAAGTTTTGTGAGAACTTGCGGCCGTTTAGCGTACTTTTCCCCGAGAATGAGACAGCATTTCGAGGGCTGAACCCCTTGAGTCAGTAACCCATCAACTTCTGCTTTCACCGACCTGTCAATACCGACTCGCCGTTGAGTGGACACTCGGGTTCCGTGCAGTCCAGCGACTGCTACCTGAAAAGTTACTGGAATTTCCGCGTCCTCTTTGTACATTTCGGCGACGCGAAGCCGTCGCCCACAGCTTTCGTGTGAGATGCACCGGTAGACCTTTCCATTAACCTTTGGGCCGTAGTTGTAGGCAGTGATGTAGCGGAACGAGTCGTAAGAATGGACAGCTGCCGTTGCGTCTTCAAACGTCAAGAACGTCGAAATGTGGCGGTAAGCACAAGCATTCCGAGGCATTTGTTGACCTGACGGTGGCCGCTTGAGGGTGGCCACACTCTCCTGTTTGTATGATCGGCGGTGCCCAAAATAAAAATGACGGACAGATGTGGTGGGTGCGACCGGTTTGACACGGTAGTGTGCAGTCTTATACATGATATAGAAATGAGCATTTGTATGTGATGGATTTGGTGGTGCTTTACAGTATAGGTAGAAATAAGGTCGGTCACAACAAGGCTTTGAATGCAAAAGAATCAGACGAATCTGCTCTGCACCATTCAGCAATTTCACAAAGGCACGAGTTTTACCAATTAACTTAACGGCGTGAAGTTGTATTGCTCATCTTTGCTTATGATGAAAGCTCATATCGCCTGACTCAAACACTGCGGAAGCCGTCGTACTGTCACAGAGAAGCGTATTGCTCGGTGCAGGACGACCATCCATTGTGCGGTGCTTGATAGTCAAAGCAGCAAAGGTAGATATAGTTGCAGTGGGAGTTGGTAGGATGCCCTCATCAAAACATAATGTAAAAAACGGCTAGCTGTCTGAAGCTGGTACAAAAGCTCAAAGCAGCAACCACCGATCTTCTTCCGCTCTCGTTCCAGCATTGTGCACGTAGGATGTGATGTTGACTGATAGGCATGCTGACCGGCAGCACTACGAAGAATATTCACGTGAGGCTCAAAATCCTAATCTCTGCCTTAGGAGGGCAGTACTGTATCCATTGACGCACGCGAGGTTGGTGCGAAGACACGATCATGCCGTCTCTCTTTCTACGTAAGTACTCGACTTGAGAAGGCGATGAAGGGTGATACAACCGAGCTCCGCCAGCAAGACGGATGTTGCTAGCTAAAGCCAGGATTGCACGAGCGGACGAGCGAGTCGCAATTGCAAGTGGGAGGAAAGCAGGGTCCAACACCGGATGTTTTCACGGTGCACTTTGCCCATGCGCGTCAATTGTATTCATCGCTCGCTCGTGTATCCATGAAACCGAGAATGGCTATACCCACGCGGACCAGCTGCTGCTACAAAAAGCGCAAGAACGTGTACCAAATCGTGCGACTGCGTACGACCTACGTCCAGCTTCACGTAATCCTCATTTGCAACTATGCTCGTTTTTTAGCTCTAGCCAGGATTCGTCGTATGGTGACGTCACTAGAGACTCAAAGAGAGCACGGCGTCGTTGCGGCAGCTGCATAAGCTCTTCTTTGTCAGTGGCTTCGCAGATGTGAGATGTGATGCTCACTGGCATGCACTATCAATCCTATGGACGGCCTGCACTCGTCGTGCACAGAATCTAGAAAATCTCTAAAGGGAGAACGATGGATGGAAGGTAAAAGAAGAAGTGCGACCGACAGGACTCACACGTAGATAATACTCGTTCTGCTGTTTGCGTTAGCACTATCAGGTAGCTGTCTCCTTTCCCTTCTCGTACAGTCAGGTGTTCTGCTTTGGTTGGGTTTTTCGACCTATTTTTCTTGCTCACGTCTTGGCTCATTCGAAAACACCCACCGAGTTATTAGCCAAATGCACCCGTTTTGGTCCGTCCCAAACGTTACCAAAACAGGACAGGACCATTGCGATCAGGACAGGACTATTTCGATGCGACCACTCGACAGTGACACCCAATTGCAAACGTGCAAAAAACGTCCTGCCCAGGCATGAGATTGATGTGCACTACACCATATATTCCAGATCCGCCTAGCCAGTCAGAAAGCCCAAAGAAGCTCAATCAGATGGGGGGCCACGAGCACCGTGAGGGACCGCGAAGCTCCCGTGCTGGCGCCTGGGAAGGGTCCGACAAGCTCAAGAAGGCGCTAGAGGGTCTAGCGACTGCTAAGGGCGTCTCACAGAGCCGCATTGGTGCGGTGGCGAAGCTGGCAGCGCAGTATTCCAAGGTGAGCAAAGCAGGAGAGGACAGACCGACAGACAGACCGCGCGCGTTGAGTGGGAGTTGAGTTAATCTTGGTGTTTGTATGGTGCAGTTTTACAAACACGTGGTGCATGACATTGAGGTGTTTTTGTGGAAGGCGGAGGTCGAGCACCGATTGGCTGGTAAGGGGTATACTTTGTTCAAGTGCGTTTTTATTCGGGTGGTTCTGTATCCTAACGGCTAATGATGTGTGGGGTGATGTTTTCTGCAGGACTTTATGCGATTGACGCGATCATTCGACAGGTAAAGAAGCTGGCAGAGAAGTCGGGTCATGGTATTTACAAATGGAACTGATGTGCTGTACGTGAATGGATGCTGGATATGCTGTAGTCGCATGCCAAAGATGATCCGAAAGACGCGTACGTTAAGCGGTTCTTTGTCCGACTATCGGACACGATCGCAGCTGTGAAGAAAGTGCCGGAGCAATTTCAGGTACGGGAGAAAGCGAGTGAAAAAGATTTTGAGTAAGAAACTGACTTTTTGGTGGTGGCCGTGTGTTGCTGTAGCCCAAAGTGCGACATGTGATTGAGGAGTGGCAAAAACGCGGTATCTACACGTCGAGTCAGATCGTAGACGCTGGAGGGCGTGAATATCTATCTCAAGGACAAGTATGCGTCGGCGTAAAGTTGGTAGCAGTGGTGTGCACAATGTGAATGTTCTGACTCTCTGTTTCTTGTTCAGGACGGAAACACCACGTCTCGTGCGTCACCAGGGAAATTGGCGTCATTGTTGTCGATTATTAAGCAGAAAAAAGAGGAGCAAGAGCATTCTGGTGACCACCAAGGGCGACCACCGTATGAACATTCGCTTAACGGAGATAGATGCCAAGCAGACAACGCTGGGGCTTATGACCATCGCAGTTATGCCAAGGAACGAACGGCTAGCCACCTCTACGATAGTAGAGACGTTGGCGGTATTATGGGGGATGCACCGGGCGTCCCAGTCGGAAGTGGTCGTGTCCGTAGAGTCCCTGACGACCGTCTAAGTGACGTGGACGATCGTGACGCCAAGAAGGCCCGCGGGTCTCGTTGGGGACCACCTAAGCTGGACAACCCTTTATCGAATGATAGACCTGCCCCAATAATTACGTCACTTGTCAGAGAGGTCGATTATCATGCTGATAGTGGCAGACCCGGTTACAGCTCACCACCTCGCCAGCTTCCCTTATTGCAATCTTCACACGCAGCCCCGCCAAGATATGACGATTGGAGCAGAAACGTACCCCCGTCTCGTGGTGTAAGCGCTGGATGGCCACATAGTGACAGTCTGCGATCATCACAGCCAGGAAGTCTAGGAGAGCACAATGCAAGCCCTTGTCATCCGGTCGCAATGCCACGTCCGTCATTTCCTGGCTCAAGCGATCGACAAGGTCCGGGCAATCGTGTACCCGGTACCTCAGGAGAAATCTGCCGTAACTTCCTAGCCGCTCGATGCACGTTTGGCGATCGTTGCTGGTACGGGTGTCGCTTGATATTGTATTGTAAGCGACCAGCTGCGAGAGCGCGAACTGACTAAATCTCTATTCCCGTTGTGTTTACCGCAGGCACATCCACGACCCACAGGGGCAGTCCGGAACTTCTCGAGCAGAAATGGCTGAAAGTAGGCGGAAAACTGTGCTGTGTAGCAATTATCCGCTGGGAACTTGTCGATTTGGAGATAACTGCAGGTACTATTTGACCTATAGCATTGACGTCATCAGCATTGGTTGGGATGTAGCGTTTCTTGGGCTGCCTGTGCTTTTTTGGTCAATGGAATGGTGTCTGATCATGGACTCCCTTGTGGGCGGGCCTTGTATTTTGCTTTCGTTTTCTTTTCAGCTTTGCTCACGGTGAAGATAAACTTGACAAGTCCACGAGGCTGCTGAGACCTCCCGTGATGCAGGCAGACCACCTCGCTGATAGTCGGTGGCAAGCACCGCCGAGTGCACAGCTCGGGATGGACGTTCCACCTCGGTCCCACGTTTCACCGTCTGCTCCCGCATCATCTTCTTGCTCTTCTCAAGCTAGATCTTACGGAGCCCCGCAAGCTGTATATAATGAACCACACGGTGATCGCGGCACTAGCGCTTCTGTATCTTTTGCAAACGTCGCCGTGCCCTCGCCAGGTGGGCAGCTGCTGCCATCCGACCATCAATCTGGGCCAATGACTTCCCCGCAAGGTTACCCAGGGGCGTACGCTGCGGCCAGCTCGACGTTCGTGACCCAAGGTTCTTCTCACCCGAACGGTGTCGACCAAGGTCGAGACCTCGTCCCAGGTGATGCGTCTGTCGTGCTACCTCCTGGTTCCGGTAGTAGTCAATTGCCCGGACCAGCTGCAGCGACTCCTGCCACTAAAGTCTTGGCGGATGACGACGATGCCGATATAGTGGAGCCCGAGTTTACCCTGGAGTACGATGACGACGACTAAGAACATTGGAGATAATTTTCACTGGCACGTTTGCCGCCATTTTGCGGCTTCCAAGTAGCCTGGACCATGCCCAAGACGATGACTGGAAAGGTCTCAGCTAGCTGCAATGGAAGGGCAGTCGGGTGTCGTGCAGATTGACGACTGTCGCGGTGTTGTTCGGGTCATTCGTTGTTAGGTCATCCCAGATATGATGCATCCATCGGATGTTTACGTTCTAATCACATTTATTGTAGCTACTTTTTCCCTGCCTCGTATTTGATTGGTCATTCCCTGAAAATGGCATTTGGTCTCTAGAGTGGCTCTCGTGGGCTTATTGTTAGTCAGTCAGTCAGTGCCCTACTTACCTACGAGCTCTCCATGTAAAGTGCACATACCTTCCCGTATAATGTTCGAGTCTCAATACCCATAGCAACCTCCGCAGATTAAATGTGAGAAACTGACGCAATAGCCACGAGTCCCTCATTGCAGCGAAATTGTTCCAGCTGAAGACATGACCAAGTGTGTACCGATCCATTCAGCATCTAGAATAGTGCAGGCGCAGAAACACTCGAGCCGTTCGTTGTCGCAGGTGCTACCACAAGCTGTTTCAGTGTCGGCAGTTGGTCCAGCACCGACTTGATCTGGTCAAGGGAACACCTCGCGCGCTGCTGCTTCGTTAAAACCACGTTATTGCCACAAGAGACAAGCACGGAAGCTACTTGACGCAGTAGAAGAGCCCAGTCCTGGAAGCGCTGCTTCCGAGCTTCGAAATGATGTTGTTGCAGCAGCCATCGCGTGAGATTGCTGGCTACTAGCTCGGCCAACCCGATACAGGCGCTCTCAGACTTGGCAGAGTTTTGCTGGACCACTTCGACAGCACCGAGCAGCAACTCGAGCGAGCACACGTGACCAGCGCGACGAACAACTAATGTTGCAATGACAGCAGCTTTGCTCGAAGCTGGACGGTCAATCTTGGTTCCGACAATTGCTGTATGCAGACATGCAAACGCATTTGCTGCTTGCAGAGCTGCCGCACGTTGATAAGTGACGTCCAGAGCATTCCAGATCCCATCGCGCAGTGCTTGCTCGAACACCGTCATCAGTGGAAGCAGTAGCGCTGATAAAGCTGGACGTGTTGTTGACCCGATCGACTTATCGCTGCGACTTTTCGTTGACAAAGACACAGCTCCGTATCGCAAGAATTGGGCCGCTAACCATGCCAACAGAGCTGTCTTTGTCACTAGATGAACACCACCTGATAGCGTGTCTAGTGTTGCAATGAGAATGTTCGTGATCAGCGGCTGGGTGTGCGTATCTGCCAGCTCAGAAGCATAGAAACTCAACAGCATCGGAAGAACGTGGCGGCGGACAAGCAGCACCACATCGTCATCGGTGCGTATGCCGTGACGAAGTGTGTGAAGGAGCCACGATCGCTCTTGCCGAAAAGTCAAAGGTGCGCGGCTGTTGAATAGCGAGTAGAACATTGGCACGTCAGCCACATCCATCGCGGGGCGCGCCAGCAGGAAGTGATTCACTTGCGGGTACAGCACATGTGTCGGACGGGTTAAAACAGCCAAGGCGTCATTGAGAAACACCGTCACCAGCGACGGCACTTGCTTCAGTTCCTCCGCGATTCCACGGCGAAATACATCTAGCAAAAGATGCACCTGGCGCCCCGCCTTGAAGTCGCTCGACGTTTCGGATGAGGCTTGCAACGACTCATGCAAATGTGCTAAGATGCCGAAAGCATACTTGCGCATATCCTCAACATCAGACGATGTAGCACGAATGGCAATTCCCAGTAATCCTTGCTGCACGATGCCACCATCAGGCAAGTCCGATGACGAGATGAAATACGACAGCATCGGTAGGAGGAATGCTGGGTCGTAGCCTTCTATCGTCTGCTCACCATCAACAATCAGGGCCTGCGCAGCTTCGTCGCCAGTATCACCAGCAAAGAAGTCTTCGTCCAGATTCAGGAGATGTGCATCGCTAGTCGTTGAAATTGTACGCGTGAGCGGGAAGTGCTCAATAGTGGCACGAACACGATCTTGCTCAAGACCTCCTCCGAGAACCCAGGCTGAGTCGTCAACCAGGTCGTTGTGAGACCCTTTCGATGACACTGGCAATGCTGTTGCTGGCAAAATCGTAGAAGATGCGCCAAAGCGGAAGCCCATGCTCGCCAATGTAAGTCCATCTATCTTCTGAGCTTCAAACTCTTCAAACAGCACCCGCAAACTGCGATCAAAAGGTGAAAGCGACATCGAATATGAGGCTAGCAGTATCTGCAAAAGAGGACGAGTATACTTCCCAGTGATGCGGACAAGTTGCGCAACCACCTGAGCGATCAAGAGCTGTACTTCTTTGTTCTTGCCGTTTTGCAGACTCGTCGTGAAGCACGGGTGTTGTACGACCGCATCAAAGTGAGCTGCAAAATCGTAGTCGATCGCATTGGCGTCATTCCCCGCTAGACGTAACAACGCCGCTGTCAAAATCACAAACTCTGCGAACGCAAGCTTGCTCGTGCTTTCTCGGACACCTTCACAGATCGCAGCAAAAAGTGGAAGAACCAGTTTTAAAGCCAACGACTGCTTCTCAGGCACTTGATGCTGCAGGTATCTGATAACACTCCCCACCATAAGCATCGTGGCCTCAAAATCATGAGGCAGGCTATCACATTCGTTTTCGGCATGCTGGTCCAATTTGGTTTGCGCTGCCTTCAGTCTACCCACTCCGCTTCGAATAAGGATTGCCAGCAGATCTACGGCATTGCTGTCATCAAAACCGCTGCTGCGCGATAGAAAGAGAAGGGCAAGCAGCTGCGAGGACGACAAAGTCTCATCGCATTGAGAGCTTGCTAACTCCTGCAGTGCGCCACCAAGAGACGCACCGAACGCACTTGCGTTACCACTCGAGGACGCATCAGTACACAGATGCCTTACCAGTGCAAGCTCTGCAGTACATCCTTCGTGAGACTTGAGTAACACACGCTGATAACAGGCTGGGATCAAGTCGTCAGAAAGTTGACGTAGCTCAGGATGCACGACTCGCGCGAATACATCATATAGTGCCCCTACCAATCGACATACCACTCGCTGATCCGTCCCATGCTGAATCTGCTTCCAGAGCTGCTCCTCAAAAATGACCGGAAACGCCGCAACCTCTTCACCGCTTCGAAGAGCTGCAATCATTGCTTTCACCATTTCGGTGCAGTGGTTACGGCTTGACGTCGCATGCGCACTTTGCACCACAAGGGGCACAAGGGAAGTCGCGATAAATGGCAAGGCTGTTGAAGCATCGACACCACCTAGCTGTCCCAGTACCGTGAATCCATCCATAAGAAACGGCAGCTTTCGCTGGCTGCTTTCGCTGCACAGTAGCAGCCAGAGCTTCTGCTTGAGCAACTTCGTGCGCTTATGGACGATGATGGATCGGAAATGCTCACCCATCTCACAATTTCGAAGCGATTGGAGTACACGCTCGACGAGTACTGCGTGTGGAGCGGCAATAATTCGAGCACCGGAATGCTGTAGAAGGCTGTAAAGTACCGGAATACGAGTACTGGGAGGAGCACGTGACGCTAACACAGCCACGAGGGGAACGCCTGCACGTTGAAACAGATCACCGAAATCGCACAGCGCTGCCAAGTTTGAGTCCGGGTTGATGCTGGAGTAAACTCGCAAAGCCACAATTTTTACGGCGTATAGCTGACGCCACGAGCCTGAGCTAGCATTACTGGAAATCACTGCTTGAAGTTTGAAGAAAATACGTGAAACGGTGTTGGATGTCAATCCGTTTTCACCGTGAACAATGCAGATCGTCAGCAAATTTGAAAACAGCTCACAAAGTCGCGAGTATCCGTTTTCGGAGAAGCCATGGTTCCGTAATGCGAAAAAGAACAGTAGCTGTTCGCACATGCGCGCTGCATCCGTTACTGCCAAAAGATTATTTTCAACTCGACCCTTCACCACGCTCATCATCACAGCAATCGTCGAGTCTTGATCTTTGCAGTCTCGATTGGAGATGCGGAAAAGCGCATGCTGAAGGACAATGTACAAAGGCACCACCTTTGTAAATGTTTCAGTAGGAGACGAATCGGACGTCTGGCGTTGTCGTCGCTCCTTGCTTAACGTCACCAATTGCGCCACAGGTCGGCTTAACAGCGAGAGAATGTCTACGTCTCCTCGTCCGGACAGGTAATGAACAACGGGGCTGAAATTTGCTGCGACTTCAGCGCAGTTGCTAATAATGTGATCCCAGGATGTAACGAAGCTCGATGGCGTCAGCTCAACTAATGCGGCAGTCAGCATATTGACGTCACTATGACGGTGCCACTTCGTGCCTGCATTTTTGGTCCCCTTTCCACGAGAGGCAACGTTGCTGGACTTGCATGTTCCGGATACAAGTGCATCGCAAGTCGTCTTAAGCCACATGTAAGCATCACCTTCACATAGAATCTCATCCGACCGCTTTCGCTTCTTGTTTTTCACACTATTGCTGCAGATATTCTCGTCCTCGTTTTGATGCATTTTAGGTGCAATAACCGTATCCGCAAAAGCATCGTTACTTGCGATCAACTTGACCAACTGCTGGGGATGCTTGCTGGTTGGCATCAATGCTAGCAAAATACGTACAGCAAACGCTACGACACACTTGTCAGCACGATATGCAGACAGGTCCAAGCTTCCAGCTACTCCGCTGCACGAACTGAGAAATTCAACCAGCGCCACAGTTATTGGACTGAGAGAAGACGAAGACGACGCGGCGTTTACCACACGGCTACCAATTGCGACATATTTGAGTGGATCGGCCATCACAACACATGCGAGCTGTTCTGTAAATAAGGCGCAGACCTTCCCTCCACCCTGACATAAACTCTCGAGCCAGAATGAAACTTCATTGTTTGCAAGACCAGCAATATCGTGCCCCTCTTCTCCTTGCGTTGTCAGCCCAAAGATGTCCGAAGCCCGCAAAGTTCGCCGAAGCACCTGACATGCAAGCTCTTGCACGGATAAACTTGTAGTTGAGACGTACAATAACAGCATCTGCTGGAGCCTGGAGCGATGATCAGAGCTACCACTGGTGAAGAGAAATCGCAGACGTGAGGTGTCTATAGCTAGCAGAAATCGCAATATCTCACTAACGATCAAGCTCTGCAGAGGTGTCGTCAACACGACGCCCTTAGCACTATTATCGGCAGGGCAATCCAAGTAATGCCACGTCAGCATCTTCGTGAAATCAACCTTTATCTCACGCATAGCTTGGGGAAGACACTCCATGTAGAGGCGAAACACTGTGAGAGCGCGCACGTAAACAAGTGCAACGCTTCGCTGTTGTGAGGCACCTAACTTGAGCACCAACGAGACAAGCGCCTCCGGGCTCGGTAGAAGAAATCGTAGCTCCGAGCACACTTCGGAAGCAAAGCCCGACGATGGTAACAAAGGGGCAACGCGCACAAACCGATTTAGCATCGCCTCGATTACACAGAGACACGAGTAGACCACTAAATTGCTGCTGTGCTGGATGCCGCGGGAGAGCTCCTTGCGGAAGTTTCCTGGCGCAATAAGCCGAGACGCTAAGATCTGAGGAGAACACCACGATTGCAGAGCGTCTTGATTTTCGTTCGTGGGCATTCCCACCGCCATCGCATCCAACGAGCACGACAGCAGCTTCTGCACGATAGAGGCAACACAGAACCATCGGAAAACTGGCTTCGGCTCAAGCTGAAGTGATAGCGCAGCAAGGTATTCCGACAAAAACCCTGGGTATTCTGCAAGAAACCGCATTACAAGTGCTTGTGCTTGTGCACTGCGCAAAAGTTCGTTCACACCAATTGTCGCGACAGCATTCCGAATCACCTTGACTGCGTACGCTTCTTCCGACGTAATTGCCTCCTCGCCACTGTGTGCACTTGTTGTTTTGGACAAAAAGAGCCGCAACGCTTGTTTCCGTGGGACTACGTATAGCGCGCTGTCTTCAAAGAACAGTGCATTCAGCACCCCCAGCGCCGTGTTCCGCACACTCGCATCGCCTTCCACATGCAATAGCGCCAACACTTGATGCACACAAGTACCGTTATACACAACCAGCTTGCTTTTGCGCTCGACGTCGTTATTGTATAACACAGTTTCCCCCAGTCTCGTGAAAAGCGTCGTCAGCATCTCTATTGAATCGCCATCCACGCTCTTAAACAACGATGCTGTCACACCTCCTTCTTTCATCGCAAAGCGATGCACGCTCTTATCCGGACACGCTGTCAGCGCCATCACCAAGTCCACATAGGCTGCTCGCAGCTGCACCGGAGCGTGTTGTTCGTTCGTTTTATCGCGTCCTTCGTCCTCACTTTTCTTCCACCGTCTCGTCGCCAACTTAACAAACGCTGGACACTGGAAATTAAACACGCGCACGAATTCTCGCGCGGTGACAGTGCTCACTTTTGTCACGGCCGCCATTAGCTCCAGTACTCGAAACTCAATCCACGGCTTGTCGCTCCAGCTCAAGAGCTTCTCTAACTGCACCATCTTCTCCCGCACGACTCGGAGCGCAAAAGCTTCGGCTTGAGCAGCGTCCAATTGCTGCTGAACTTGCAGCAAGTGCGTCACCACGTGCAAAAATGTTGCAAAACTGTCGCGCTTTTCATAGCGACTGCCCGCGCCATGGTTCTCAGGCCACACGCGCAAGGAAGAGCTCTCCTTGAGGATGGATGGCTAGAAACTGACGACTCAGTGACGATGCATCGTCTTGGGACGGCGGAATGGGCGGCGACGTGTCAGTAGCTGGAGGATACAGCAACAGGGAGCGGGCGAACGACAGAATCGCGTCGTCGAGAGGCTGAGGGCTGCGCTCTGCGGCCAGCAACAACTCGCGCAGCGCTGCCATTATTGTGCTGGGTACGCACTGTTTGATTGGTTGGGAGCGCTTGTCAGCGGCGATGTTACCACATGGGTACACGGGACAAAACCGAGACGAGGCGTTCGTTTTTTGTCGTTGCCGCTTGTTGTTTACGGGACAGTAGCCCGGTTTTGGAATCAGGTCGGTGACGTTGTATGTGGATCAGGCCTGTCTCTGTATTTTGAAGTTTTTGAACCCGTGGTGTATTGTGGTCATTGCTGCTGTAAGCAAAGTGCTGTGAGTGGGCGCATCCTACGCATAGTATTGACGGATGGATGCGTATTTAGATATCCTCGTAGTCACAATATCGCTTGTCAAAGCCGTGCGTAAGGACCGACACAATGCTGAAGCATAGTACACATACTGAAAATACATCCCACGGTCATAATGATGTTGATCATAGCCGCTGATGGGCAAATCCTTCGGGCCGTTTGTTATGATGTTGGCCTTCTTGAACACAACGCAGTGTCGAAAGTTCGTGCCGACTAAACTTACTTTTGACTCGCGTATTTTAATAGTGCAAGTAATCACTTCACTCTTAATGTTGATGTAGATTATGGACACCCGTCCTGGAATTAGCGGAAATGACTTGTTCACTTTGTTCAGCCAGCTCTAGCTACACACACTTGCGACAGCCAAAACCAGATGAGCCTTCACTTCACGTACTTTGCTTGAGATGTGTGAGTCACGGCGAACAGCTTCGAACATAGAAAATTGACGAGTCTTACGAACTGACAGAGAGAACCACTGGGAAATATTCAGGTGACAGCTGGTTCTCGCTGGCCTTGGTCCTAAACTCGACCACATTTGTTTTGTTTTTCATGTACGCGCGTCGACGATTGCGCCATCCCCACGGACGTCGACGTAGAAAGCGACGGAAAGTATCACGTAACCCCTTCTCTATCGACTCGTATAGCATCAGTTTGCGAGGCGACTTTCTCAGGGTACCAATGATATCATCGATAGGCACAAAGCACCAGCGAACACACCCGTACAAACGGGCCATGTCTTCCGGGCAGCAACTGTATTTCTGACGAGTTTGAGTTGCATAGCTCCCGCAGTAGCTGAAGTTGCTACCAAAGAAAAGCTTGTTAAGACATCGTAGCAAAGTCCGCTCTCCGTCAGGAATGCGCAAACCGTCGCTGCGCAGCACAAGCTCCAGCGTCTCGAGGGGCAATCGTTGCATTTCAGAAACAATGACCAGGTCTGAGATTTCGGTCGGTGAGCCGTACGGAGCCGAGTAAAAGAGCGTCGATTGTAGTAAAAAATGGTACACACTGCAAACGGGATTTCCCCAGACAAAAAAGTTGCCGCAAAACTGCACCTTCCCCATACATCCAGGCTGAAGTGCGGCAGTCGTTTCAGTGGAGGCCAATTTCGAAGTTAGAGGCTCGAGCCCACACCACTTACTGTATTGCTCGTAGCAATGCTGATACTGAAGTTCCACCTCTTGTTTGATCATCGCATGGTTCGGCTGCTCACGCCAATACTCGATTTTCACTTGCCCACGTATCCAAAATCCGGGACCATCATCGAACGACGCAGGATCGTCGATTTTGTGTAGATCAGAAATTAGCGGTGACGAAGATCGAATGACTCGCCACGAAATGGGCATCTTGTTCATAACATCAACCCGTACCTGGAGCTGGTACTTCCCAAACTGTAGCAATGTGAAAAGATTTTCTTCTCCAGGTTTAACGTGAAAATCCATGGGGTCTCGTTCCATATACGGTTCCCACTCCGGTGCATAGTGCCGATGAATAGCCCGTAGAGACGGCACCTCTTCGGAACAAAACCGATAGCCTAGCCAATAACTTAGCGCATTTAGTAAATTTTGCCAGAACTCAACGAGTCTGATGTTATTGATTAGGCCCACCAGAGCGCAAATGAGGACATCGCGGTCCTTCAATTCCCTGATGTATACACATTGCATATCTGTCAAAGCTTGGTAATACAGCTCAGGCTTCATTGACGCTAGAAAAGCTACCAAATGGCCACACAAGATCCGGCGCTCTATCTCGTTTTCCAATATTGACACTGTTAACAGCATATCGATCCACGTCGCTGTCGTAACGTGTTGAACAGCAATAGCCAGAGGGTAGTACAGCATCGTGCTTCCCAAGCCTAGCTTTTGCCCCAGCTTCACAGCCTCCATAGCGTTACGCTCATTGATCATTCTCACCTGGCACCTGTAAATATACTCGACAGCCGTCACGACAGCGCCAATGTTCGTCCCTTCAATCTTAACGTGCATCACGCCTCGCTGATGCTCCAGTTCTTCTTCCTGTCCAATTTTTGGTACAAAATCGAGGGTACCGGACAAACTCCGTGCACGTTGCGACGTTAGAGCGGCACATTGTCCACTTAACAGTGACTTGTCGTCCATCTGACGCAGTCGTTTCCTCTGCGGCGACCGTACAACAGCTTGGTCCTGCTGGCAAAACCTTCCTCTTCTCCTGTCGTCCCCATTAGACCCAATCTGGCATTTATGAGCTACACAACGGACGTAGTCCAACCTCAAGGAATGAGGATCGTGTAATGGACACTGGGTTCGGTCCTTCGGATTGTCCTGAAGGTGCTGAAGCTCTGTCTCATCCAGTAACTTGAATCCATTTGTCGTAAGTGGCGACTGCCGGAGCTGCCGCAGCTGCTTGTAAAACCACGGACAGCGCTGTCGGAGGACTGACAGATGGAGAGCGACTGCACACACGTCCGAGTGGACCACAACGTCGGGTGGGTCGCTCTCGCTCGGTAGAATGAACCTGGTTTTCTCTGAGTATTGGACTACGGGGCACGACAGTAACGAGCTACTGTGAGTGGGGTGAATGTGATTATCAGTGTCTGTGTTTGCATTGAAGTAGGAAGCTTCTGCAGATGCGTCTAGCAGCTCTACGCGCTGTGCGCCGTCCACCACGCGATACATTACAGCGCTTTGACTGGATATTGCAATGCAACGTTAGTAAATGGTCCTCTGGATGAAGAAATAGCGATGTAATTGGCCAGAGTATTGAAACGTTCCAACTTTTCTGTGGATATATTTTAGCATGGCTGTGTGACCTGTGGGACATGGCTACAGGCCGACAACGGATTGATGATGTGATGGGGTTTCTGTGACCTTGAAGTTTGCGTGAGCTCTGCAAAAGCCGCATGCATGCACAGACACAAGAGACAAGTTAAACAACAAGCATAGGTGTGGAGGTTGTTGGTTTCGCTCAAAACCTTGAATCTGCAGCTGCTTGTTTGTACTCGAGATAAGTCTAGTAGATACCACTCTGACAAGCGATGAAGTGCTGATAGTGCGGAGAATAACGCCCGTGATGGTGTGTACCAACAGAGCAATCCAAAGCCACAGTAGATCGAACAGTTAATCGCGACAGTACGTGTGGTCTTCTGACTAATGTATTTTTGAAAGTACTGACATACTAGGGTGTCGACAGGCGGGGCGGCTACACACTAGAGTCTCTCCGACGCGCTACACATACTCAATACTTGAAACTACTTTCTAGTGCTGACATGGTCAGACTTGGATGTGCATCCACTCACACCATTCACACCTTTGCGTTTAGCTCTAGCATTCGCATATCTGGAAGTGCTTTGGGTTGCAAATCTTGAAACTTCACCAAACGTTTTTGTAATCTGTTCGCACTGGTGTCGCATTAGAATGTGAGTTTGACGTCAGCAAGCTTTGTCGCGCAAACTTGATTTTACCTGGTCTGTTCGGCGGCCACTTTATCATCGACAACGAGCATGGTCTGAAGTGTGACTCGCATCTCGAGTTCAGAAAGTACGTTCTAATCCAAACACCTCTTGATCACCGGCACACATCTACAACACATGCCTGCTTCTGTGCTAAAAGAGCAACTCCTGCGTGCGGACGTCTGCTTTTAACTAAAGCAGCGACTGAGCTGGTACGTAGATGTAATCTACGCTTACACCGGGTAGATGATACCCATGATATTCGAGGTGACTTACTACGAGTACGAAACTGGATAAGTTGACAGGCAATTCGAACAGCGTCAACTTATTTTTATATGCATGCGGAGGACCTGTGCTACACTTCAACATAAAGTTAGCACACATCAAGCTTGCCTCGAGTAAACGTTCTTGGATTGCGCTTCTCGCGACAAAATAGCGTTCGCGTCAGTGGTATGGCATCGCATCATTCAACACTTCGGACTATCTAGGTTCAGGCATAATTCTGAGCAAGCTCGTCGCGACGACGTTGACTGCAATGCTAACTCTTACGATGCATGCCAATTCTCGAAGTCACGATCAGAGTAGCGGAACCTTGTTTTCAAGCTCATATCGTAGAAAAAATGAGCATTGATTCGTCGGCTTGTTCGAACGGGTATTACAATTTATCTCATGTTAGGATAGAGCTGCTGAATCCTACAAAGTGGATGCTGGGACGACAGCCGTTAGGGACATTGGAGAGAGTTGACAATGGTTCCTTCGACGATTCTGCAATACAAAATAGCCGTCAAAATAACAGCAATCGAGTGACAGTAGAAGTCCGTAGGATCACGTACAGCACATCGATGCATCGATATGACAATAACGGCCTAGTGAGTAAGCATTACAGCGACTCACCTACCCAGCATGAATCGATCACAAGCCCGATAAGACCAATCTTACCGCTTGTAGCTTACTGCAAAGACTTCATGGCCGATTGGCACTCGCCTCTCGATAATCTAGCGTTGTTTAGATTTCATAGCAATGCAATCTTTAACCACCACAACAATTAAGCAGACCTGGTAAGCTTAATCCGCGAGTATTGACAGTCGCCAGCTGTGCATTACGCTGTACTAACAACCGAAGCATAGCTTTGTCTCAACCTATTGACCCCGGTCGTAAAAAGCGCTGCGCGTGGTATCTCATTTTGCCATGGAATGCCATCTTTCTTGGTGAGCGCTCACGTCTAAAAAGATACCTCACGAAAGTCGTGCGGCGAAAGAACCAGCAACTGTAGATACTTTTCGTAACGTGATACTTGCAAAGAAGCAAATTGTTCTTGTTGAAGTGATACCATGGACGCATTCTTATAGCAGCTCCAAACCATCGTGAATCTCCTCAGCACAAAAAATTGTATGCAGTATCACTGGGAGAAATGCATATACGTGTATGCAGCAAAAAATCCGAGACGGTGCGCCACATCTCGATACGTTGTAACGACTGATCGCCTACCACAGTCAACAGAAAGATGCAAATCGCCACAAGCATTATATTCCTATTCGCTTATCCATAGACTTGCCCTAGTGATATCGTATTGAGCTTAGTTATAATCATAAGAGAGTAGTCGAGGTTCGACATGCGTATATGCTGCAACGCTTGCACCCAATGTGCTATCCCATACCTCGAGTTGAGTGTCAAGACCGATGAGCGCATTCTTCATTCTCAACAGCGTTTACTACAATATAGACTTGCCGCTGCCTTGTGTTTCAGACTTGTTACATAGCAAGTAGTAGAGCGATTGAACTCCACGGATGATACAAGGAAAGAAAATCGAAATCGTGGCTTTCAGAGACTGTACCGAAGGAAACATGTGCCATGCTTAACATTTTTGTGACTATTTACCATACTTGATTACGTCTTTAGGGCTTCAAATCATACGTACAAACAATATGCGCTCATACGTGAGTGAGCATGTGACTTCAAACGGGGTCGTGCAACTACGCGTTCGAGTTTATAGCACGCATCATCATTGTATCGTCGTTCCGACTTCAGCTACAAAGTGGTATTTACGACTCCCGTAATGGAACCACTCCATGTATCACCTTTCTAGTTTCTGCAAGTCGGCTGCGTCAGGTCATTCAACTGATGGAGCCGATACAGACGAACGTCTGAATACTATTGTGCGGATCGCACCACTTTATGAGCAGACTCATTGCGCTGAACATCGTACGTGCTCTAGAAGACAAAGCAATGCATTTGTCACGGAACATCATCGACAAAACGGTTGGCTCATCGCGGCAGCAGAATCAACACTTCTATTTACATTGCAGCGCGTCCAGAACACCAAGTGGCATGTCTCGTCAGGCGTTCACAGATCGACATGATGGATGACTAGTAGCCGGAAAGAATGAACTGTAAATGAGAAATCATGCACGTTGCAGCTCTACGTAAACCATGCTTTGGGATGGTTGAATACGTTTATAGCGCAAGCATGACATCTTTTGCCCGTGTCAAAAGACTGCCAAACGATCGGACTAGACCTGAAGATTCGCCGCTCACAGATTTGGTCTTGCCGAACATCTTTAAATCCATCTGCGTCGCCCAGGTCAATAGCACATTATGCAGACTGACCGGATTAAGCGTCCACACGACCGACGACGTCACATAGGCGTCGTTTGACACGGCAGGCGAAGAAAAGGCAAAGAGCGATAAGCGACGGCAATCGATCACCTCGTAGTAACACGAGGCCGTGTTGGTGTGCGCATTTTAATCAGCCGCATCATCGACGAAAGGAGCGGATCGCATTGCAGGTCATTGTAAACTTGTAGTCATACCTCAGTAGTCATCGAACTTCCTTCTGCGCGTGCATTTCGCATACTACAATCGCTAGTGTCACGTGCATGCCTGGGAATTTCTTTTCGACACCTCAAGTCGATGCAAAACGTGCTTCGCACTGATGTCCCTTCTGTATCGATTACCGGACACACCGTCAACAGGGGCTCGTCGAAGGATCATCCACAGAGAGTCGGTTTCGATCTCGCCTTTGACATGAACACCGCATTGTTGGACGAGCAAATCTCATTATCAGGACCACAAATGTCCAAAAGTCCCAAAACCAGGACTATAGTTCAAACAAGTCTAAAATAGATTGATACTTAATGTTAGCCACATTATACTCAACTGCAACATGGGATAAGAAACTGCCTGATCACTAATGAGTCTATCCATTTTTAGACAACTGTCGCGAGTGGTAAAAAAAATGCTCTTTTTTACCAACGTTCGCTAACTTCTCAATTGCGCCCACGAGCCGATGTGCCCATTTTGGTTTGGGCACATTGCGCGCGAGCCAGGGCCCGGTCGCATGCACCCGACGAGCTCGTGACCGGGTGACTCAGTTATTACACCTTGCACTGTCGATTTTAGTTAAATCAGTAATTCTTTATGTACGCGGTTGCAGCAAAGCCAGTTCGAAAGGTTTTACAATAGGTCAGGTCAGTGGTACCGTGATTAGTGTCAATTTCGATTGCTGCAGTCACTCGAGACATCTCAAAGACTTCTTTCAGTCCACTTCTTGTGCTTACGCTCAAACGCTCAAAATTATCATTCAAAATAAACAGTATGAAGTAGTGAGCAACTTTATTTAATAATTAATGCTTTTACGACCAGTACTAATTTCTATAAATAAACATAACGCATGTATTACACTTGTCTTGATATTACGCCCTAGTCAGTCAAACAAACTCCTGGCACTGCAACATATCCACACGGACATAGAACACAATCGTTAAGCAGGACACTCGACATTACCTGAAACCGCTCTATGCCGCTCTATATCACCGGACGCCACTTTACATCACTGGACATTACTCGACATCACTTGATATCGCTCGACATCACTTGAAACGCACTGCAACACATACATACAGACAAAGCATACGATCGTTAGACAGCAAAGTCGACATCGACAGCATAATTACCTGCTCCCGCTGCTCATAAGAGTTAATACAATAACGAAGTTTACCAGTCACGAGCTCGTCGGGTGCGTGCGACCGGGCCCTGGCTCGCACGCAATGTGCCCAAACCAAAATGGGCACATCGGCTCGTGGGCGCAAATTGAGAAGTTATCGAACGTTGGTAAAAAAATAGCATTTTTTTTACCACTCGCTACAGTTGTCTAAAAAATGGAAAGGCTCATTAGTGATCAGGCAGTTTCTTATCCCATGTTGCAGTTGAGTATAATGTGGCTAACACTATGCTAGTTTGCATACTCAACCCAAGTATAATATAGATAAGTTTAAGCTTGATTAAACTATAGTCCTGGTTTTGGGACTTTTGGACATTTGTGGTCCTGATATTGAGATTTGCTCTTGTTGGACAGCACTGCCGCAAGTTTTCGTCTGATTTGTCTGTTCACTTTTACTGTTTTTTAGAGGCACGTCAGGCGGGAATGAAAGCCGGGTGCGCGAAACGATGTTTGGCTTGGCAACCCTCTTGTGCTCATCCTTATCGACTTCACTTCACCCTGGTAAAGGCGTCCTATCTCGATGCAGCACATCCATTTCTGATCTGTGTCAGTCGGATTCTTTTCCGCCAATCCACGACAGCACATCACTGGCTCTCCGCTCTCATTCTTCACGCTCATTGTGTATCTTTTGCATCCATCCCTCATGCGTCTCCGCTCCGCTGTTCTGCTGCTTGCTGCGACCGTAGCTGCAACAAAAACAGACGCACTCCAGGCCGGCCATCCCTACTCGAACAGTGTAGACGACACCGACGATCCTGTTCAGAGGCACCACCGGACGGGTCACAGCGAAAGCGAAGAGAGGATGTATTCTGGTTTTGACGTGTCCAAGGCTTTCAAAACGAGGCCATTTATCGATGAGATGCAAGCGCAATACGTTGCGGCAGAAATGAGCATTCCGAAATTCGTCTATGATTGGGGCTATATTGACTCGGTAACACAACATCTTTCTAACAAGGAGAAGAAGATCCTTGTCAATCACATGTGGGAACCTTGCACGTTCAGTGAGAGAGGTGCGAAACGGTTCATGGAGAGACACGCTGAAAGCACGATCGTATCGACGATTAAGTCATTAAGCCGCATCGACGATGTAAAAATACGAATCATCAGGAATAGACTACGGTCGATCTTGATACTTTGGTGGAAATCCCAAAAAAGTTCAGCTGTCGAAGTGTTCAACCTTCTCCAGGTAGACGAAAGCGCTTTGAAGGCGAAGGAAAAAGCCACCATGATCGAGAAAGCTATCTGCCTTGCCGACGACCCAGCTTTTGTAATGTGGACAATGTTCGTGGATAACGTCGACGAACACGATCCTATCGGGACGATCTGTCGCACACTGGCGCCGGCGTACTTAAAAATTGAAGAAGTGGCGGACATTGTCTCTAAGGCACAATCTTTCGTGGTTGGGAGGTTACATGATGTCAGGAATCAACTACCACTCAATCATCATGGTCGGCGCGTGAAAAACGAGGGTGTGTATGCCATGGAACGACTTCCGATCGAGCACCAACGTCGACAGGAGAGGGAGATACAGGTGTGGGTGCCTCGAAACGAGTACGCGTCAAGCGCGAGGGTCCACACGACGAAAACACGGGTGTGGATGCTGTGAAACGACTGCGGATCCAGCACCAAGGTTGATACGTGGAAAACGCTGGCCTGGGTGCACCGTAAACGGCCACACGTCCAACGGTTTGAAGGCAGCATGTCGGCATGAAGTCTATAGCGGAGTTACCAGCAGAGTGTCCTCTGAATTTCTCTGTTCATCTTTTAGGTAGACGTTATGGTATCAATGCAGGTGACTCTACGCTATTGCAGGATCTGTTGCAAATTACTGAATTGCTTTGTACGACCTTCCTTCCTACCATCGTTATCGAGTATGTTGCTGATGCATACAGTTAATCAGCACTTTCCGCGGAGTGCAAAGCAAATGTCCATCGAGTCTAAGACAAGTTTTCGAGGTCGTACAAGAAAAAGAGATGTCGCTTTTGCTTAATTCACACTATCCGATGCAATTGCATACAAGCATCTTCATATCTTGCTCGGCGACACCCGGTGTTAGTTCTTGATCGCACAATTCGTAAAGGGGTAGCCCGTTACATGATATTGACACAAAACGGTGTCAAAAGGGAGATTGTCAAGCGTGGCGATTCTGTAACGGGATGAATCGTTACAAAACAATTTGTAAGAAATTGTTAATAGAATATAACTATAAGACTTATATTCTCAGAATATTGTCATAAGGACAAATATTCTGTAGTACTTACGAGTAGTTCCTAATTGGTTGATATAGGCCATTATATCAACCAACGAAGACGCGCCACGACAGACGCACGCAATGAGTGGTGAGCAGATAGTTGATTTACACATTTGTATTTAGACATAGTTAGATGAGGATAAATAGTGATTTATCAACAGGCATTAACTATGATAAATACAGTTCTACTTTTTACTTTAATCAAGTTCTCGCTTCTTACCGTCTTCCTCTGCACGTACGAGTGTACGTGAAGTTCCGAGGCACCGCCTTATTCTGTCATCAGAATAAGTAGCTCGTACTGTTACCAGTACAAGCTTCAGGGTGCCCCGTTACACCTGGTAGCACTTCGTAGTCCGTCGAAGGACCGCGTTCACATCTAACATGAATATGTTGGATGATGAAGATGACCAAAGCTTTCACGCTACGCGTGACAGCTACTCCCATTTGAGCGATGTCGAATGGGATGCGGTTGAACGAATGGGTTCAACCATGGGCATCCATGCTGTTAGCGTCATTCTAGAGGCTCTCAATAGAGATGCCGAACATGCTACTATCGCCAAGTTCATTCAAGATGAACTTGACGCTGAACGCGAGAAAGTAGCCTTGCTTCACCGACAAGGTTCTCAACAAGCATAGTTGTTGAGAGAACAGGGTGCTCAACAGTTTGAACTGTTGAGACAGCAGCAGGCTGCTGCTGGTGGGTCGATGCACTCGCGTCGACCCGAGACTTTGAAGATTGACATCTCAAAGTACAGGGGGGTCGAAGAGGACTCCCTCTTGAGATGGTTCGTCGAATTGGATGACGCCATAAGGGCGCGTCGCATCGACGACGGGGATATGCAAGTTGCATTTGCCCAGTCAAATCTGGCAGGACGTGCCAGGACTTGGGCACTGGGGCTCAAGTTGCACGACCCACATGCGTTTGGGTAGTTAGAAGTCTTCAAGTCGCGGCTCAGACAAACGTTTGAACCGCCTAGAGCTGAGTTCAGAGCTCGAACCGAACTCTTGAAGCTCAAGCAGGGTAAGCGTGATGTGCACGCTTACGCTCAACATATACGACATCTCGTGAGTTGTATAAGTTCCATTCCGGCGGATGAACAGACGTTGGTTTCGGTGTTCATGCAGGGTCTTGCGGATGGTCCCGTCAAGACGCACCTGTTCCGACTTGAACTAGATTCACTAGAACAAGCAATTTCCATTGCGGAACAGGAAGACTTCAGTCTGAGACAGGCTCGCGCCAGCTCGACATCATATCGTCAACCGAGACGATATGACAACGGAGGTCCAGAGCCGATGGAACTCTGTTATGTAGAGAGCGAGAAGGTTCGCTCTACAGGCTACAAGAAGTTGCAGAAATGCAACAGATGTCAAAAGACAGGACACTACGCTTACGAGTGTAGTGCCCCTCGTCCAGTGTCTCGCAACACTGGGCATAGTGACCGTCCACCCATGAGAAAGGGGCAGGGACGAGGGTCCGCTGTTGGTGCAAAGACGCAACAACGGGATGGACCGTCAAAAAACGGACAGGATCAGTAGGTGCGGAGCACCCTACTGGTCCAGCAACGTCAAGAGAATTTGTAGGCCTCTTGATGAAGGTTGCTCCCAACACACAAACGTTGTGCGTTGCTGCTTTAGGTAATGAGATCTCACTCATTACCTTGAAACTCGAAGTGACAAATAAGTTATCCCTTCGAGATCTAGTCGATTTTGGGGCGTCCAACAATTTTGTGCGACGCCAATCGCTAGAAGATGGTCACTTTAAGTTCAGTGAATGTGACACACCTCCTATGAGGATGAAGGTACGTCTTGCGACAGGCGCATCCGTAACCGTCATGAAGCGTATAGTTAAGATTCACTATACGCTAGAAGATACCCAATATGATGATGACTTAATCGTATTGGATTTGGATGACAAATTTGATGTCATCCTTGGAATACCGTGGCTCAGAAGGTACGAACCACGAGTAAACTGGCAACATCGAACAGTAACGATGCCAGCCGCTTGTTCATTAGATGGCCATCTGATGAACTTTTTGGAGCGTCCACAAGCGTGTGGGTGTACTACGAGTGAGTGCGATGGCCTCACTTGTGGTACGGTCGTTAGCACGACTGCAAAAAACCTTAGTGTAACAAACGGTTACACTTCGGAGCAAAGTTCCGGCGGCTGTGAGGAAACACAGGCTGCGCCGAAGGTCCACCACTCGAATAAGTCGGGTGGACTGGGACAAAGATGTATCCCTAGCGGGGAACATCTAGAAGAGAAACAATCGATCGCTCAGGTTAAGCGAAACGATAATCCTAGATCGACTGGAGAGTCTTTCGTAGAGGATCTCGCTGTGGTTGCGCAACCCCAGCTAGACGAAGTAAAGAGAATAAGTCCCAAGATTACAAATACGGCGGAAATAAGTTCCCCGAAACCCGCGGGAATAAGTCCCCGGGAAGCCGAAGGAATAAGTCCTTCGAGGCCTGAGGGAATAAGTCCCCAGGAAATGACGGAGACATTGAATGTCATAGTCAATAACGGATCAAGTGTAGGCGCTTATACACTTGATCTGATTGCGCCTCCGAAGTTAACTTCGGAGATCACTCAGTTGCCAACGCTCGAGCATAAAAGGTTCTTGCGTGATCTGCATAGTGACAAGGTCAAGCAGATCTGCATACACGTCGCTGACGACGAGTGTGTAATTGACATAAGGTCAGCAACAGTGTTTACTGAGAACGAGAGAGTTCTCAGTAGTTCATCTATGGACGAGAGTGTCCTAGATGAAAAGACACGAATTGAGCGATATGACTCGCAATCGTGGGAATCGCTCAAGACAAATTCTCTCTATGAAGATTTGGTTGAATTCAAGGATGTATTCCCTAAAACTGTTCCGTGCGAATTGCCGAAGGATAAAGATATTCGACACGAGGTCGAGCTTGAACCAGGCTCGAAGTACTGTGTCATGAAGCAGTGGCCACTGCCTCGTGAACAAGTACTTGCTATCGACAAGCTCTTTGCCGATCGTTTAGCTGCGGGCCATGTGAGGGAATCAACTTCCCCACATAGCTCTCCGACCTTCTGTGTGCGAAAAGCAACAGGAGGGTGGCGGATAGTGCACGCGTTCAACAAATTGAACGCTGCAACGGTACCGGCTCAGAAGCCGATACCAAGGAAGGACGTACTCATTGATGGTATGTCAAAGAGTACCATCTTTTCGTCCATGGATTTGATGGATGGCTTCTATCAAATCCTTATGCGAGAATGGGATATGCCCTATACCGCAGTTAGCACGCCTAGCGGCATGCTCTGGGAATGGCTAGTAATGCCATATGGGCTAAGTAACGCCCCTGCCACGTTCAGCAGATCTGTATCACATCTGTTGAGACCAGTACGAGAATTCGCGCCGAGTTATTTCGATGACGTATTTATCCATAGTCGGGCTATGGATGGAAAGTCGGACGTTGAGGTTCACAGGTACCACGTCCGACAGGTTCTTACAATCATGCGAAAGCATCAATTGTACGCAAACCTCAAGAAGTGTATATTTGCAGCAAGCGAGATACCACTTCTTGGGTGCATCGTTGGTAAGAACGGTGTACGTACTGATCCCGAACAAATCAAGGCGATCACCGACTGGCCTGTGCCGGTTGATGTCAAAGGTCTTCGAAAATTCCTTGGGCTAGCAGCGTATTTGCATAAGTACTCACGCAATTACGCCGAGATGACTGTACACCTCTCTCGTTTGTTGAAAAAGAACGAGAGGTGGTTATGGAACGCTGAATGTCAGCGCTCCTTTGAGGGTATCAAGCAGAGCTTGATACAATCCCCAGTCCTAGCAATAGCCGATCAGGACAGTCCATTTCATGTGGTCTGTGATGCCAGCTATTTCGCAATCGGCTGTGCATTAATGCAGTACGATCTTGAAGGCGTTGAACGCGTCGTCTGCTATCAGTCGCGTCAGCTGCAACCAGCTGAGCGGAACTATCCAGTGCATGACAAGGAACTCCTTGCCATGAAGTATGCACTCGCGAAGTTCAGAGTCTATCTATTAGGAGATAGACCCTTCATTGTTTACACTGATCATGCTTCATCACGCACGGCAGTGAACAGCCCGCACCTTTCACAACGAATGGCGCGGTGGTTATCACTCTTTGCGGAATACAACTTTACGGTCGAGTAAAAACCAGGACGACTCAATGTCGTCGCTGATGCATTCTCACGTCTTCCCGACTTTGAACCAGTCGTGAAACCCAACAGTGAGACAGTCACTGTTGCGGTAATGACGTCCTCAGTACCATCTTCAACATTACATGATGATGTGAGGCGGGCACATGCCCAAGATGGTGAGATTGTGAAGTTGTTGACACATCTCTCACAGCCATCTCGAGAATCTTTGAAACGATTATCGTCTGCGTATCGATCTGCATCAGATCGATACACTACTCGCAACGGTTTACTGTATTATACAGCCGTTACTGGTGACACACCACGTGTTGTCATTCCAGATGATACTGATCTGCGTTTGCGGATCATGTTCGAGTATCACGATGCTCCTATAGGAGGACATCGTGGCCGAGAGAAAACATATCTCACGGTAAGTCGAGACTTTTACTGGCCCCGCCAGTATCAGTTTGTGCGAAAGTATGTTCGCGCATGCGAAGTCTGCCAACGAGTGAAGTCAAGTCCTTCACTGCGTACACCTTTACAGCCTCTACCGGTTCCGGCTGAGTGCTGGGAATCCATCTCAATGGATTTTGTCTTCGGGTTACCCAAAGACGCACGCGGGAATACGGGTATTCTCGTATTTGCTGACAGATTCAGCAAAATGGTACACCTTGTGGCTGTACCGGAGACAATCACGGCAAGTGGCTGTGCTTGTGTCTTTATTGACACCATCTTCCGACTTCATGGGTTGCCCCGTGAACTCGTATCAGACAGAGATCCACGATTCACTGCTGATTTCTGGCGTTCCGTGTTCAAATCACTCGGATCGCGCTTGAAGATGTCTACATCTGACCATCCAGAGTCAGATGGTCAGACGGAACGTGCCAATCGTGTCCTTGAAGAGATACTTCGAGGATACGTACACTCCTTTAAGAGCTGGAGTGAGTTTTTGCCAATGGTAGAGTTTGCCATTAACAACTCGTCCACGACACATACACCGTTTTACGTTAATGGCTTACGCCATCCGCGTGTACCCACCTTACTCGAGTGTAACTATGATTTAAGGGGGGGAGGGACTCGCGCGAGCAAAAACCGATTTGGTTCACGCTCATCACGCTCTGACGAAGAGGTCATTGCGTTTGATGCCGATATCGATAACATCGATATCGAAGAAGATGATGCCAGTGAGAGTGCGGAAGCCCTCACTGAAGAAAAGGTTGATGTTGCTGCAGTGCACTCACAGTGCACTGAAGCTAACGAGTCAGCAGATGAGTTCATACTGGCTCGTGAAACGGTAGTCCGTTTTGTGCAAGACTCCATCGCCGAAGCGGTGGATAAGCAAAAGCAAAACGCAGACAAGAATGGAAGGGCAAACACTCTTTTATTTTATAAAGGTGACTTAGTCCTACTGTCTACGGTTAATCTACCAAAGCATGTAGTGACTAACTTGGGTAGCAGTAAACTTCTACCCATGTACATCGGCCCCTTTCGTGTATTGTACCGCCTAAGCAATCCAAACACGATCGAGTTGCCACGAAAGATGCGAACGCATCCCACGTTTTACGTTGGTCGGCTTAAGCCGTACCATCAGTACGCTGTTTTTTTCAGATGAAGAACGCCCTTGCGCTCAAGCACCTCGCAGAGAGCCTTGTGCTACCGATGGTGGGCATCGCCAAGGGTCTGAAGAGCAGTTATCTCATCCCGAGACCGATCAACAATCCCACGAGCTACCCTTAGCTCGTCACGAAGAGATGTCAGAGCTCTCTCGTTTTCAAGCTGAGCA